AGTCTCAGAGATCTCAGAGGTAAACTCGACTGTTATTGAAGATCTTTACTAAATCTAAACATATAAACCAATCCATGTAAATCTATTAGAATATCTTTACTAAATTTATATTTGTATCATCCACATTTGTGAGAATATGATAAACTGGAATAACATATGGGTTTGGTTTTTTTTTGATCCACCCTCTAAACGGAATACATAGATTATCTTATTTTGCATTTCATTACAAGTAAATTAACGAATTATGTTTCATCTTAATTTTGTTACATGATTTTTAAAGAAATGAAATGTGGTGCCAAACACTAGTAAATCATATAGGGAATCGTACATGGATTTATTTGATCTTTCTCTTTCATTCGATTTCTCTAACCCTTCTCTTCATCATCACCTTCTTCTTATTCTTCAACTTCTTCATTCGATGGATCCTGCAACAAGCATGATTCCATCCCTTTGTTTCATATCCCTTTGGCATCTTGAGATCATATAGGCTGCACAGTTTAAGACGGAGGTGGAGTCGCATCGCATCCGAAGAAGCTGTTGGCATGGGACCTCGAAGTCGAATGAAGAAGTTGATTGAGAGGGACGTCCGATGTTTTTCTCATCATGAAATAGGAAAACCAACATAGAGTGGAAAGCTAGTGATACAAAAGGCTCTAGACCGTCTTCTTTCCCTCTTTTCCACTATGAGTTTCCTTCTTGTTTTTATGGGCCGTCATTCTTGCAACAACGGGTAGAAAGAAAATATTACTCATCTTTCTGAATGATTATGTGTAGAAAATTGATTATAACAACCACCTCCATAAAAATAATCCACGTCACATCACATCCCTTATGCTTCAATTGTAGTAGTAATAGTAATAGTGTTTGTTAAATTTGAATTCTATTATAACAACTAGGATGTTTGATTATGAAGTAGGATGGTAGATGACATCATTTAGTTCTAAGGAAAGTTCCCTACCAACAAAGAAACGTTATGTGTTGAAACCAATTCCTGCTCAAAGAATAAGTGATTCATTCATACAAATCCATCAAAATACATACATACTTTATAGATTAGAAAATGTGAACAAAAATTTGTTTTCACGTGGAATTGGATGGATATAGGGGTAATATCGTCCTTTCCTCCAACCCCCCCTCCCCTTACCTGGAAATTCACTTGTCGACAGAGGGAAGCGAGGGCAGGAAGGCGTCTCAAATTTCGACGAATTCCAATTTCCTGCCATTTTTGAAATTGAGGGGAGGTCCTCCACCCGACTGCTTCACAATCTTCCATCCTTTGATTCATGTCCTATGTAAGACTATTCCAATCTCTTCTTTTACTTCTTTTCTCAACTTGCACTAGATCTTGCTATCATGCTTCCATCCTTTTCTGCTTTTCCATCTTTATCTCCGCTCTCGGTTTAGGGTTTCTTTCTATGTATGTATTCTCCTCATCGTTTTGTGTTTATTCAACTTTCTTGTGTTTCGGTTTCGATCCTGATTATTTAGGTTAAACTTTGGAGATTTTTTTTTAACACTATCTTGCACGGGCTTACTACGAGTGGTGGAATTAATTGATACATCGCAATGAAATTTCTTTTAGGGTTTGTCAGCTGCTTAAAGAGCTGCCCTCGATTTGGTTCGATGTGAGAGAATTATGCTCTATAATCTTCAATCCTATCCCACTTTGTCTTCCAATCTTAATAACTACCTAATTGCACACATACTCTATGCCAATCTATAAAGCTATAACAACGGGTCCTTTTGGTACTAGAATTTAGGCCTTCTATCATCAGTAACAATTGGATGATGACAAAATTATCAAAGATCGGAAGTTGTCATGATTGTAGCAAATCAGGTGAAACGTGTTTTTAACAAAGATGACTATGCTTTAGTTCAAAACCGCAACCATCTTTTGATCATGGCTACCACACCATTTCTGTCTCCACAATATTGTGTGGAGTCTTTAATCTTTACCTGGATATAAGATAATTGATAGATTGATATTTGGATTTGATAAAGTTGAAAAGTGTGATAAGAATCATAAAACAATAAGCTTACATCTGGTAGGACTGTTTATGTTACTTCGACACGTCTTTCAAATTTCCTCTAAACAAAATGGGATTGGAATGGCATAACAACATAGATATAGAATTAAAACAAGAGTTAATAGAAAAGAGAAAGCTATATCCCTGTACTTAAAAAACCTTTATAGTTATATTTTCTCATGTTAGAATCGTTTCATAGATCGAATGTTATGCAAGTTTGAGGATTAAGTAAATGGAACATAAGTTTTGAATATTTTTGACATGTCCCTTCATATCATTAGTAAGCTATGCAAATAGCCTTTCTAGTTTACGTTAATTTATTTTTAATATTATATATGAATGCTTATAAAGATCTATTTATCTATTGAACTTGTACGCAGTTACTTCCTTTTATGGAAACTTTTAAAATGCTTAGCTGTTTTCAATTGTTCTCATGAAATGGATAATTCTTTAGGATGGAGCAATTGTAATTATATACACGACATGAAAAAATTGTGAGCGCTAAAACGAATTTGGATTTTATTTCATCAAAATATTTGAACACTGGAATCAGACTTTATATTCCGTGTTGATGAATATTCGAGTTCGGAAAGTGGACTTTTATTTCTTTTATGTTGAAGGCTATAAAATTTTACAGTAAAGCCTTGGTCCAGTCATGATTTATGAAGCCTCATCAAAGGCATTGAAAGTGACTTCTGGAGCCCTATCATGGGTGTTATTTTGACTCTGATAAACTAAGTTGTAAAGCGAACTGAAACCATTTTGAACTTTTCATTTACTGAGATATGATGTGTATTTGAGTGACGTAACAGCTGACGTATTATGGATTTTTGGGGTATCTATATATGAAGCTGTATTTCCAGCTAATTGATTTTGTTTTTACTTTTGTGATACTTATTTTCTATGAATATTCAAGTTCTGAAAACCGCTTTCTGAAAATATTACTTAATCTAGCTGGATTGTCTAGTTCATACTTGGTTGCCTTTGCCGGTCATTTATGTAAAACTTCAGATTTGTTGGCTTTCAATAAGTTGTCGAGATTGAGAAATCTGAAGGCATCATGACTGGAGCACCCTTATTACTTAGTTCGCCAGTCTTTGTCAAATAAGTTGTTACAATAGTCCGGGTGCGCCTGTTATTAGCTTGCAAGTTTTAGCAAGTGCTGAATTGAGGATTATGGAATTGTTCTAACATTCCTTGTCTATACTTAAGGCACATTTTTCAGTGAATTAACAAATTCATATTAAGTAAGAAAGTTGAATTATATGTCATGTTAACTTTGAGGTGACTGTATAACTTGCTGCTGCAAACCATGCTTGCTTAGTAGTCGATGTTCATGGATAAATGTTGTGTCCTTGCATGCTAATTATGTCTCCTATTCCCCAAATCAAGAGATGGCTGCTCTTGTATGCAATTTCATGGAAATTTATATTTCCGTGTATTAATCCTAATATTTTATGTGGTTACCAGGCAATAGCATTTTCTTGAGGTGAATACCGAAGTAAAGGATAAACCACAACTTCTTTTTGTTCATCAGCTAAATCTGTGAGATGGCTGAGAAAGCATGTGTAATGCGTCTTCAAAAGGAATATAGAGCACTTTGTAAAGTATGCCTTCTTTTTATTCCGTCATATTGTTGTATGTGTTATATTTATGTTTCAAGTTGGCATTGTTGCCCTTTTTGGTGATCCATGTATTCATACCGACATACATACTCGATTCCTTAATTTTATTGCTTCACGGAAAAACTATAGGTGTGTGGCACTATACTTGAGCTTTTGACTCATTTTCTGCATAGTGCTCAACACTTGGTACAATTATTATTATTATTATTATATTTATTTCTTGACATGGCATTTCTTTTTCTTTACTTATCTTAATGTTAGCTACTTCTCATCTAGTATGAAGTGGCTGACTTCTTGCAAAGGCACAGGGTTATCATCTATTAATATCCTAGTCCTTTCTACATTTAAACTGTTGACAGAGCACGTAATATCAATATATGTTGTAAAGGAAGAGGATCTTAATTTCTAAGAAAACCATCTCCCATTGGCTATGCTATAGAAAAATTGATGTAAAACGGTAACGCATTTGACTTTTGACGCATATAGCAAGCAGATCACACCATGTGAGCTGGAAATAATCTTTTTGATTTCAAATTTAGGTAAGTACCTCTATATGAAGATAATATCTTCTGATGGTTACAACTTGTTTTGAAGCTTTTATGTCAATTTGATAGAAGGATAGGGGTTTAATACCTCTTTTTCACAAAGTCTAAAATTCTGAAGTCTTATGTCCTCATTCAGTGTTCTTTGCATGATCTGCAGCTCCATGGAGCTACTGCACTTATCACCTTGCATTTTCCAAGGAGGACATATTTAAGATTTTAAGGAGGGTTTTATTTTTTAAGTGTTGAAGGATATGCTTGACTACTTTTTCTGTGATTCGATGTAATTTGTTATCTAACCATCAACAGTGTTAAGTACTTCACTGATTTTATTTCTCTATTCAATTATAGGAACCTGTTTCCCATATAGTTGCGCGGCCTTCCCCAAATGACATTCTTGACTGGCGTAAGATGCTTATCTTAGCTTTTATTTTCTTTTAGCGTTATTTCTTTCATCATCCTTATCCTTATGATCATCAGCTCTTTTTTCATACTTCCTTTCACGTTAGTTTATGCTTTCTATGCGTTTGCGATGATGACATGGGAAAGGGGTAATGGCAAGTAAATTCGTGATTATGAGAAGTCGACAAATAATATTTTCACTACACTCTTATGAGGAACAGTAATGATTGTCCTTATGAATTTCTTTCTTCCACTTTGAGTTTAAAAAAGATTTTGTGCTTAGTTACATTGTAGATGTGCTTTTGCGATTAATAGAGTGATGTTACTTTTTTAGCCCAGTAAGAAATATAACATTGTTGCTAGCAACTGAATAAGAGGAATAAGAGCTAACGTTTTCTCGTTAAGAGGCAAATTTAATTCTGGTGAACAGCATTGCTTCTTACTAAATAAGAGCCTCTTTGATAAAGAGGCATTAGGAGCCAAGTAAAAAGCACCTTACTGTGATACTGTGATACTGTGATTCTCCCCTTTGACCACATCATTTTATACATGTATGTGATATGACTCGTATTTCTATAATTTTATTGCAGATTATGTATTGGAGGGGAGCCAAGGAACGCCTTTTGCAGGTTGGTTCTTCCTATTTTGACATCAAGAAATGAATTCTAACCAAAGGGCCTTCGGTCCAGTGGTATCCGGTAACCCAACCTTTCTAGAGGTCAAGGGTTCCAACCTCACCAAAGGTGAGGCGTGTGTGTGAGTTCCATTTACTGTATATAAATATTATATACTTAAATTATGAATCCTAGAAATAAAAAATAATGTTCAGAAATTTAAATGGAGTTGAGAGTCTTTGATCACCCAAATCTCGCTCAAAATGCTTGTGCCACTGTTCTCTGCACATGTAGCTTAAGCTTATCCTCAACTGGTTCCGTTTTTATTTCACTCGTTTAATACTTCAGGTGGATTTTACTATGGAAAAATAAAGTTCCCTCCAGAATATCCATTTAAACCTCCAGGAATCAGGTATTTAATAGACATGGCATCAGATTTACTCATTTATGTTTGATATTTGCAGTTTGATTAGGTTGACCGGATGATTGACTTCATATTTATTTACTTTCTTGTAGCATGACCACTCCCAATGGGCGGTTTATGACCCAAAAGAAGATCTGTCTGTCGATAAGTGATTGTAAGTCCTTGAAATCAGTTTGAAAGAATGGAGTTACATATTTATTATCTCTACATTGAGTACTAACTTTTTTCATTCTTTTCCAGTCCATCCAGAAAGTTGGAACCCGATGTGGTCGGTGTCAAGGTAGTGTTAATTTTACCAAATAAAGCAGCTGCATATCCTATGCATATGCTTATTTTTTATCTGTATTATTATTTTGATATCTTTTAAGTTTCTGTTCAACATTTTCTTATGCAGCATCCTGACGGGGCTCCTCTCCTTCATGGTGAGTTCAGTGGCTCATCTATTAATTATAAAGGAAAAAGTGGACTTTAAGATTTTGTGGTATTTTCTCCTTTCGACTACACCAGCTATTTTGTGCTAGCTATGGTGCATACAGTCCTAAAATAGTGACACTAAAGCTGACATTGAGTAGCAAGTTTTCTATACTAACACTAACATGTTGTGCAATAGCTTTAATTTTCAAAATGTTGTGTAATAGCTTTATTAGCTATGCACCTAGAAACTAGCATTACAATCATGCATATAATATAATATTCCATGGCTTTCTCATATTTTATTGACTTCAAACTTATATCACCCTGTATGCATCAAAGTCATTTGGATTTGAATTCTGAAACTAAAATCAGCATTGGTTCCAAAATAACAAAATTCTTCTTTTGCATGCATGTGGTTACTTTTGAGATTATGTATCCAGCAACCTTTTTTGAGGTTTTACTAGCAGAAAAGATGGTCTTGCTAGTCTAAACCTTAGTTGTTTTTCTAATTCCACAAAGCAATTTATCCTCATAGCAGTGACATTTGCAGAATGTGTAGAATGTTGGTGTTGGTTACGTACACATTGTAACTTGTTTTAGGGGCTGTTTGGTTGGTTTTCCATCAAGTCCTGTATGGATAAAGGTGTCTGTATAGAATGAGAAGGTTTTTGTTTGGGAGGATTTTCTCATAAATGGAATGAACATGTTTTTTAATTGGGAAGGGCAGGTTTGGAAAAAACTTGGTTTTCTGCATAAAGCTCCCCCCTAGAAGCTTACTAAATAAGCCACTTTCTATATCATTAAGCCACTACCAAACAGTCATGAATAGCTGACCGAATAAGTTGCGAGTCCCATTAAGCTTATTAAGCTGCTAACAAGCAGGTTCTACGTTATTGTTTATGCACGCAGATGGACAACAGTCCCACCACCGGTAGTGTAAATACTACTGTTGCTGAGAAGCAACGGCTTGCAAAGGCATCTCTGGCCTTCAATTGTAGAAAGTGAGTTGTCTATTATTATTTGAGTTGGGGACTGTTTGCAGAATTAGTAGTAATTGAGTTTGGATATTATTTTGTTGGCAGCGCAACATTCAGGAAATTGTTCCCGGAATATGTGGAGAAGTATGAAGAGCAGCGGCTGTGCGAGCAGCCTGTTGTAGAAGCGCAAGAAAGTACACAAGGTTTGATAGAGAAGAGAGAGGAGGCAAAGAGAGTAGAAACCCCAAAGGAAGAAATAAGACAAGCAAGGAAAGCGTCATTCCCAACTTGGATGCTGCTGTTGCTAGTTTCGTTTGTTGGTCTTGTAATGGCTTTGCCTCTGCTGCAACTTTGATGTTCTTGATGGTGATATAATTACTAACTTAAAAGGGTGTGTTAAAAATGCTAAGTCTGGATATGTTTAATCCTTGAATTGTTGGGATTTTGGTTGTCTATATCTATGATACGTATGCAGCATCATATCTCCTGCTGTGTTTTGAATCTATATATCAACACTGCTATAGAGGTGAGGTGATACCATCTCCAAATATTTAAAGATGGCTGAATAGATACATTTTGCTTCATTCATGTACATACATACATATGGGGAAAGAATGTTCATATAGTTATTTCATGTATTATTCATTATGAATAATCATGTCACACATTTTCATAACTCATGATATCATGTATTTTCAAGATGAATATTATGTTTTTTTAATCATAAATATGATGCATTTTTATCTTGTATTTTCATTATGAATAATTTGCATCATGAATATCATTCATGATAAATAGTTGGTTCCTAGATTCTTAAGGTATTTATGGTTCTAATTTGAATTTGTTCTTATGTAGATGATAAAGAAGGGAAGTTGTTAAAAGCATCATTTATAGCATTATGTAATTGGTGTTGTATGGCAAATCAAAAGACATTTGACAGTCACAAACTTGCATCATCTTTAATATAGAAAAGCTATATATGCTAAATCATAGTTTAACCGGAAAGATCTTGAGTTTGTTTTATGAGTCATCAGCTCAAATTCTTTCAAACGGGCTTGTTTAGTTGTTAACTTTAGAGTCTCATCAGTCAAGATGGTGTGGGCTCTTGCAAATATTTAAAGAAAAACTATACAATTTTTTTGGAGAAAAGATGTATTTATATAGTGATTGTAGTTGTAGAAGGGTACCTGTATTCAAGTGATATAATAATTTGCTCAATTTGAATGGAAAAAGGATTAGGAGGGTTTTAGGGGGTAACCTAAGACACAGTCCCTGAAGCTGTGGCGCATGAAATGCCACCACCATTACCTTTCCTCATTTAACATGATGACACAATTAATTAACCACTAATCAATTCAATTTCTTCCCTCTTCATCTTCATCTCTCTCTTCACAGCCAATGCTGCAGCTGGTCTCTCTTAAACAGGTACACGTAAAGTAGCTTTTTTCCATTAATTACAACTTGAACTCCAGTAGGGTAACTCTTTGATTAGATGTTATTTTAGTGATTACACAGTATTCATGCCCACCAAATGTTCGTTGAGTTGTCAAGATCATTTTCTTGATATCAAGTGGACAACTTTCTCCCTTTTCTATTTCTCTTTGTATTTTGTTTCACTAAAACTGATGATCCCTTTGTATATTTTTCTTCTCTAGTCCAGTCATGAACAAGTCTCCTCCTCCTCCTGTTAAATACTATGAAACTGGGGATGAGTATGATCCCCACTTCGAATTCGCACAGGTATTCTCAACAATCTGTACTTTGTTTCATCTCAAAACCATGGACAAATGTGGGATGAGAAGTGAAATAGATTAAAAAGAGGATATAATCTGAATCTGATGTTGGTTTTCGTCAGTTCTTGAAGGAAGCAAAAACACATGCTTGCCAGCAAAAGTCTCTACATGCATCAGAAAAGGAACAGTTGAATGGAACAAGAAAGCCCAATAAGTCGTGGAAAAGCTCCATCTTCCCATGGTTAAAATCCAATAAGAAAAGTAGCCACAAGAAAGTCATCGAAGAGGACCCACCACCACTTTCAGAAAGCTCCCCCAAGACAAGACCAGGCTATGTTTCTGTCCCCATGAACAGGATCAGCGCTGAACGACCAAAACGACCAACTTCAGGACCTCTTTTATCGACTCTATTCAAGACAAGGGAGGAGGAGTTTTGGATGCCATATATTTCACTTGGGAAGTTCAATCATTCGCGGGGTGTTAACCCCTATGGTCCTATTTACATGGTAACATAATCAAAGTTCAATGCGATTTATTATCTTTTTGTTTTGTTCAACCTTGAGAATGTTGGGAAAGTCAGTCTAGCGAAGATGCTGCACGTAACAAAGTAACCATTACTTGCAAGCAATTCAATTCAATTCAAATACATTACCCTCCAATTGTTTTCTTGATATCTCCTTATAGTACGTGATTTTGACATTGTTTAGAGATGTCATAGTCGAAAATATCATTCAACAATGAATTCTTGATTGTCTTCAATGTCGCAATAACCAGTGATTCCGAGACAACAGTTTCAACAATTCTTAGAAGAGATGATGATTTTATAACAGATTGCATCCCTCTTACTACTTTCCATTTTATAACAGATGATCTCTAAGCTAAAATATATCCAATATAATAGCTTTCTCAATTCGTTCATATACAGAATTGATAAATGAACGAAATATATGAAGCAGGAGAGGTTCCATGGTCTCAGAACCGAGCCAGCATCCTCTTCACAAGCATCCAACAATCCAATAACAAAAAAATGAATTCTTATAGACTTGAATCTTGATCAACGATGACCTCTGGACCCTTGTTCGACGCTAGTACTGGCAGGACTAAATGGGTTAATAAACATTCTACTGCCACTCAAGATTCTCCTGAATGATCTCATTCGAGATGAAACGGGTGTTTTTTGACCTTCATCTTCATCAATCAACCTTGGTATGTCAATCACTAAATCTGGTCTATTTGGCTGTGATGATGAAGATGTTTCAGAAGTTAAAATAGCTGTTTGATGATGATTATTGGCTTCTTCCAATTGAGAAGTCAAAGTGCTAACTTCAGTTTCATCTCCCCAAAACAAAATATTTGTTGGGAATTCTCGTGAATCACCATTCTCTGTTGATTCTTCTTGTGTTTGACGACTTTCCAACAGATTCTCAACCGAAATTTCGGTCTGATGTGAAACAGGGTTTCTACAAATGGGACAAGTCGAATGTGAATGAAACCACATATCAATGCATTCCATATGAAACCCATGACTGCATTTTGGCAGAATTCGAGCTTTTTCTCCTTGGCCGAGCTCCGATAAACACACAGTACACTCAAATCCTTCCTTGAAGTCTTTGGGGTCGAAAATTATGACAGGTATGGTTTTCAAGAATGAGGCGTCAAGGCCACGGCGGAGGACGGTGACTCCAGACTGCTGTTCCAGGTGTCCTGCTGTAAAATCTCCACGGCGACGACGGCGGTGGGTGTTGGCGACGTCCCGTTCTTCTTCACGGCGGTACCAGAACCACTTGGCATAGAGGTGGACAAAGAAAACGAAAACCACAACCACGGAGGCTACTAGGATTGATACGATCAAGATCTTTCCGGCAAGCTCCACCACATTCGATTCATGGTAAGTGGTCATCTTGGATCAAGATTTGTATATGATCAACTAAAGGCAAGAAAAGTTAGCTGAAATGTTGATGAGCCTGAGATTGGAAGTAAAGGTTCGAGTTTCTTGTATTAGAAGTAGTGTAAAAGGTCTAGAGAGAGAAGAATGAAGAAGGGGATTTATAGGGTTAAGAAAAAGATGATGAATTGGGGAAGAAGATGAAAGCGTGGGAGATTTTCAAGGAAGTAGAAGAAGATGACAAGGATGGAGTCTTGAAAGGGACATGAAAGAAACACAGTAATTCAAGAAGTCAGCAGATGGAGATGGGTGAAACAGTTTGCAGGGACGAAGAAGGATTCCAAACCCTATCCCTCATAATTTATTTATTATTGATTAGCCTTTGACGGGTAGCATCGTTAAAACACGTGTGTGGTCTTCAATTTCTCCATTTGGCGTACCAAATCCATTTCTTTGTTTTGCTGTGAAGCCGACTTGAATTTGACAATGGAAGTTGAAATCTATTCTAGATTGGGTTACGTTTCTTTTGTTACTGCTGCTCGTGATGGGTAAATGATTAGGATATAGAGTCATCTGTTACAATATGACAAATGGTAATTATGGTGATGGTGATATCAACAGACGTACCCATATATATCAAGAAAAAAAATTGAAACTTTGTACAATCGGTTCGTTCGAGTTCTTATTTTTCAAAACAATAATTGTGTGGTTAAATTAAATTGGATATAGAGATATTGGGGCACCGAAAAGGAAAAGAAAAAGAAAAAGAGATTAGGGAGGGGCAAAATGATGGTTGCAACGTTGATTAGGGAATAGGGAGGGAGCAGCCGTGCTAGTTTTCATCATTCCCTTCCCAACACCAAAAAAATGTAAATTTTATTTGAGTTTGTATCGTATGCCTAATAATTATACTTGATCTTCACATCCTCTCAAATCTTTGAGTTTCTATTACCAAAATACTAATATTACATTCACTTCCATCTATTTTCGATGAAAGAAGAATACAATTACCATTTGATTTGATTTGATGGAGGAACTTTGAAGCATAGATTCAAGAGGATGTCATTTCCCTTCCTTCCTTGAAAATAACACAAATATATTTAATATTTAATATTATGATTAGAATACAAAATTAGCAATTAACTGATAAATGATTGATTATTCAACTCAATTAATTTTGCTATACCAACAAATAACCACCGCATCTACTAAATCATTTTTTATTTTATTTTCAAAGTCAATATGATATATAAAATTAAGTGTGGATTAACGGATAGTATATAATACAAAAACTCTAAAAAGACTCATTTAACATATATTAAAAGAAAAGATATAAAAAAAGGTGTTTGATGATGAAGTAATATATATATATATTTGATAGGTTATCTACCAAGCAACCATAATATAATATAACACTTTCTATGCTTCTTCAATTACTCTTTCATTCATTCTAATCATTTCTTTTACTTTGTGTTTTCATCTTTAAACATGTTAGTTTTGCTTAATTTTTATATCTCATTCGTTTAATCCTTTTCAAGATTATTGGAGAATTTGTTCAACTTTAACGAGTTGACTCAGTCGTCCATAATAAAAATAAAAACATTACTTATTTAATAGCTATTAATTACTTGTCTCATCTAACTCCATATATTGATCATAAAATAGGAAACATAGATTTTAAATTAATTAAAGTTTGTTTTTATTTTTAAATTAAATTAAATATATAAAAGAGCCTATAATTATTAATTCATGTTTTTAGTTTAACGTAATGTATATATTTCCATCACATATTAATTAATTATGGACTGTAGAGATTCTCAATCATTTGTAATTGTATGCAACATTAATTTACCTTCTCTTTTTAATTTCATTTTGCTATTCACACATATATAAATAAATATTCATCACTTAACCATTTTCAAGTATAAGACCAAATCCATCACCTATTTAAGTGACCTCCGTTAAGTTGCATTTTTATTTTTTTAAATAAATATATATATATAGTTTACTAATAAATTAAATAATAAATCATTTGAAAATCAATATTCATTTTCATATCCCATCATCTTATCAATTAGTTATAAACAGGATACAGATATTTTTAAATGAAACGATAAGTCGATAACTTAGTCTCGAATAAAACGTCCAAGTCACCCCATAAGCTAGTCGATCTAATGTGGACATTACAAAAGCAAAATTAGAAGAGTGGCTCGTGGGGACCTTTGTTGGTCGACTCTCATCTATATATGTAATGTCAATCATACATTCAAAAGTTGACCACGTACATCTCTTCCCAATAAGTCACGTTTACAAATTACTTTTTTTCTTTTTAACAACTTAAGTATATACATATATAATAAATGAGAATATAGTTAATTAAATACACACGTACGGTTGATGGTTTAAAAATCATGAGCATCTCCTATAGAGGTAGCTACTATACAGGTAGAGTTGCAATAGCAGATGATGTCTCGAAGAAGCTGTTGAGAGATGATATCGGAACAACGAACGGGGGATGTGGGCTCGAATGGTATTTCAACCAAGTATCAATGAGCTGATCGAGCATGGAATTGATCACAGTTTGGAAGCGTTATGTATGTGTACTCATCCACTTCACAAAGGCACACTATATATGCAATCAAAGCTTTCTTTCTCTACTGCCATTACCACGACTTCATCCACCAACTTTAACTAACTGCAACCCACATACTGATGGTACTGGTACGGTTGTTTGTCGTGGCCAAAGCCACCAGAAAAGTGGATGTGCCACCAACAAACATGCATCTCCGTTGTTTCCATGCTTCTCAAGAGTTGATTCATTGTGGGGGAACTCAAGAATGGAATGAAGTGTTATAGTTAGACGAAACAGGGAAGATGCATGCATTTATATGTATAGGAACATAACATTATGAATGAGATATATATATATATATATATATATATATATAGTAAGGCAGTAAATTAATAGTAAGGAGATGATGAAGAGGGTGGCTTTCAAATTAAATGACTTAATGAACTGAAGAGAGAAAGATATTAAAGTAAAGGTGAATGGGTAAATTACAAAGTAATGGTATTAGTAGAGTCTCATCAACCTTTATCTGATCTGCTTGCATGTCACTAAAATTATTTAATAAACAATTAATTACATGTCTAATTTCATTTCATTTCATTTCTATTGTTGTTCATAAGAAATATGAAACTTAATCATTAAAAAGGATCAAACTATTACCATAAATTAATTTAATTTGGTTTAAGAATTAAACTACATGACTATATATACTTGATTAATAATAATGATGATGAATGAGAAAAAAAACAGTTAACATTATAGGTCCTACTATTACGGTTAATTTTTTTTATTTACAAAAAGATTTATATATTTTTTCCTTTTAAGTTTTATACCATATATACTTTCTAGCTACTTAAAATTTTATTTAATATTTTCTATAAGTTACATCATTAAACAATAACAACCGTTAAAAAATTATTACTAATTATTTTATTTTTAACATTATTAAATAACTATTAATTTAAAATAAAATAAAAAGAAGCATAGACGTTTTAGTAGATGATATTTTTGGCTTATTCATTTCATAAAACTAGAAAAAAGAATCTTTCAACTGTATAGATCATGTTTTGGCTATTCATTTCATTTCATTTATTTTGAAATATTTTAGTCAAACTTTGGTCATACAAACATTTTAATATACTGAAGGATAAAGAGACGAGAGAGAAGTTGAAAATTGGGCTGAGAAACTGATAGCCCATCAAACCCAATGTAGAATGAACTGGGCTTTCCTGAGAGACTTGGGTTGGGCCCAGTATGATTTCCTTGTTCTGGTTTATGTGTTATTGTTCTATAACTATTGGAGCCTCATTCATCTCCATCTGGCAATCAATATTGGGTTGGGGTATTTCTAAGCTGGCGTTTTTGAACCTCATGATTTTCGATCTTGGGTGTTTTTTTTCTTTCCAAATCAGGGGTATCAAAATGCTTAATTTTAATTACTTCATTCATCTGATGCATCACCCTTGTTTTTCATTTTCTTGAATTTATGTTGTTGCAGAGAAATTAAAAGGAGAAGTGGATAGATTATTGAAAAGGAAGATCAGATGATTATTACCCAAAGATTTCTGTGTTTGTTCTGATCTCATCTCTGTTTGTTTGTCATAATAGACCACATGCACGGAATGGTGTTTGTTTTTTCAAACTCTGCAATTCGGCAAGAGCTAATTAGTGTTGGGTAGGCCTAATTAGAGTAGAGTATTAATTAGATGGTAAGTTTATTAATTAGAGCTAAATGTGATGTGATGTGATGTGTTAGTTTCATATCACAGGATCAAACCTGCAACTAAATTCAACTCAGTCAGAGTCAACCCTTGCAACTTGTCAATATATCATAAATAACAAGTTGTTATATATAAAAGCAGCGGCGGGAATGGGATTGAATCAGGACAGAGTTCACAAAAGCCAATATTTGTGGAAGCAACGTTGATTTGATGAAACCCGTGCGGGCGTGTAAGTGGCACCCTCCATTCACATTGACTATCCTTTCCTCTTTTATATTTTTAATTCAATTGGGTTTCTTGCATCATCTTTCCTAAAATAGATATAACCCATTTCCAGTAACTAAAAGAAATTGTTTGGTAAACATCATCAACATATCTCTGTATGACTAACAAATAAAAGGATTCACTCTGGAAAATATCTTACAACATCCTTTCCATATACATACATATATATATATATATATATATATATATTACATGTTTGTGTACAAACTGTTTAACAACAAATGAAATAAAATCTCAAGGGTATGTATGTATGTATGTATGTATGTATTTGTATTGTTAGTTGTTTCTTAGACAAATTGAATGATATCACAAGTAACTGCAACTCTCAGAAAGAGTGGACTGAAGACCCTGAGTAAAGTAACTGGTGAGCCAATCAACCGTGGTTTCCAAGGCACTGGTGCCATAACGACTCACCATGTCATAAAATTTCTTCAAGTAAAGATTATGGTTGTCTTGATCATGGGAACCAAAGACAGAGACAGGGGTTCTACAGAGTGGGCAATTTGGATGCTCTTTTAACCATGCTTTTAGGCACTCTACATGATACCCATGACCACACCTTTCTAACATGGCTAACCGTTCACCCAAGACCACCTCAGACAAGCAGACGATGCAGTCGATTCGAGAGGAGTTGACGGTGAGCTCCTTGACTATCATGTTGTGGTGGGCATGAGGAGGAGTGGATGAGTGTTTTAGCAACCAAGACTTGATTGGTGTGGTTATGGAGCTGACATAGGCAGCTATCATAATCATCATCATCATCATCTTGATCTTTAGGAATGGAATGGAATGGATTGGATGAATGAAGAAGAAATAGTAGTAATAGCCGTAGCAGTAGCAGTAGCAGGTTTTTGTGAAGAAGATGAAATAGACAAAAGGAAGTGTTTTGGTTTGGTGGGAGAAATGGATGGTATGCCTAATTTAAAGTGAATATATAGTTGGGAAAAGCTGAATGGATTAAGATATGAATGAAATGGTGTAGCATTTGCATTTAAGGAGAAGCGTGGTAAATGAACATGAGGGGTTGCCAAGTGGGCAAGGGTCGAAAATCAATCATTCATTGCCTTTGATCAATTGGGGTCTATCTTTGAAGATAAGCAAATTGGAATTGTAGTAGATACCAACTACCATCATATTGTTGTTATTAATAGGGAAAGACTTGTTTTACCATAACAAACAGGTAAGGTATTGACTATTGAATTATTGATATTAATTAATTAATTAATTAATTAATTAGGGCTGCGGATGTATACGTATACTTATAATACATATAGGGAAGGGAAGGGAAGGGAAAGGAAAGGAGAGCGTAGTCGTCCATTATAAATATGTGGGTCCCGCTAGCTTCGCTTTTGGATTTTGGTTTCATACTACACGCTACAGAGCTCACAACATAAACGTTTCTATAGATAGTAGGTAGCTCCACTTTTGGAAAATTCAACCACATCCTGCTTAGTCAAACACACCGACCAAGCGACATATAACATGTAAACAAAATCCAATCTCCATTATTATTCTACACTACAGGGAAGAGGAGAGGAGAGGAGAGGTCATCATCTGTCCAACTCAAAAACACATAAACTAAATTGTATTTTGCATATCTTACAGAATTTTGAAGCTTTTGTTTTGTCTTGCTCACACAAACAGACTGCATCTGGAAATCATATACCCTTCATTTAAAAAAACAACATGTATATTCTATCAGTTGTATATATATGTTCAAGAGCTAGAGAGCGATTCGGGTGATTGGGTGACGTTCTCGGAGTTGTTCAGCTGGGACTCAACTTTTTGTTCCACCTCCTTCCTTTTCTTCCCTTGTTCTTGTTTTGTTTTATCAATCTCTACTTCAATCCTTTCCCTCTGCCAAAAACAAATACAAGATTAATTGTTACTATATATAGGTGCGGTGCAGTGCAGTGCAGTGCAGGGTGATGAATTATATTATATATTGGATGGAGGGACGGACATCTTGTAGAGTATGGGTAGCCGGATGCTTAACACCATGAACGGCAGCGCGCTCCGACGTCTTAGCTGCAAACAGCCGACTCCACCTTGCTTCCAACACTCTCATCATCCTCATTTTCCTAATGCATGCGGTTGTGTTTTTTGTTGATTTTATCTCATCTGAATTATATTTTATATCTATATATTTTTAAAGATGATGATGATGATCCATGACAGATGGAGAACATGCAATGCTACCACGTGTAATTGTATTTGATCCATTAACTTTCTGATGATGATACTTATCCTGCTTCTCTTCTGAATATATGATGGAGCTTCTCTCTTCAAGTGGCAAGTTTCTCGTGTTCATTACCCTGGAAAACAGAGTTGGAAAATAAACTGGTTTTTAGCAACAAAAAACCAGATGATTTCTAAATTTTAAGAAAACGATGATAACAAAAAAGATCAACAAGACATAAAATAGTTAGACATCTGTTGTGGGTGGACCTTGCTGTTTTTTCTTTACCATTGAACGGTCAATAAGATAATGCAACCTCGAAAAACTACAAGACTATTCAACAATACGAGGGACAAATCTGTTGACAGATTGAAATTTAGGGACCAAAAAGCGAACTTTACTCTAATTTTTTTAGAATAAAGAATAGGGACAACGGTGAGCATCAGAATTGGTGAAGTTAAGATCAAATCAAGGTTTTTTTTTTGTTATTCATAAAATTGAATAAAGAATAGGAGAAGACCCGGTTGTTCCAATAAGACAAGATACTTTGTTGCAACATGTAAACCATAGAAAACATTGCCTTATAGGAATTGGTCGATCAAGATCAAGTTGTATGTCATGTGGAATATGTAAAGTACTACAGAATGAAGCTCACATGATCATATGTGACAAGTGACCAGCTCCCTGTGAAATGGATGAACACTGAGGTTGTAACAACATCCATTCTTGGTTACCCCACAACAAACGTTAAACAGGTTCTAAATGACGTGAGGCATGGCCGTCACTGGACTATTGTGTGAACGAGATGCTCTGACCCTGACCCGACGATTCAAAGCAAGTACGAATGACTTTTCCAACATGCAAAGCAAATGGTGAAAGTGATACGGATGCATAAAGAAGGAGAAGAGGGAATTTACAAGAATAGATGAGACGGCCCCATAAACCAAGCCTCTTTCTACTCGGAAAGATTTCTGGTTTCATAGCTAATGTTTGCAAGGCAGTTGAGTTGTTCTTATCAGATTCCAACACAGTTTTGGGATGTGTATCTGTAATTTCAAACGACATCTGCATCAAATATTGGACTCTAGATCAGATGTGAAAGAATTTGTGTAATCAGATAACAGTTGATAGATATTTTAAGCATCAAAGCAAGTACCAATTCTTCCCTCTCTTAAAAGATCAAAAGCGAAGCTGTGAAGCAATATCCAACATTTAGTTGATAGATTTTGCAAAAGTTCTTCAAAGAAACACAGGCCCAACAGTGTTTAACATTTGCACCGATTTGATTCCTTCTTTATAGCTCTTGTAACCATATCCTTGAAGTAAAATTCAGATATCAACACATAATCCATTTAACTTCTTCGATTATATATATTATACGGCCTTTAATTCACATGGGGTTTTTATAACATGTGCGAGCTAACTATGATGTTAAGGATGAGAAACCAATCTTAAGAACAAAATATTCTTTATTTATGGACATGTAAAAGCTACAAAACCTAAATGGATTCTTTACAAGACTAAGAACAACAAATGGGGAAACTGAAAGGGAAGATAAAATAGAATTGTAAACTTGAAGGCTAACTTACAGCGATACTTATTTGAGGGTAATAACTCAAACACAAACTTGAAGAATGTCTGCAGAGATGGACCTGCAAGAACGATCAATCGAGATCAGAAATCAAGAGTTAGGGTTTTCATACGCTACCTCAATGCTCAAATCAAAATCGAATAGAAGAAGCTTGCTATCGATGTGATTGAGATAAAGAGGGGGGATCGATGCAACACGTTGTGATGTAGGTATCTTTGTTTCCATTCATTTCTTCAACAATGCACCAAATACAGAGACCTCTGAGTGGTGATGTTGTTCACGATAAAGAAAAGCTGAAACTATTTTCAGGTGAAACTCAAAGCTTCAACCTTGGTGGTTGTGTACTAAGGAGTTGTACACTATGCTTTTTTAGTTGTAATTCATAGTTTTTTTTAACTTCATGTAAAATAAAGTGATTGTAAATTATGCTTTATGACTTGTCTTTTAACAGTTTTGTATCGAATGTTTTATAATGTAGTGTATATATATATATATATATATATACTATATACATGGAAAATGATAAAATACAAACCAAACTATTTTTACAAACCGTAAAAATCGTCGATTTCATTGTTTAGTTTATTGGATTTTTTTCCATGAAATTGTTTAATATAATGAAATTGTTGCAAATAATTCATTTCATGATGAAAGTGTATCATATATTTTTGTTTCTATGTAAAAATTAAATTGTAATGTATTCCTCGTTTTAATGAAATTTGGTTACTAAAATTAATAGAAAGAATATGATAATGTTTATAGTTATTTGAAGTGAAATATTTGAAACAATTTCATGAATTTTTTTCACTAAAATAAACAATGAAAATCCACGGTTTTTAAGGTTTAATACAATTGGCTTGGTTTGCAAAATATCCCTCGTGTGTGTGTGTATATATATATGTGTGTGTGTGTGTGCACGCACGCAATATAGACTTGAGATCATATAAGACAAGACTGTTTTCATGAGACACGATTTCTACACTTGAAACTTCACAGCAAAATATTGTGAATGTAACTTTCACAGTGTTTTTGCTGTGAAATTTCGACTTTTTTTTATCATCACAACATTTTTTTGTGAGACATTTGAAAAAACATTTTTACACTTGAAACTTCACAACAACAATGTTGTGAAGGTAAAAAAAAGCCGAACATTCATAGCAAAAACAAGGTGAAAGTTATCTTCATAGTATTTTGCTGTAAAGTTATAAGTGTAAAAATCGTGTCTTATGAAAGCAGTTTTGTCTCACATGATCTCAAGTCTCTTTTTCTCTATATATATATATATATATATATATATATATATATATATATATATGTGTGTGTGTGTGTATTAGAGTTAATCAGATAGTTGATCCATGTAGTTTGATAGTTTTTATAAAAATAAGAAGAAAAAAAAAACAAAAAAGAGTTGTAAAAATATAGGGAAAACATGGTTGGACGAATTTACCCCTGACTTTAACGGATATTTTAAACGACTTAGTGGTGAGGCTTCATTTTCAAAGCAAAATTCAAACATGAGGGACGACATCTTGACTTATTGAAGTCCAGATCCCACTTTCAAAGAAATCATTAAAATCAGAGACCAAAAATGAAGTTTATTCTTAAAATAATTACCATAATTTAGTGAGGAAAGAGAATAGAACATAGGGTTTAAGAAATTGTGATACCAACGGTTAATGAAGGCAAATCAATGAATGATAAAAGGAATTTGCAAATTCTGGGACATAACTAAGACATCAAAATTTCCTTCCAAGTATAAAAACGGAATTTTAATTACCTAACTTTGGTCAATGAGAATTAATTATTGGGGACAGACCGGTAAAACAATAGTTTCGATGCCATTAAGTGGATGAGATTATGGGGAATACCCGACCCCACCCCATGGTAAAAGGATGGTAATATAATAAATCAATGGACGGGTAAAGACATTGAATTGTCAACCCCAAGTGTGGAAATCCATGCTCTTGGTACGGATCAAATAAACGGGGTATCTGTCAGGGTCGAACCATTCCCTAAGGTTTTAGGTGTTTCTTACATGTATTACAAAAGTTTTGTGAATATATCATAAAAAATAGAGTTTTTTCATCAGTTTCGGATAGAAGTGTCGGGAAGATGAAAACAACAAAATCCATTTTGTTTTTTAATAGACCAATAGTTTTGAAAAATATCAACGCATTACTTTGTTAGGTGCAATTGTATATATTTTAAAATAACACAACTCTTTTGTAACAAAATTATACGAATAACTTGAATTTTAAGGTGTTTTATGAACATACTTTAAATAAGAAAAAATAAAAATTCCGTTACCTAATAAGTTTCTTGATTTACACCCTTTATTTTCTTTTCTAGCAAGTGGTAGTAACGATGATGTGCATCAACTCAACCGCTGCTCCACCAGATCTCACTCCCCTTGTTATTAACCAATTTCCACCTCCCCTCCTCTACTGCCACTGCGACGGCCTTTGCTTTTTGAACACCCATAATGGACAGAGAATCTTCCGATGAAGAAGAAGATCGCCGCCATCTAATTCATCAAAATGATACAATCCCTAAATCTCCTCACCCTTCTACCTTCCAGATCGACGACGACCACCCCAACCAGTTCAAGAGCCCTCGTCACTCCTCCTATGCTAATCATGTTCTCAATTTCACCTTCAACAAAAGGTACCTATTTGCTATTGCTCTCCCCCTCCTCATCATCTTCATTTATTTCACCTCCGATTTCAAAGCCCTATTCCGTACACATCTATCTTCCCATTATGACCAAGACGGTGCGGTTGCTTCTAATTTGATGCGTCAGTCTGAATTGCGAGCTTTATACTTGTTAAAACAGCAGCAATCACGCCTTCTTGATTTATGGAACCGTGCAGCAATTCCTAGTGTCAACTCCAATTCCACCGACTCCAATTCATTTCAAGATTTTCGATCTGCCCTTATTGATCAAATTTCTTTGAATAAGAAAATACAGGATGCTTTATTGTCGACCCATCAGTTGGGGAGTTGGTTGGATTCCGGAGAACATAATGTTACGGACCCTCGTCTTTCTGGTTTAACTGCTTGCCAAAAAGTAGACCAAAAATTATCTGAAAGGCGAACAATAGATTGGAAGCCCAAACAAGGTAAGTATCTATTCGCCATTTGCACGTCTGGCCAAATGTCCAACCACTTGATTTGCTTAGAGAAGCACATGTTCTTTGCTGCTGTGCTGAACCGTGTGTTGGTTATTCCCAGTGCTAAGGTTGATTATGAGTTTAGCCGTGTGCTTGATATTGATCACATTAATAAGTGTTTGGGCAGACAAGTTGTGGTCACGTTTGAAGAGTTTGCAGAACTTAAAAAAAATCATATGCACATAGACAAGGTTTTATGTTATTTCTCATTGCCCCAACCTTGTTACGTTGATGATGATCATGTAAAGAAGTTGAAGGCTCTGGGTGTTTCACTGAGTGAGCTTAAGACCGTATGGACTGAGGATGTGAAGAAGCCAACAGAGAGAACAATCCAGGAGGTAACTGAAAAGTTCTCCTCCAATGATGAGGTTCTTGCCATTGGAGATGTCTTTTTTGCTGATGTGGAGAAACAGTGGGTGATGCAGCCAGGTGGTCCTATTGCTCATAAATGTAAGACCTTGATCGAACCAAGCCGTCTAATCTTGCTAACCGCCCAGCGCTTCATCCAAACTTTTTTAGGAGAAAATTTTGTGGCTCTTCACTTCCGGCGCCATGGCTTCTTAAAGTTTTGGTATGTATGTCCTTTCTTTTGCAAAGTATCATTTTCACAAATCACCCATTGAATGTTAAATCTGAATCTCTTACATTTACATGCAACAATGGTTGCAAGTAATTGTTGATTCCCATTGCCTCTGATTTTCATAGCTATATCAATATGAATATACTGATAGTGCAGACACATAAATTTGATACTTATTTTGTTGATAATCTGTATAGCTCCTAATGGATATATCCATGACCACATTGAGTTGAAATTTTACAGACTTTACAAATTTGATATAAATTTTGTTGGTTATATGCATAACCCCAAATCAACAGACCAGTCATCATTTTTCACTTCCAAGTGTAAGGAATCATGATGACTGATTATTCGTTTGCATGATAAACCCCTGCATACCGTATAGGCTACAAAAGTTTCATCCCTTGGGTGTGGTTTCTCTGAGTCTTTCCAGAAACTGATTATCTGTCTGCATGGCCCCAAGTTCAGTGACTAGGTGGCCTCATCACCTAATTGACAGCTTTAGAAGACTTCTTACACGTTTTGGCTAAACAATACCTTCTTTTTCCTTCCTATTTGGTTGTAAATATGCAGAGCCAACATATAATTCGCACTTGTACCATACCAAAATAGATTTTCGTAAAAAATGGCTTCATGCTATGGAGGCCCTGTATTGGAAGTGGGATTCTTCTCTATCAGAAACACCCATAAAGATCAATTGACTTGTAGTCTTTTTTTCCAAAATTATTCTTACCATGACAAGTGAATCATTCGTAAGATACCAACTCTCCAACAAGAGAGACAAATTATCTGGAAGATGTGCACTGGGAGTACGATACATCTTTGGTCAAGTATAATGCATAGAAAGAAAATGGTTGATTACACAGTTTGCCGGGATTAATCCACGCATAGCCTGGGACACCCTTCCGAAAAAGAAAAGAAAATGGTTGAGTACACAGTTTCTAATCATTTTTTGTAATGCGTAGAATGCCTTTATGTATCATATGACTTTGTAGGCAATAAAGTAGTTCATGAATCAGCCTTCTTGACAGTATTTATTAGAATGGTCACTGATAACACAATGTGTGCATGCAGAAGCACTATTATAATAGAAAGAAAAAACTTTAGAGTTTATTCTTTGAAGTGTGAACACACTCTGCATGATGCTGACAATGCCCTTAGCTTTAATTATTATGGATGGTATGGTATTGTACAAATGTAAAGTAAATTAATCTACTGCATATAGAAAAGAATTCCAATACTTGTTTGGACCATTATGCTCTGAACCATGATGGAAATTGGAGGGATGAAACTTTTAAAGCTTAAGGGGTGCTAATTGAAGAAGAAAGACAGGAGTATCTTGATTCCTAGGAATTTTTTGTGCTTACTGTCAGAAAACAAGATAATTTTTCATGAATTTTGTATAACTACCTTCACATATTTATTTCAGCAATGCCAAGAATCCAAGCTGCTTCTTCCCAATTCCTCAAGCTGCGGAATGTATTACCCGTCTTGTTGAAAGAGCCAATATGCCAGTGATATATCTTTCTACGGATGCTGCAGAAAGTGAAACTGGATTATTGCAATCACTTGTTATGCTGAATGGGAAGACTGTGCCACTCATTACACGGCCGGCTCGTAATTCAGCCGAAAAGTGGGATGCATTATTGTATAGAAAAAAACTTGATGGGGATCCTCAGGTCAGTTTATCAGCCCATTTCTCTTTATGCCGTCTATCTGTTTTATAGTAATATGACAGGTTGGCAGTTTATTTGGCCCTTGTTTGTGTCATTTGGCTGCTGATCGATCACACTTTATCTTAGTGTTTCTACTAAATCACAATATATTTGTTTCACTTACCAAAATCAGTCTTTTGAAAGCTGCTCCAATGCTCTATATGTTTCCTCATAGATGACAATATGAGTCGAAGAATAGTTTAGAGTTGAAATATTGATTTATGTTTGATGTCGAAGGTGGAGGCAATGCTTGATAAGACCATTTCTGCATTATCCGGCGTGTTCATTGGAGCTCCGGGATCGACCTTCACAGAGGACATTCTTCGGTTACGCAGAGGGTGGGGAACAGCATCAAGATGTGACGAGTATCTGTGTGAGGGTGAGGTGCCAAATTTCATTGCAGGAGATGAATGAATGCATGTGTATGTATACAGTGCTTGTCTTGAAGGTTAAATTAGTAATTGTAACATATGATATTATAATAGCATTAGAATTAGAACAATTTTTTGAATCAGATGAAGAGCTTGGGCGAGTGTTCTTTGTTGTGCTTCTGGATTACATACCTCATCTTATCTTTATGGGAAGATAGCTGCAAATCATGCAATTCTTATTTTTCCCTGCTACATGTGAAGAGCATGCATATAAAGTGTTTGTTTGGTTCATGAACAATGTGGTTGTTTATTGTCTTTCCAACGAGGATTGGATTGTGTCTACTTCAATTAAAGTGAAGTAATATATTTTTCGGTTTTTTTAACCAGGTTTGGAAAATTTCAATCTCGAATATATTTATTTTTATAGTATTTTTACTCCGTTTATTATTATTTTAATACGTTTGAAATTTATCCATTGAGAAAAAGGTTTGAAATTTATAAAACAAACTCGTAACCAATTGATAAAACATGTTCAAATTGAAGACAAATACCGAGCAAGATAATGCATAAAAAAACTCTTAATCATTCTTTCAGAACTAAACAACTTTATAAAAATAAAATCGCATTGACAATGGAACTTATTTTATCTACTCTAGTTTTTTAGTTTTATCAATACATACATTCTGTAAGAAAAAAATGTTGATCTAAAAATAAGAGATGTATAAAACAATATTATGAAAGAAATACAATGTTTGATAAATGATTTTAGTTTTTACTTCTTATTTGATAAATACAATATTTTTTTAGCAGAAATCTCATAGTTTTACTGCTACAATCAAGGGTAGTGAAAGTGAAGCAAGAGAGGAAGATGAATGTACGTTTCAAAATTAAAATTATGGAAAATGTAAATCAATAACGTAATGTTATTAAGACTTGAATTATTTGCAATAGCCACCAAGGAAAAGAAAAAAAAAAAAAGTATTGTACGATGAATGAAGTGTTGTGTTATTATGGAATAAGTTGAGGGGGACATAAACATCAAGAATGAAAGATGGAGGGGAGAAATTGGAATATAATGGAATTGGAGGGACTATCCATGTAACTTTTTATATTTATAAATCCAGGATACACATATGCGATGTTTATTTGTTTCGCAAGACATCTTCTTCTTCCTTCTTTCTGCCGGAGATCGAGAAAAACCGCACCAGAAACAAAACAAGTGATGCCGACTGACATAGAAGACGAGATCAAGGACGAGAAGAACCCTCGACCTCTTGATGAAGATGACATCGCCCTCCTCAAGACTTATGTGAGTAAAATCTCCTTTCTTGCAAGACAAGACCTAGTTTTTCTTTGATGCCATACACTCACGGATTATTTTCTAATTTCCTGCTTTATGCTCTTATTTTTACTTATTCACCAATATTGCTGCTAGGGATTTCGAATTTCTTTGCCCAACTAAGATATTTCATTGCTTTTCGATTTACATGTATAATGATGTTCTACTAGGAATCAAGAAGATCAACTTTTATTATTGGCTTCATCATTTTCCTCACGCTTTTTCTCTCCGCACCATAACCCCTTGGGTGGTTTGGTAAGGTTGTCGACTCTGATGGATTTGGTAGGGTGCCGATCACAACACTGGAACCAAGTTAGGTTCATCTTGATTAAAATATAATAGATTGGATGGACAAGTGCTTCATTAATGGATGGCTGCGATCTGATATTTAAAGACAAGATTACCTAGTATTAGCAATTCAGTGAACTTAATTTCAAGTTAAGGGTTGTTTCATCTTTGTTCAGTTTTTTGATGAATTTTCATGGGTATTTGTGAGTATATGACCTTCCATGATCAAGAGATTTTTTCCAAGTAGATGGCAAAGGGATCATAACTCTCCACCATGGTTATTTTTCAATAGAAAGTTCTTGTTGCATAGATTATAGGTTTACTTCTTATTCTGTAAGAAATTGAAATCATGGTGAGTCACATTGTGATTTGGGTTTGGCTTTAGTTGATTCACGTACCATTATCTAAAATTGATTCAAATTGGATATTCGTGTTTTTTCAACTACAGCTTAGGGGCATAATGATTTGTGATATAGCTAGATTAGGAACTCTTGAGTCAACACTTCTTGCTGAAAATGTGAAAAAGATTCATCCCCTCTCCTCTTGTAGGCTTTAGATATAGTTTCCTATTCTCATACTATTGATTTATCGTGTTTTACTTTATGAGGCCTAGTCAAATCTACATATTCCTTGGGGATTTTTTGGATTAGTGCTTTTTTTGGCCATTTGCCCATCTCACTATTTCAAGTTTTTCAATGGTTCATTTAATATTGTACGTTTGGTTAAGCATCTTATTCTCACTTTCTGAATTGTTCAGGGCCATGTTCTCTTTTTGACACCTTAGTACTACATTTAGAGCTAACTTGTGTTTCTGACCAGAAGGTCATGCTTGCATATCATGAAAACAATCTCTTTATAAAATTCTAGGGTAAGGATGCTTACACAGATTTTCCTCTCCAGTCCTCACGAAGCTGAGGAGTCTTGGTGCATTGGGGTCACCATATTGTGTTTAATATTTTTTTGAAGTATCTAAGAGACAAAAACAATCTTTTGCAATGAGTTTTTATGCAATGGGTTTCCTTATGAAGTTTTAACCGTTGCTGGGAGCAATTTATTAACTATAGATCGATAACATGCTCTTGTTGGTTACCATTCTAACTAGCTCTACTTGTTCTCCTTTTCCATGTATCTCTTCTCTTCTACTCAGTGTGGGATTTTGTGGGTTGTTTGGTTTTGATAACATGCATTTTGTTTTTCCCCATGGGTTTCATCTATTTGTTGGTTAAAAATATCCAGAGAAAATTAGCTTAGAATTGTAATGTCACTGAGAAATGGTCGTGCAGGGACTCGGGCCTTATTCCACTAGCATCAAGAAGGCAGAAAAGGATGTGAAAGAAATGTCAAAAAGGATCAATGATTTATGTGGTATGTTTTTTACTACATTTCTGACACGACTGAGCTTTATTTCATAATCTATATAAAGCTGGTATGAGTTTTTTGCTTCCTTTGTAAAGAGTTCTATTTTTGCTTCTTAAATCTTCTAGTCAAATCTACATATTCCATATACAACAACTTTCCACTTGGATTCCTGAATGGCCTTCTAAATTTTCTTTACACATGGATGTTGTCTAAAAAGGCATGCGATAGGGCACTAGGCTACAGATTTTCGTAGTAGATAAAATTGTAGATGGGGATGTTCAGTATAAGCCCTTTCTTCTTTCCTCAAATCAATTGATTTTACATGCCAAAGTTGAGGAAATTCCCCACTTCCTCACTAACGTTCTCTTTGGCAACAAGCTCCCACTTGCTTGTTCCAGGCTTTCTGGCCTATAATCTTGATTGATTGATTTAGATTGAGAAAATACCAAGTCAGAAAATGATCAGCTTGTTGTCTTCTAGCATGGTGAATTTCTTCACTCCTTTACATGAACTTCCATCTATTGTACATTCCAGCACATCATTTACAATAGGTGTACCAGGATTAGGTTAAGTATTGGGTTCTGCTTCGACCTGTGCCTGTTATATTACTTGGTAGTTGGTGACATCCCTTGCTAGGATATGAAGAGCCTATCAACCTTTAGATATGATTGGCTAAATTTTGTTGCCTAGATTTGTCCTGAACTGTAATTTTCTCTCTTTAACTGTGATAGGTATTAAGGAATCTGACACTGGGTTAGCTGCACCTAGCCAATGGGATCTTGTTTCTGATAAACAAATGATGCAAGAAGAGCAACCTCTTCAGGTTCGACCTTTGTAACAGCTGAAGAGAATTTTCATGTCGGCATCGTCTTGGTTCACTTGATAACAATTGCTCTATCTTGTTGCAAGCAGGTAGCAAGATGCACAAAGATAATTAATCCAAACACTGAAGATGCCAAATATGTTATAAATGTCAAGCAGATTGCAAAGGTTTGTACTCTGTGCACTCTCTTTCTCTCATGGTCACGGACTGTTGGTGTGGATACTTACCACTATTGAAGCTTCTTCAATATTGCCATCATCCACACCTTTTTTCTTTATAAATGAATATACCCTATTTTTTAAAGGTGAAATGAATAGTGAAAGATAAACAAAAATGAGAGTTTCTGCATCTAACATTCTGTTTCTACAAAAATCCACAGTTTGTTGTTGGGTTGGGAGACAAAGTTTCACCTACTGATATTGAAGAAGGCATGCGTGTCGGGTAGGTTCTATCGATTCAGTGATTTTTGCCACTTAAGTTTCTGGGTTATGCAATTTTTCCATGCTCGCAAGTCAACAATTTCTTCTGCATATCAGCATGACGGAGTAATTTCTTCTTATTTTATGGAATTTTCAAGTTGTTGATTTCCATTCTCAATCGCAGTGTTGATCGCAATAAATATCAGATCCAGATTCCCTTGCCTCCCAAGATTGACCCAAGTGTAACCATGATGACAGTTGAGGAGAAGCCAGATGTGACATATAATGATGTCGGTGGATGTAAAGAACAGATTGAGAAAATGAGAGAGGTGTGTAATAATATGCTGGAGTCATATGGCTATTTTTTGTTATTTTTGTGATTTTGTGATTTTGTGATTTTTCTTTCATTTTGTGCAAGCTCTTATCTTGATTGTGGAGTGTAGGTTGTTGAGCTACCCATGCTCCATCCTGAGAAATTTGTAAAGCTTGGAATTGATCCTCCCAAAGGTGTACTCTGCTACGGTCCACCTGGAACTGGCAAAACACTTCTAGCAAGAGCAGTTGCTAATAGGACTGATGCATGCTTTATACGTGTAATTGGAAGTGAGCTAGTTCAGAAGTATGTTGGCGAGGGAGCTCGTATGGTTCGCGAACTATTTCAGGTTAATAAGCAATTCCAAGTTATAATCTCTCTTTTCTCGATCATTGGTCCAATGACGACAATCTTCTAACTGTTACACTTTGACAGATGGCACGCTCAAAGAAGGCTTGCATTGTTTTCTTTGATGAAGTTGATGCGATTGGGGGTGCACGGTTTGATGATGGGGTAGGTGGGGATAACGAGGTCCAACGAACCATGCTTGAAATTGTGAATCAACTGGATGGGTTTGATGCTCGTGGTAATATTAAAGTTCTGATGGCCACAAACAGGTATGTCCATGGTTCATAAATCATCTTGTCTGTGCTTTTGCATAGTGGCAACAATGAATTCTAGATGATGACGTGTTTGTATTACTTGCAGACCTGATACACTGGATCCAGCACTGTTACGTCCTGGAAGATTGGATCGCAAAGTGGAGTTTGGACTTCCAGATATGGAGAGTAGGACACAAATATTTAAGATCCATACACGAACAATGAACTGTGAAAGGGATGTCCGTTTTGAACTTCTTGCTCGCCTTTGCCCAAATTCAACGGGTACATCATCTCTTAATTCTTCAACTCGATGATTTCGTATATTTAGACATGTTGATGGTAGGTAATTTAGTGATTGATTTGTGAAAATGACATGCAGGAGCCGACATAAGAAGCGTGTGCACAGAGGCTGGAATGTATGCCATACGAGCACGGAGGAAGACAGTGACTGAGAAAGATTTCTTGGATGCAGTGAACAAAGTGATCAAGGGTTATCAGAAGTTCAGTGCCACACCCAAATACATGGTCTACAACTGATTTTCATGTTTCCTATGGACACCCATTTGTGTGTTTTCATGTTATCCACAAAACCATGATGCTATCAACCTTTTTGTCTTAATTTTAATTATATTTGTGTTTTGCTCAGCTCATATCTTCTGAATATGCAAATTAGTTTGCAATCTGAGAATTCTTGTGCTCAAATCTTAAAATCACAACTTCTTCCTGGTGAAAAATCACATAATTGAAAAGCGAAAACAGATGGACCTGAACCAGACAATGAGAAATTTAAGCTAAGCGGTTATGATTGTACCCGACCGATGATGTTGGAAAGCGTAAAGTTCGATGAATGAAAACATTAATAATATCGAATAGCACATTGTTGATGTATCCAAACATAATTAACAGCAGTAGCAGTGGCAGTGAAGGGTTAAGAGAAAAACAAGGCAAATTCATTCAGGGTATATAAACACTTTCCAACTTCCAAACCTCTCTTTTTGTTTACTGCAGCCTCCCACTATTTTACAATATAAATAAAAGAAACAACCAACCAACCAACCAACCATTCATTTTCATTAATCAAGGCTCCTCATACTCCTCAGGCCTCAAAGATGACACTTGATCATTACCAACAGTTCTCTTGCTCATGTTTGCCCTCTGCACCAGTCGAACCAACGCCTGCACCACTTCCGACATCGGTGGCCGAAACTCAGGCTCAGGCTGCACATCATCATCATTATCATCATCATAAGAATTAACATATTCATACCCTACAAATATCAAAACCTAATGAGTTGCCTACCTGTACACATAGAGCAATTACATCCGCAAAACGAGACAGAGATTTAACTGGATACAGTCCTTTCAGTGCCGGATCAACCATCTTCACAAGGGCATCAATGTCATGAAGCTGAGGAGTCGCCCATCGCACCAACGACTGCTCAGATCTTGTTCTTGAGCTGTTCATAAATATACATACATATATTCAACACAAAGCCATTCGTATGCTATTAATAAAGATTTATGAACTCAAATTAGAGAACGAGATATAATATAACTTCACCTATCAAACGGTTTTCTTCCCGTCAGCAGTTCCAACATTGTGACACCGAAACCATAGACGTCACTTTTTATTGTGTACTGACCCGACATGGAAACCTCTGGGGCACTATACCCAGAACCACCATTGTTATCCAATTCCTGCAGAACAAGGAAAAAGGCCAAATCATATAATAATGGACTTTTTACCTTTTAACAGACTTGATGTCTACCTGATCTGCATCTGGAACAAGGCTTGCTAAACCACAGTCAGAAAGGTGAGGATTCAGCTCTGAGTCTAGCAAAATGTTGGCGGATTTAATACTTTTATGAACAACGGATGGCGAGCATACTTCGTGTAGATATCTGGAGAGAACAATGTGAGCACCATATAGTGAATATGTGACGTTTATGTTCAAACAAGGAATACCAACTTACTCCAATGCACGTGCTGCCCCTAAAGCGATCTTGACACGGCTATTCCATGTTAATGGCTTGCTGTATTCATCAGTGAGGTGCAGGAAATCATAGAGAGAACCATTTTTAAGGAACTCAAAAACTAGGAGGTGCTGCCCATGCTCAGAGCAATACCCAACCAGCTCTGTCACGTTTGGATGGCGTAACCTTGATACGTCTGAAACTATATCAATGAAATCTTCTGACAGGTGACCAGGGAGAGCAGATGAATTTATCTTCTTAACAGCAACAACCTACAATATCATGGAACTCAAGGGGTTGTGATTTTGTTTAAATGCTGCAAAGTCACTTTTCATATCTATATGGAACAAGTCATCCTCTGTGGGATTGTTGCATGCAATGCTATCAGGGCTATTATATTGAATAGAACACTTGGGGTCTGTTTGTTAGCAGCTTAATGGGACTCAGCTTATTTAGTCAGCTATACATGACTGTTGGATAGTGGTTTAATGATATAGAAAGTGGCTTATTCAGTAAGCTTCTAGGGGGAGCTTTATGTAGAAAGCCAAGTCTTTTCCAAACCTACCCCTCTCAATTAAAAAACACGCTCCCTCTGTCCATGAAAAATCCTTCCAAATAAAAACTTCCCCAAACTATGCAGGCAGATTAATCCACACAGACAACTTTATCCATATAGGACTTAATGGAAAACCAACCAAACATCCCCTTGGCCTGTTAATCATAAATAAGGTGAAGGTTTAAAAAGGATGAATATGATATATATACCTTCCCATCTTCAAATTGAGCACGGAAAACACGTCCAGTAGACCCCTCACCGATAAGGTTGTCTGCACTAAAGCTATCTGTAGCTATTTGAAGATCCGCTATTGAATAGGATATGGCATTTGTTGGAGCTACACTTACTTTCTTGGGAACCACGGGTTTTGCTGAGAAGTCATCGTCATCAAATGATTTGTGGCGCTCCATGGGTGGTGGTTTAAGATTTATTGCAGACGGAATTTCAAATGCTTTTGTGTTGGCCATTGCGGAAGCCTGAACAGACTTCATCTCTACAACAAGAAAGTAATATGACATAACGACATGCACAAATGTTGAGAGAAAATAATTAAAATCCAACATCATGTCAGAGGAGCAGACTACAAACAATAAAGTGGAGTGGTACCTTGAACCCCCTGTGGCTGAGAAGCAAGAGGAGTAAAAGGCTGGTTCTCGGTCTTTTCAATGTCAGCAGGCGACTTTCTTGATCTTTTCTTTAATAAAAAGAATGCAATGACTGCACCAACAACCAAAATTGATATCACAATTCCTGCTATAGCTCCACCGCTGACTCCAGATTTCTTCCCACCATCATTAGAATTGTCTGTGGATGGGCTCCTATTACCACTCGGTTGGCGATTTCGACTGCCCCCTCCAGATGCTGGTGTACCCGGTGGAGGTGGGGGCGCAGGCCCTGAATTCCAGGAGTTCCCGTCCTTTCTGTCAAGCAAATCATTGATTTAACACTCAAATTGGATAAAAAAGATCCAGCATTTAAAATCAGATGCTTACTGCAGATTTATGTTTTTTAACCGACTAGGAACCCAACCAGTAAATTTGTTATTGGCAACGTACCTGAGAAAACAAAATAAAATCCCAGGTTAATAGCCAATTAATGTGCTTGTAAGAAACCATAGGATATGTTTCCAAAGTGGATTATAATAAAAGATAATACTCACAGGTTCTTAAGGGGAAGATCAGCAAGGACATCGATGGTTCCTGTAAACTGGTTGTTTTGCAAATACCTGCATCAAAAGATATACGACTGAGAATTGGAGCAATTTCTAAATAACAGCCTAGATAACAGACTCTGGTACTTACATATCGGTCACACTGGAAAGCGAGCTTAAGCTCTCAGGAAGATCGCCCGTAAATGAATTAAAAGATAGATCCCTGAAGCATATGAAAGTGTTAATTGGTTTAGAAGTCCTTAGATAAATAGTCAAGAAAACATAAAAAGGATCGAGCTTGGGATCTTGAAGCTTTACAATGTGGTTAGCGCTGAAAGTTTTCCAAACATGTCAGACAATTCGCCATTAATTTGATTGCGAGCAGCATTTCTGGTCCAATTAAGAATAAAGATAAATATGAATCATCGTTCAACCAATACAAGATGGAGAAAATGTCTACGTTAACTCACAGGTATTTTAGAGAAGTCATTAGTGATATGGAATATGGAAGAGTGCCAGTGAAACCACATCCAGCAATATTTCTGCATTGCAAGACAGGCTTTATGAGAACTGCAACAAAAAGTTAATGATGAAAAGTGGAAAGTATAAAATCTAAATAAGAACATACAATCTCTGCAAGTTTGGAGGAAGGTTATAAGGTAACTGATTGCCAAGATTATTGTTGCTTATATCACTGCAGTAACCCATAACACAATGTCAGGTTTATAAAATTATGCTACTACCAAAAGAATCCACGAAAAGAATGAAGAAAACTCCATCTGTTGTTAGAAACATGTAATCATTCTTACAAGGTGGTTAATGATGTCAAACTCGTAAGCTGGTATCCTATTCCACCAGATAGCCCAAGGCTGGATAAGTTGCTGAAATGATACAAAAAGATCAAGTTAAAGATTTGCAAAATGTAAGACTGAAACACATGAATGTGAACATCTGAGTTGAATGCAGCATACATTTCTGTGACTCTTGAACCTGAACAGGTAACGCCTTTCCAGTTCTCTCCACATGGATCGCCAGCATTTGAGCTCCACTTGGTCAACTGTCCGGGGGAATTCAAACTTTGATACATGACCCTGAGAGCAGAGGCTGCACATAGAAAGTCAATCATGAGATCACTATCTGAACCACACAAACCTAGGATGTTGAAACAATTGTTTGATTATGATCAAGTTTGCTGTTTGTCATTCAGCAAATACGATGTTTCTGGCAGCTAAAGATAGAATTAGAACATGAACTAAGGCAGGCTTGCATTTCAAAACTTGATATTGCAAAAGATAGAGAGACCATACATCCACATAGCATAGGAAATTAGGAATCAATACCATCAGCCTCCATTACATATGAAGCATACATGATCACAGAAACATCATGCTAGCAAAGAAACAATAAAACTCGATGATTGATAAAGGTCAAAAACAGATTACAGATGGAGTTGGGCAGCTCTCTAACGATGATGATCATTAGAGCTGAACACATACCAACTGTTGTATAATGTTAAACAGGGATTCTTATAGGATCATGATCATCTGATATGTTTAGTAATCACGCATCTGTAAAACTAGGGTGATCAGGAAAAGCCTCCGCCTTTCAACTGAAATCTTAACCTTGCATATACTAGTTCCTGATCTTGTACAAATATTTTCCTAACCCTTTGTTGGTAACTGGAAATTTTAAAAAGAGTCATCGGATTCAAACCACATTCTGGTGGGTGAAGAAGCCATCAAGTTTGAGTTGATTGTTGGTACAATGTTGTAAACAATAAAAACCTAAATGAATCCAGAAGCAAATAAAGAAAAAAGAAAGTGGAGTTGGGTATGAGAAATACAAACCATCAGCTGGATCTGTGTCGCCATTGATGAAGGTTGGAGCCAAGAGAAGAAAGATGAAGAGCAATGGTGTTACCTCCCTCATCTGTGGGCTGTATCTTTGGTTCAGAAAACACCAAAAACTTGTGAAAGCAGGTGAATTTGTAATGGGTTCGAAATTTACTTTATGTTGTGGGAAATCTTTGTAAAAGTGAATTCAAAAGAAAGAGAGAAGGATATATAGGGTATTAGGAAAAGATGATGGGAGTGGCAGGCAGGCACGATGTTGTTAAGAATCCAAAGCAACAGAAATCTAGTCGCCTCTCTGGATCTAGATTATATACATCATCTAGCAGCTTCTTCAAAATAAAGGAAGAAGATGGAAAATTAATTAGTGATGGTTTTAGTAATAAAATAAGCAGCGTGGGTCTCTTCCCCAAAAATTAAGTATCATCTAAAAATGCAAAATCTATATATATATATATATATATATATATATATATAAAAGATAATAGGTTTATGCAGTCCAAAAATTCACTGCACCTCACGGGAATCCATCCATCCATCCATCTCCGGCTTTTGTTTGACTATGTGTAAAAGGACAAGGATGTCCCTTGCTTTTTTTCCTTTTCCTACTATTCACCATTGACAATTTCTTCCGCCCCACACCGACACTCTCCTCCCGTTTCCAAAATATTAATCCCATTTCCATGTTTTTTCCTATTATTTACAGGTTTCGTCCCTGTTGTTTGTGCTTTCTACTCATTATGGTCTTAAAATCAAAATAAATATAGATATGGCACCTCTGGTACGTATTTTCGTATTCCCTCAGTTAAGTCAAAAGGGTATTTTGATCATTTATCATTGTTTTGTCTTTTCATTGATAAAAAATTAATTTTTTTAATATTGTATTATTTATTATATTGATAAATATATACACACATAAGTGACATCCATCTTGTTTTCTGACCCCGGATGAAGAAATGGGTGGAAAAGTAGCTTCATTAGATATGTAGAGTCTCGTCGACGTCCATTCCGGTTTCCCATATGTTTCTTGGCCACACCCTTAATTAGCCTCATTGTTTCCTTCGGTGACAACGTCGGGAACCACCTCTCTTTTATATATGTATATGTGTAGTGTGTGTAAGAGAGGTATTGAGAGATTGAGACAATGAGTGTGAGCTTGAGGCAGTAAATTCTTCCATGGAGAAGAAGTTGTTGTAGGTGAAGTTTAATGAACTGAAAAAGATTGATTGATTTATGAATTAGGATAAAGAGAAAGCAAGGTGAAAAAAACTAGTCATGGATTGAATGGAATCTTTTTGATTTTGTTAGTGGGAGTGGGAGGGATTGAATAAATACATAACATATCTAATCTGTAATTACGTTGATTTGAAAACCATTATAGTAAAAAGAAGGACCAAATCCATAATTACTCTTATTTAATTATTACTTGTGTTGTTTCCTTTGATAAATTAAATGTTTTTATTAACATTCTTTTTTTGTAAAAAGAAATGATTCATGTTAATAACAATGATTATGATTAAAAAATGGTTGTGTTGTTATTAAGAAGATTCCATTACTGACTAAATACTTTATTAAACTTTGAGTAAATTACGGGAAAATAGAAAGAAAAAGAAAAAAGAAAACAAAATTAAGAAATTTGAAGCATGATTGTGAGTAAAAAGAAAGAGTGCTTTTTGTTTATCCATTAAATAATTTATATAGGTATGAATGTTATTGAAAACAAAATTATATTATATTAAAAATTATATTTTTTTAAATGCGTGTGTAATTAATTAATTTGGATGAAAAGGTCAAGGTTTTTGATATTATTTATATTTGGTATTGTAGTTGTAGTTGTAGTTGTACCAAACAGCTAAGCTCAGAATTTACACATTTCTTTGCCACGCTGCCGCCTCCCTAATTCCTAATCCCTATTATTATTATTATTATTATTATTATTATTAAATAACATATATATATATATATATATATATACAAGGAAAAGTGATGGAATAAAAATAATATATTTGAGAGTAGGTTATATATATATATATATATATAGAATACGTACGTGTGATGCATACAGCTACAGCTACAGCTACAGGTGAGCTGATTGTGCATTGCAAGCCAAGTCCTATGAGCTGGCATCCCATTCCTCCACCTGTTCTGTTCACCTTCATTGCCATTATATTTATATATTCACCCTGGCCTCCATATAACTTTTCACTCCCATTGATATTGATGCATGCAAAACTATACATACATATATACATAAAGGATGCTATCTATGTAGAATCAATTTATTTAAATTCCCATACCTATCTAATTTGTAGATCAACATAAAATAATTAAAATATTAATCTAATTACATTGTTTACATCATTGAATTTGTTATCATATGACCTTTTTTGTTGTTGTTGTTGTTATTGTCATATAAGACATGATTTTAATAATGCCTTCTTAAATCCCTCTTTTTCAAATTATGATGCCCGTCCAAAACACTATCATCATTTCATTCACATTACTATTTATTCTATTAACAATTTGATATTACTATAAACGCGGATGGATATTCACAAGTTTTTATGCATAATTGCTTTTTAACTTTTAAATTATTAAAGTGTTTTTCTAAATCACATATATAATGCAAGTTATTACAACTTATATGCATGTGATGTGGTACATGAAAGCAAGTTAGATGCCACGTCTTATGGGTTTCTACTAAAATCATGTCTAATCCAATCTTGTCGCAAAAAGGTCTAGTTTATATTCAATATTTATTTTATCTTCTTCTCTTCTCATATTAATAATATTTATAACAAGTCCTTTATTTATATTTGCCGTTGTTTGGTTGCTTTTTAATTAAGTCATATATGGATAAAATTGTCTTTTGTCTATATTATTAAACCACTATTATATAATCTATGTCTAATTCGAGGTTGAGTTAAAGCTCTCTTAAGTGTTTCCCTTGGATGATTCCTAAAAAGGATAAATCTGACATATCAAGTTTGGCTGGGCTATATGCTTTTTCATTCTGTTGGTAGATGGGCCACTGCAGACGTCGCACGTAGCGTCACATTCACAACAAATGGCGGAAGCTGCCATGCTCCACCGCCCAACACATTCTGTTCACGACTCATCCCTCTATAAAACCGTTGCCTTGAGTAATCAATCACAACCCAGTTGCCAGATAGATAACCATGGCTGACGACCATTTCAGCTACCTGATTGTACACGCTGAAAATGGCCGCATCACAGACCTCCTTAGATACGGAATGTTTGGCAACAAAGCCAGCGGTGCCAAATTCCTCCAGAGTTCCCATCCACATATCATCCAGGAGGAGCTGTTGTCGCTCGGTGGCTTAGGACAAGAAGCCGGGGAGACGCCGGATCATCGGTGGGTCATCGTCGTATCCATATTAATGAGGAAGTTGATAAAGATATTTGGTAAGCCCATGGAATGGACCGGCTACGTTGTCGACTTCATACTCAACTTGCTTTCCCTCAATGGCAACCTCCTAGGTTTGTTCGCCAATCTTTTACTAGGTAAACCCATGAAACTTTATATATGTTTTAACCACGAATTCCATTTCAGCATCGCTTATTTACACTCTCATACATGTATGTCTGAGCAATGTGCAATCTTGAATCAAATTTCCATCCAATGATATTACAGCAATATGCAGAAAAAGCTACAACTTTATGTTACATATATTATGGATTTTTTTTTCTTTCTTAAAAACTCTATTTGAAGTATCTATCTTTGAAAGCAAAATTGATGTTCTTGATTGTATCGAGGAAGCAGGAAAGGTGGTCATTCCAAGAAGAGGCTCAGCAACGTTTATTAGCACAATCGGGCATATTGATGGGCGAATAGACCTGGACCCAGGTGATGTCTTTGTGGCAGAGAAAGATGTATCTAAGTTAGGAGAAAGAGTGGATGCTGGAAATAAGTCACTTATGGATCTCTGTATGATGGCTTCCAAATTGGCTTATGAGAATGCTAATGTTATTAAGAACGTTGTGAATCTACATTGGAAGGTATGTTTCCTCTTATCTCCTTATTATCCCTTTCGTTTTTGTGGATTACTTCATTACAAATGCTAACTGTTGCATGACATGTTTGCTTAATTAACAGATGGATTTTGTTGACTTCTATGATTGTTGGAATGGTATGAGATTACTTGTAATATATGTATTTGAGATGATGTGATTTTTGTGTTTTTTACAACCCTTTTGTATTGACCTTGTTTATGTGTTGGGCAGATTATCAAAAGGAGAGATCCACCCAAGTATTCATATTTTGTGACAAGCAAAAAGATGCAAATTTGATAGTGGTTAGTTTTAGAGGAACAGAGCCATTTGATGCAGATGACTGGATTACTGATTTTGATTACTCTTGGTATGACATTCCAAAACTAGGAAAACTCCACATGGGTTTTCTAGAAGCCTTGGGTCTAGGAAACAGATCAAACCCATCTTCTTTCCAGCAAATTCTTCAAGCAAAAAATGGTTTTGATGAAAAAGAAACCCAGCGTTTTCCAGAGATGGTGGAGATGACCGCATATTTTGCTGTGAGGAGCAAGCTGAAAAGCCTGCTCAAGGAGCATACGAATGCAAAGTTTATGGTAACTGGGCATAGCCTAGGAGGGGCTCTTGCCATATTATTCCCAACGGTGCTCGTATTACACGAGGAAGAAGAGGTTTTAGAAAGGTTGTTGGGTGTACACACGTTCGGACAGCCGAGAGTGGGAAACAGGCAATTAGGGAGGTATATGGAATCACGATTAGAAGAACCGATTCCGAAATATTATAGAGTGGTCTACTGCAATGATATTGTTCCAAGATTGCCTTATGACAACAAAACCTTCTTGTATAAGCATTTTGGAGTGTGCCTTTACTACAACAGCTTCTTTGTTGGGCAAGTAAGTAGTTGTGTTTTCCTCTTGTTACTAGTTTTTTAGTCATTGGGACTGAATCTTCGTGTGAAATGCAGAAAGTGGAAGAAGAACCAAACAGGAACTACTATGGGTTGTGGTACCTGATTCCGGAGTATGTGAATGCTGTATGGGAATTGATGAGGGGTTTGGGAATGGGAAGGAGATATGGGGCTGAGTACAAGGAGTCTTGGGAGGGAATAATGATGAGAATAATGGGTTTGGTGATTCCAGGGGTTTCTGCTCATGCTCCTCCCAATTACATCAATTCAATCAGACTTGGAAAGTTGAGGCATATTCAGATGTCAACATTGTAGAAATAAGTGCTTTGTTGGGTTTTTATTATAACTTATAAGTTATTGGAATTGAGATATTCACTGCCTTTTTCTCTCCTAATCATTCCTTCTATATTGGTTTTTTTTTAGAGCAACCTTCTTTGTATAGATTTCGTATTCTCTGTATTTATGTTTCCTTCCTTTCCCCTTGTTTGAANATACACAACGAAATATTTGAGAGCTCTTACCATCGATTTTATAATGGTATCAGAGCAGGCCTAAAATCAAAATACGAAACTGCCGCCCCATCTTCATCAAGAATGGCTGACGGCAAAAATGAAACCAACCCGAAGAACGAAAGCGTTCTGGATACGAGCTCACCACTCTATGTCCACCCGTCCGACTATCCGAAACAACTACACGTCAATGACAGTCTTACCGACAGCAACTATGCTGATTGGTCGCAAGAAATGCTTAATTTTCTGTTTGCAAAGAACAAGGTCGGACTCATTGATGGCACTCTTAAGAAGCCCGACAAAACAACCCCCGATTACATGGCGTGGATGCGTGCAGACGCTATGGTAAAGGGGTGGTTGACCACCGCTATGGAGAAGGACATCAGGGCTAGTGTGAAGTACGCGAACACGAGCCTTGAAATCTGGAACGACCTCGTCGAGAGGTTTGGAAAAGAGAGCGTGCCTAGGCCGTACGAATTGAAACAAGCCCTTCCGACCGTTAAACAAGACGGTGCTTCTGTCTCCTCCTATTACACACGACTCCGCGGACTATTGGACGAAATTTACACGGTACAGCCAACTCCTCGATGTACTTGCGATGGATGTACTTGCGAAATGGGGAAGAAGCTGGGTGAGCACCTTGACAAGGAGAAACTATATCAGTTTCTGATGGGCTTAGACAGTGATTTTTCTGTTATTAAAACTCAAATTCTTGCATTAAAACCTACACCAAACCTGGGCAGTGCCTACCATCTTGTGGCCGAAGACGAACGTCAAAGGCTAATATCTGCTGAAAGAAGATCGGGACCTGAAACCATTGCCCTTAAGGCTTATGCGCCAAACCGGCATGACACAAATCGGCGCGATAAAAATGTTTCCAGGGAACCGAARCATAGAGAAGCGGTTGAGCATTGCGATTTTTGCAACAAAGATGGACACAAYAAGAATGGTTGCTTCAAGAAGATTGGATATCCGGATTGGTGGCCGGGTAACAAAGGGAAACGTGAAGATAGCAAGCTGAAGGCATCATGTGTCGTGACTAACTCAAGTCCTATACCAGGTTTGACAAATAATCAATATCAAATCCTTCTAGACCACTTTTCTGATGATGGCAGTGGCCYCAAGAATGACACACCCCACATGGCCAATATGGCAGGTAAGTATTATCGAAACGATGAGTGGATAATAGACTCGGGAGCGACCGAACATATTACTCATGATATTGAAATCCTTGAAAACAGAACAGTAAATAAAACCGAAGAACCTGTCATTATTCCCAATGGGGACGCCATACCCGTAAAAGGGAAGGGCGATTGCACTCTAAAGGGCGGTCTGGGAATAAAAGACGTTCTTTACGTTCCAAGTTTTAATTGCAATCTTCTCTCGGTTGGACGATTAACCAATAACCTTCAGTGCTCCGTAACCTTTTTCCCTAACCTTTGTATCATGCAAAAGCTCAAAACGAGGAACTTGATTGGTGCAGGTAAGTGCAATGGCGGTCTATACCGAATGGGGATGATCAACAATGAAAGACGAGTCATGATGACAACCGGAGACACGTGGCATAAAAGGTTGGGTCATGCCTCAAACGAAAAACTCAATGCGATTGGTTTTCTTCAAAGTATTTCTTTTAATAATAAAGTTTGTGACTCTTGTTCTAAAGGGAAACATACTAGAAGTCCTTTTCCAATTAGTGTTTCAAAGACTAATGAATGTTTTGAATTATTACATTGCGACATTTGGGGAAGATATYGTACACCTTCTTCTACGAGAGCAAGTTATTTTCTAAMTATTGTTGATGATTATAGTAGAAGTGTCTGGTTGTTTCTTTTAAAACACAAATACCAAGCAAGTGATAGTTTAAAATTCTTTCATAAAATGGTYAAGACACAATTTGGAAAGGACATCAAATGAATAAGGTGTGACAAYGGAGGTGAATTCACATCGAATGCCATGGCTCATTTTTACAAAGAACAAGGGATATTGCTTGAAACAACTTGCCCTCACACCCCCCAACAAAATGGGGTTGTCGAGCGAAAGCACCGACATTTACTTGAAATTGCTCGAACGCTAMGGTTCGAAGCCAATTTACCCAAAAGATTTTGGGGAGAGTGTGTGTTGACAGCARCCTATATCATTAACCRACTTCCCTCTAAAGTCATCAATAACAAGACACCCTACGAGCTTTTATACAATCGAAAACCCGACTACGATCTTATGAGGGTTTTTGGTTGTCTAACATATTATTGGAACACCGATACGAAAGGAGACAAGCTCGAAATGAGGGGGAAGCYYGGTGTTTTTTTAGGCTATCCACAAGGAACGAAAGGGTACAAGGTTCTGGACATCGAAACAGGGAAGATTATTGTCTCTAGAGACATAAAGTGTCACGAAGAAAAATTCCATTTTAATGATCTTGAGCAAGAAAARGATGAACTAGATGTTTTTGAATGGCCAAACAATACTTACTGTGATGAAGGCCAAAATCAAAAGCAGTGCACTGAAGGAACCGAAAATGAAAATGAAGGTGACAATTTAAATGTGAACAAGCCTTTGCAGCATGAAGAACCAAGTCTTGCGTCACCTGTTGAACATGTGGACCAGAATAATGATGAAGCTCAAGCCCCACCTTCTGAACCGTCTAGACCCAAGAGAAACCGATCACAGCCAGTTCATCTTGGAGACTATCATGTCAACCTCCCCCCATCGGTAGACCATGYTGATCCCGCACCAACTCAAAGATCCTCAACGGTACACCCCTTGTCTAATTTCGTTTCATATAATAAATTTTCTAAATCTCACAAAGCTTTCTTAGCGGCCATCAACTCCAATGATGAGCCAAGRAACTTTGGACAAGCTGTACAGGATGAAAGATGGAAAGAGGYCATGCTGAGAGAAATTCGAGCACTTGAAGAGAATGGTACGTGGACCCTCGAAAACTTACCTGAAGGAAAACGGGCCATTGATTCGAAGTGGGTTTATAAGATAAAATATAAACCAAGTGGAGAAGTGGAACGATACAAGGCGCGTCTCGTTGCCAAGGGTTTTACCCAAATGGAGGGAGTGGACTACCATRACACTTTYGCCCCGGTTGCCAAGATTRTCACGGTAARAACACTCCTTGCCGTTGCAGTTAAAAAGAATTGGACGATCCACCAACTCGATGTTAATAACGCCTTCTTACATGGAGATCTACATGAAGAAGTCTACATGAAAATACCACAGGGGTTTTCAAGGGAGGGTGAGACAAAGGTCTGTCGATTGAGAAAGTCCCTTTACGGCTTGAAACAAGCATCCCGCAATTGGTATCAAAAGTTCACTACGTTCCTTCTTACCCTCRGTTTCAAACAATCTAAGGCAKATCACTCTCTTTTTATTTTTAAACAAAACAAYAGCTTTATGGCAGCCTTGATATACGTGGACGATGTGATAATAGCAAGCAATGATCTTCCAAAGATTCGTGATACAAAAGAGAAACTCAACAAGGAGTTCAGCATCAAAGATCTAGGAAGTTTAAAATACTTCCTTGGTCTTGAAGTTGCTCGCACCTCTGAGGGTATTGTTCTAAGCCAACRAAAATATACTCTAGATATCTTGGAAGATTGTGGTTTMCAGGGATGCAGACCGAGTGCTTTTCCAATGGAACAGAACCTAAAGTTGGACAAAGACAGTGCCGAACCTAARGTTGATGCCAGTCGATACCGTCGCATARTGGGAAGATTGCTATACTTACAGGCCACYAGACCCGACATTGCGTACTCTGTAAATGTCTTGAGTCAGTTTGTTGCCGATCCAAGACAAGACCATCTGGACGCAGTACATAGAGTATTAAGATATTTAAAGGGGACACCGGGTCAGGGCATACTCCTCCCTCGAGAAGGTGTATGTGGCCTTACTGCCTACAACGACTCTGACTGGCTTGGATGTCCTTTTTCTAGAAAATCACAAACAGGATACTTAGTCCTTCTTGGTGGTGCGCCGGTCTCTTGGAAAACTCACGTTCTTCCGCAGAAGCAGAATACCACTCTATGGCCAGCACGGTTAGTGAGGTTTTGTGGTTAAGATGGCTCTTAAGCGAATTGGACATTGTCTCAAATGGACCAACACCTCTATTTTGTGACAACCAAGAGGCTAGGCATATTGCTAACAATCCGGTCTTTCACGAAAGAACCAAACATGTAGAAATGGATTGTTACTTTGTTCGAGAAAGAGTGGAGTCAAAGGAAATCCAACCAATGGCTATCGATACCAAAAATGCAAATCGCAGATCTTCTCACCAAAGGATTGGGAACACAACAACTCAGAGTTCTACTTGACAAGTTGGGCGTTAAAGACTTACACGCTCCAACTTGAAGGGGAATATTGGAATTGAGATAATCACTGCCTTTTTCTCTCCTAATCATTCCTTCTATATTGGTTTTTTTTAGCAACCTTCTTTGTATAGATTTCGTATTCTCTGTATTTATGTTTCCTTCCTTTCCCCTTGTTTGAATATACACAACGAAATATTTGAGAGCTCTNGATTTCGTATTCTCTGTATTTATGTTTCCTTCCTTTCCCCTTGTTTGAATATACACAACGAAATATTTGAGAGCTCTTACCATCGATTTTATAATAAGTAGTAGGACGGAAAACCCAAAAAAAAAAAAAATGAATAATTGAGGTGGTTGAAGTTGTTTCTTGGTTTTTATGCACAAACACATATGTTATATGTAAATGTGCATATTGAACAAATTGGTCGTAATTACTTGTGCATATTGTCAAAATGAACGGTTACAACAAGGGTATTTTTTCGTTTTTGTTCTCTTTTATGGTAATACAACTTGTTTTGTGTTTGTTTGCTAAAGATTATGTGTTCTTTTTGGCCGACCCGTTTGATTAGAGCTACAATTCCATGTGGTTTATTATTCGGGATTTTAAATAAATGTCACATCTTATTAAATGTATGTTTAGTTGATTATTCAGTGATGCATCTAATCTAAATCGATGAAATTTTATTTATCCTATATTATTATAAAGTATTTAAATTACACTTTCAAATATCTAAAAGTTTAAAATTCTTTATATAACTAATTAACGAATAAACACAACAAAATTCAAGATAAAAGGCCTCATTTTTTTTTATTATTAAAGTATGTTAGCTCTTCATTTTAAATATAAAATATCGTTAATATAGTTATCATTTAAATTAAATGATTTTTAACCTCTAACAAAATACTTTGTCATTATTTTTATAAAACAAATCATAATTAAACTAAAATAAAAAATATTTTTTTTATAAAACCTAAATTAGATAAATTAAACCATAAATTTAGACTCTTTAATTTGAAATCCATATCAATATATATTTAAAGATAAAATCATCTTTAAATTTCTTCGTAAATAAATCGAGAAGTATAAATAACAAAACAATGTATAGATTTCAAAACCCTGTAATGGTTTTTGTTTTTATGAAAACCACAACTCACTCCATTAAAGAACAAATAAAAAAATAAAATTGTGAAGTTATATTATTTAATCGTTTTCATTTGATTTATCAGTTAGTTTCTACGTTTTAACAGTTAATATATCTGTAATTAATTAATTAATTGAAATTTGAGTAATTGGAAGGAAGTGGAATGGAGGGTATATTCCTAACCGTGGCTGACGAAGTTCCAACAACGAAAAACGCCAAAACCAATCCCAAAATTGAACTCCAACTTCTTCTCCATTGCAATTTGCAATTTGCAATACGTAGCTCCAATCCAGATCCTCTCTTCTCCTGTTACCACAAGTTCTGCCAAATCGCACAAAGGTAAAGTAGCTCTCTTTAGGATTCACTACTTTATTCTACTGTGAAGGTGGATGGAATCAAATCTTTATGTTTTGGAGCATACAGCTTCCAGGGTCTGCTGTATAATTAGCAATTTTATTACTTTCTGATATGATTATTTATTTCATTTACAAAGTAAATATAATTAATAATTTTGACAGCTGAGAGAAGCTTGTTTGATAATCGAAACGTATGACTACTGAAAGGGCTATTTTCTGCTTCTTCTTAGTATGTATAGGTGTTCTTAATAGTTGATTACAAGGGGCAAGGGAAGAGTGGAACCTGGTTGCTTAAATGAAATTAAGGAACTTTTAGATATTCTCGTCCAATCTGTTTGATGGAAACTAAAACGTTGGTTTCCCTCAATTTCCAAAAACAAACAAAAAAACTTGCACTTCAATTTCTTGGTTTAACATCTAAGTTTTAACTTTGATTCTAAACTTTATCAGAATTTTTGGATAATCACAAAAAGAAATATGTTTTAGATTATCTTTGATAGCTAAATGCATATTTGTATGAGGTATAGAATGCAATTGTATGAAAGAAACTTGCGACTCTTTGTATGACTGGATTTCTGGTTTTCCAGGAAGGAAAAAGTTCTAATGTGTGATTAGCTATACTTCTTTAGGTTCATGTGTTTATGTGGAATTCTATGAATCGCAGGGCTGTTACTGTGTCTTCTCGGGACGGACGTAATTTGGGTATTTGGTGAGGTGGCATGTCTCTGTTTGGAAATGTCTCCACCATCAACTCAAGTGGAAAGTGTACAATAATGAATCTTTCAAGGACACAGATCAGTTCAAGAGATTGTTTTAACATTGCCTCAGGGCACATGGATGTATTGGCCTTTGGACACAGTGATGCTATGGGTCACCGATTGCAATTCCCAGGTGTCCGTTCTTTAATAACAAGAACGAAGAAGAATGTCTCCCCTTTGAAGGTGCCATTGTACAACATGGATTTGATTATTGTTCATAGTATCAAGTTCATGAATAAATACGTCTCTAATAATTTGTGTTAAATAGGTAGTTTGCGTTGATTATCCAAGACCAGAGCTTGAGAACACGTCTAATTTCTTGGAAGCTGCTTACTTGTCTTCAACATTCCGAACTTCCCCCCGTCCAGCTAAACCACTGGAAATTGTAATTGCTGGTGCAGGTAAGACGCTGATGTTTATATTACTGATCAAATTTCGTAAGCTAGTGTTTTTTGTAACCAAAATTTATACCCATAATAGTGCCCTTAATCTCTTTTCAACTATTTTACATTAAGATGCTACTTTCCACACTTCCTCGTATTTATGAAGTATATAGCATATAACACCTATGTTTGATGGTTTTGTACTAACACCTATTATAGTTTGTTATCCAACTAACTTTTGCACCTTGTTGCATATGCAGGTCTGGCAGGTTTATCAACTGCCAAGTATTTAGCTGACGCAGGTCACAAGCCAATTTTATTAGAAGCAAGAGATGTTCTTGGTGGAAAGGTTTGCAGAGTTTCTATCTTTATTTTCATGTTCATCGTAAATCCATCTCTCTCATTCCCACCTTTCATTTATCTTATATGTCTTTGCTCATTGTTGTGCTTTTGACTTTTAAACAATGGCTGCAAGTTAAGTCTCAGCCGTTGTGCATGTGGTTTCTCTTTGCTCCTGCATTTCTCTTTCTCTGTTGCTCTCTTTCCGTCTTCCCTTTGTGCGAGTACAATAACTTAGGCAGAACATCTGTTTGTTTGCGAGTCTCATCAGGCGAAGGTGGATTATTTTTGAGAGATTCCACTTGCATTTCAACTTATATGTATAGCAAGTAGTGCAAGCCTAGTTGTTTGGTTTAATTTGGAAAAATAGGTTGCCTTTGATGTTATTTCATATTGTGAATATTTCTATGACCATTAACAAGTTAAACTTTCCACATAGGTTGCTGCTTGGAAAGATGATGATGGAGATTGGTACGAGACAGGCTTACACATATTCTGTAAGTTTTAACCTTTTCCATTATTATCCTTTAAGTATCTAAAAAGACATATGGTAGTTAGCATAAAAATTTACACCAGTATAATACTCTTTGTGCATTATTTGTCTGCTATAAGGTATTGTTCCCCACAATTATTGTCTTTCCTTCTGAACGTTCATAACCAGACACCTAATGCTCAATGAACTTCTTGATTTGCTTGAAGTTGGAGCTTACCCAAATGTACAGAACCTGTTTGGAGAACTTGGCATTAATGATAGATTGCAGTGGAAGGAGCATTCTATGATATTCGCAATGCCAAACAAGCCTGGAGAATTTAGTCGGTTTGACTTCCCAGATGTTCTGCCTGCACCATTGAATGGCAAGTATGCTATTATCTCCCCTTCTTATTTTAGGGTATTTACTTCATTCTAATGCCAAAATAGGTCTTTGGTCGTGCATTCTCTGCATCTGCAACATGACAGGAAGTTCAATGATCTAAAACAAGATTGCCAACGCATGCTATTACTAAAAGGCTTAACTATGCATACTATTTCAGGAATTTGGGCTATATTGAGGAACAATGAAATGCTGACATGGCCTGAGAAAGTAAAATTTGCAATAGGGCTCCTGCCTGCAATGTTAGGTGGACAGGCTTATGTCGAGGCTCAAGATGGTTTGAGTGTTAAAGACTGGATGAGAAAGCAAGTATGTCATCATTTGAAATTTTTTATCTAGCCTGTTTCAGTTAAAAAATGCGAAGCAATGGTCATGATCTATACAAGATCTATTTTTAATTTCTAAGTGGAAGGTTGAAAGGTTGAACTTTAGCAAAGCCTCTTTTCTGGGAGGATTTTTGGTTTAGTAATACCCTCAGTTAAAAGCATTAGTTTTCGGTTCTAATGCATTTTTCTCGTTTCTCTAGGGCATACCAGATCGAGTTACTACGGAGGTGTTTATTGCCATGTCAAAGGCATTAAACTTCATAAATCCAGATGAACTTTCAATGCAATGTATTCTCATTGCTCTTAACCGGTTTCTTCAGGTAAACTCATCATTATCTTGAAGCTTGCTGATTAAGTACTTTAGCAGAAACTAATCTATCTCAAGACATTTAATAAGCGAGTTATTAACTCAAGTGATAAGTAGTCTAAAAATAAATCAACAGGAGAAGCATGGTTCAAAGATGGCATTTTTAGATGGAAGCCCACCTGAAAGACTTTGCATGCCAGTCGTTGAGCATATTGAGTCGCTAGGTGGCGTAGTCAGGCTTAATTCCCGAATACAAAAGATCGAGTTAAACAAAGATGGAACTGTTAGGAACTTCCTACTGAATGATGGGAATATTATCCAAGGCGATGCTTATGTATTCGCTACTCCAGGTATGTTGACAAAATCATTATTTGATTCCATAGCTTCCTCATACGTGCATTATATCCAACAAGCTTTTATTCATTGTTTTGTATCAAGCAGTAGACATTCTGAAGCTTCTTTTGCCTGAAGATTGGAAACCAATTCCATACTTCAAAAAGTTGGAGAAATTAGTTGGTGTTCCAGTTATAAATGTTCATATATGGTTAGTTGGATCCTCCAAGATATTGCTAAAAACATAGAATAACAACAGTTCAGCTTATGCATGATTCTTCACTTCTGTCAAGATCTTTACTTTGAATTACAATTACAACCCCTTTGTATTTTTGATTGTTGAACCATTTTCAGGTTTGATAGGAAACTCCGGAACACCTATGATCACCTACTCTTTAGCAGGTTACCTTTTATTTCTTGCAAAACATTTACTTATTTTTCACAAACAAAGATGTTGTGCTTGTTGCTTTTACATCCTCTAAAAAACAAAGATGTTGCTACTACTAAGAAGGTTCCTTTTTGTGGTCATTTGATAATTGGTCTAATAAATTAGTACTGATTTTTTGGCAGTCTAATCCTATTTTTCATACTGACATTTAACTTGGCATGCAGGAGCAATCTTCTCAGTGTATATGCTGACATGTCTGTAACATGTAAGGTAATACTTCAAAGACAAAGAGGCAGCCCTACCACATGAACATTCTGCCTCCAGATTCTCATTATAATTGGATAGAATCAGTTTTGCCTCCTTATTGCATGCATGGATATGCTTATTGACTTTTCATGATGCACAAAACTCTACCATATTCGCCAATTCCAAAACTCCACCATATCTCTGAGTTGTAAACTACATGATGGTCCATATCTCTTCAACGCTGGAGTGGTTGAAAACATTGTCCATTTTATGCAGGAATATTATGATCCGAATCGGTCCATGTTGGAATTGGTCTTTGCACCTGCAGAAGAATGGATTTCACGCAGTGACTCTGATATTATTGATGCCACGATGAGTGAACTTTCAAGACTCTTTCCTGATGAAATTGCAGCAGATCAGAGCAAAGCAAAAATATTGAAATACCATGTAGTTAAAACACCAAGGTTAGACATATCTAACGAGTACTTATTCTTTCTGAAGAGTACTTAGCATGTCAACATCATCATGTTCATCCACCCATCAAAAGGAAAATAGTAAATCCACTAGTCTCCAAGTAGAGAATTTACAGTATATACACATATGCGAACCTATAGATACATACTCACCACAAATTTGTTTATTCTCACGAGTACCTCCAATATGTATTAGGTTAAACATTTGCGACCCTATCAGTAACTATGAACCAGTTTAACTCATACTTCCCTTTCAGGTCTGTTTACAAAACTGTACCAGACTGTGAACCTTGTCGTCCTTTACAAAGATCTCCAATACAAGGATTCTATTTAGCTGGCGACTACACCAAACAAAAGTATTTGGCTTCAATGGAGGGTGCCGTTCTATCAGGAAAATTTTGTGCACAAGCTATTGTACAGGTGATCTTCAAGTACCTAAAGCAATTGTTAGTGCATAGCTGGCAGAAAGAGAATTACTCGCACCTTCTTATATGTTTCCTTTTTTCAAGTGGTGCAAATTACACCTATATCCTAGTAGATCATGTTTGTATTTGGCCAGTCAGTCAGTGTGTTAGATGCGATAATACAAGTGTACAAGCTTGGGCAGCTATTTCAGTACCATAGAACACAAAGTAGCCTGCATTTTCTGTTGCTCATCATCTCATGAATCATGATACGCAGGATTGTGAGTTGCTTGCTGCCCGGGGGGAAGTGCTGGCTGAGGCAAGCCTTGTCTAACTCCACAAACACCAGATGACTTGGTAGGTTAAAAATCAATGAAAGATAGAAACATAGTGGTTCTTACCACTCCAAAAACATCTTTGACTTTTTGTGGTCCTTGGCTGAAGTTGTAGGCTTAACGTGGTGGAGCTGTTACAAGTTCAACAGAAGCTAAACATAGAAACACCAAGTGAAGCTTTTCCAAAGAAGAAGCACATGCTTATTATGTACCTAGTTGGTTACGTTCTGATTACTTTATACATCATTTGTAGCAAATATTGATTAATCAAGATGTTTTATACATGGGCATGGGTGTTTAATTTTGTTTTCATGGTTTAGACGAAGAAACTGATTTGTGAGTCTGGGAAAGATGTTAGAATTAAGAAATCTATATTGGGTTGGCCTTTCTTTTGTGGGGATGAAGGAAATGTAATTGCTTGTGAAATAGAGAAAAGTGTGAGATGTGTAACGTAGATGCTTGGAAAGTAAGGTTTAGGGGGGTGAAGTGGGTTCTTAATTCGTTGAATTTGAAGAGATCCATTAGAATCCTGGAGCTTCCTTCCTGTCCTGTCCTGTCCTGGCCTGGTACATCTATAATGTAAAATAGTTGCTCCTAAATTTTAGGAGTTTCACTTTCTTAGGGTTTTGGTCATTTGCTTTTTTTGAGTACATATCTCCTTTTGTATTTCCTAGTATCAACCGGTAAAAATTAGTGGCAGGTTTAAGAATTTCTCTGAAAGGTGGGTCCGTAAAGTCGCGGTTTGACCACTGTGTCGATTTGGAGAATAAAGTATATTTGTTTTTCAAATGGAATCGATCTTGGTCTTTAAAATAAATATGTGTCGTTTGAACATGAAATTAAAAAAAAAAAAAAAAAACTGCATTGAGAAGGAAAAAAAATCATGAAAAAAATACTAAAATCAAAATAGGAGAAAAATTAACAAAAAGCCGTTCCTTCTAGCTATATTTTTGCGTAATGTTTTCAGAAATAACATTTTAGGGTCTGAGTTAACATTTTGGGCTGGCCTTGGAGCCTAAAATTAAAAGATAAAAAGTTAAAGTTTTACTTGAAATAAGATTCAAACCCATGACCTCTTTTATATATAGTCCTAATCCAACCATTGCACCCACGTTTAACTTCTGCTATAAATTTGGTTATTTACGAGCACCCCTCAATATCAACATTAGACGTCTATTTTTTTTCTTTCAATAATCGAGTGAGGGGGTCCTAATAAAGAATAGTAATGTATTGAGAGAAAGACATGTTATGCCAGAAGGATTGATATGTTGAAAAATCAAAACTGGATTACCAAATCCCATTGCTTGCATGTCAAAAAATTTACAGTATCTTTTTAAAATTCACTTGTTGTTTGTTTCCAACCATAATAAGGAATCAAATTTGTCAAAGAAAATGGAAACTTAACTGTCACCAATACCATACACATGACTATCAATTACAAGATTCAAGATAGGTAAAGATTGAAGCTTGATTCAACCCAATATAAATATTTATATTTCCACTAATGTTTGAAAGAGCGAGTATAAATTATAACAAACAGAAGAAAAGATGGAAAGAAAGTGACACTGATTGGATGAGAAGGGTATTTTCGTAATTAAAAAAGAATCACATTTTTTGAATAGTTAAAGCATTATGACATATTTCTGATACAGGAAGCCACATAAAGTCAAATAGCAACCCGAGATTTAGTTGTGATGAGAGAGATATGATATTGGAAATGCAAAGAGATATAAAGTAATACCTTGTGAATGCAAATAAGGCGACACCATGTCCCCAATACGCATTCCCATCACAACATCCCTCCCAACCATCTCTTTTACTTCCACTTTACTCCATCTGACTTACGTGCAATTCATCTTGTTTCTTTCTTTCTTTCTTGTACGGTACAACTAATTTCAGCTTCCATCTCCTTTACATTCACCCCCCCTTTCCCTCTCCATTTGCCCTTGATTTCTTCAGGATTAAACAAAAAGCCAAAAACCATCAATGCTGACTCCTTTCCATGCAAATCAGTCATCTGTTTTCAATGCTGACCCCATCTATAAATACATCTCTGCCCCCTGCCTTTTGCTTCTCAGGGTCCAGCTCCACTTCTGTGAGGCTTTTTTTCCCAAATCTTTCTGCTTTCACATTCTGAAACACAATATAATGGAAACAAAGAGAAAAGGTAATGGCATTACAAGAAAGTGTGCTTCTTTAGTCAAGAAACAACGTGCCCGTGTCTACATCCTTCGTCGTTGTGCCACCATGCTTCTTTGTTGGTACATTCATGGCGATGAATAGTGTTCTTCTTATCCCTTTTTCCCATCAACTCATGTGGTTCCCTCTTTTCTTTTTCTTTTGGCATATACATATTATTAAGTGCTAATCTCATCTTTTTAGCACCAACAGTTGCATGGAAAGGCTGTTGGTCCTGTCACTGCAAATTCCTTCTCATCTACATGTTCTTCTACTTTCTGGTTTTGTCTTTGTCCATCTTCATACCTCTTCATTTGCCCTTCTCAACACTTACTTTTTATCCAAATGGTTTCCATTTGGGTTTTTTGGGCATCTGCAGCAGAGCAAAACATGAGCTTTTGACACAAACCCAAGCGAAGCAATCTAGCAGCTTTAAAACGCAGGTTCAACGACAACATCTTCTGTGTATGAACGTATGTGTTATGTATGTTGAGACCTTTAGAGGGATTTCCCTGCAGAAAATAAATGATCTTTCCTTATAATGTAATAATGTAAAGCACTCTGATGAACTCAATAAGCTGGTGCTGGAATAAATATGTTGAAGAGCAATAAGATTATTGTATTCAAACATGTAATGTAATCCTTGGAATGTTCTTCTTTCTCTTTTTGATTTGGCTCATCTTTCTATCCTACCAACCTCTGAATCACATACTTGACTGTATGATCTGTTAGCTTTAGAAGGTGAAAGTTTACCAACCTCTTAATCTTTATGCACTGAAACACTAATCTCGTGCAGTATCTGTTTCTAAAAAGTTGACAACATTTGGCCTGCAACAATCGGTTAACTTATTATCATAAATTCATAATCGTAAGGCCCTCCAGCAAACATTCTCCAAGAGTGGACTCTTTCATTTTCAGGAATCATTTATCAGAGTTCTTCCTAGTATTCTAGGACATTCTTATATTCTCTTTTGATATTCATATGAAATCTTGATATTTAGATGGAATCTTAAGAGAATCTTAAGAGAATTTGTAGTAATCTTAGAAACTTCTTATACCTAGAATGTTTCTAGTTATAGGATGAAATTGTATCTAAAATTCTCCCTGCAAGAAGTTAACATTCTAGCATTGCTAACTTTATCCTTAGCTTTCTTGTATGTCTTCTGGTCTACCTTTTCCTTAAGAAGACACGAGAACCGTATCTAACCACCTACCCAGTACTTGCTTTTTAGCCAGAATCTCAAGCTGATAGCATCCACAAAGCAAGCCAGGTGCTAAGTTGCATGATTGATTAAGGCAGACAGACTGACTTAAGTCCATTTCTCATGAAAAGAAGATATTTTTCTTCATGGAAATCTACTGCAAATCTAACAAGAGAAACAAGGACCAACTATGTGCAACACAGAAGAAGCTCTGGGGGTAAAAATGTTACCTTTTCACCCTCTGTTTGGAACATGACGGAATGATCTTTTGATCCAAACCATCTTGTAGTCGGTTTCCATCTTCATCTTTTTTTCTGCATGTCTCATGAAATCACTTCTTGTCTGGTGGCTCAACAAAAACAAACAATTTAACTACCTAGAAGAGATGCCCAATATCTTTATATAGACAAGTCGCACGTCAGCTACCAAATGTAATTTAGGTTTCCACTTTCAGTGCAAGATTCGCAGAGTACTGTATAGAGGCTAAACCTCATGAATTTGAAGGAACCATCTATTACCATAACTCAGTTCCTGTGACAATTTAGGCTGACCAGCTGTATCTGCATTTACTTAGATATCAAACAAAATTGGAGTTTGCTGTTGTCATTGTACACTTGGTTTCACAAAACTGAAGCCAAATTCTATACATCCAGTCAGACCCCAAAACTCTCTCATTCATCTATATGCTTTCAACTGAAAGTTACCCTTCAGAATACTGCATCTTTCACTCTCTTATTGACTGTCAGTTGATCTCAATCTTAAGAAAAAGTATAGGAACCTTCTAGAAAGATGACAGCAGGAAACTGGTTTGACTTGCCATAGAGAATGGAAAATGATAGTTTGTTAATAGTGGATGACCTTTGCAATCATGAAATAATATCATAGATACACAAAATAGAGCAACCTTATCTCTGTAAACTCTCACATTATTCAGACAATGTTATCAAATGGTACTTTAGAACTTGGTCGTTCTTGTAGGTCAGAGGTGATTTTAACATATTAAAATGGCTCCTTAACAGACTACATTAAAGCAGGCAAGAAACATATATTTCCTCATGGGGTCCCATGCATTATACTCTATTTTTGGAGCTGTTATAAGTGTCTTTAGGTAAAAATGTGCCTAAAATGGTCCAAAGAACCCTGCGTTCTGCAGGATAAACAAAACAATAGCTTTAGTGTCGAAGTAGAAAAGATAATTGTGAAATACCTTCATCTAAGATAAATTGGAACATAAAAATGTATTGAAGGCGCTGATCTTTATTTGATGAATGTAATGGAATCAGCGTGGAGGAAAAGAAAATGTCAAGTTTTCAGGTCATGGTTAACCAGCGGCAAGATGATAAACATAGCCATGTAAATTATCAAGATCAAGTTGGTACTCATCGTCACTGTTAGCTATGTTGTAAGTATATATAGAGTTCATGGGTTATTTCATGCATGACTAACTTGGAACATCATATAGTTTGTAAAATTTATTCCAATTCAAGTTTGATAGCGTAAATAAAGATACCAATTAGTAGTGATTGAATTCCTTATATGGTTCCACATCTCCTAAATTACAAGAGAGGAAGATAGAGTTAGCATGGATTGGGAAGGAAGGATAAAATAAGAAAAATTGAGATGGTAATAAATAGATCAAATCTTTTTCATTATGCTAATTTTCCCAAATAGACAAAAAGGAAAGGTTTTGCAACTAGCATCCGATTGGAAACTGAAAGAACACAATCTTCTCATATCATTTTAAGCATCAAGGACGAATAAAGCCTTGTGTCTTGCTCGTTTTACTGATCACTCAGAAAGAAAAGGCCCGTCATGAAAGAGTCCTATCAATGGAAGATATGTGATCTTATGATCGCATAGATGACCATATTAGCAACCCTGCTGGTCCAGTCTTATTCCATATCAACACGGATACATGTTCTGTGTTCAGCCAAAAGACTTTAACACAGCTACATCTGTTTCAGAAGACAGTAGAAGGTTTATATGGTATTACAAGTCTGTTGTAGATCACGTATTCTTCCAATGCTTGTTGTCAGAGAATAGAAGATGGTATCTTTTGCAAATAACTTGAGCTATTACTAACTAGCAACAAGTTATAAAGGAGTATGAATAGGATGTTTCTATTTACAAGCCATACCTAGAAAAAATTTAGAATTGTAAGAGGTTCAGATGTCTCTTTATACATTAATGCACTGTCATCAAGTAAAAATTCCTTCACATAACTAACCACAAACTAGAAGGCAAAAGTAAGAAAAAATTAAGGGAAATTTTCTGTACAGACAACTAATTACAAGTACATTGACAACACGGTTTGGAATGCTATAAAACTGTGATTTCTTCAAAGCTATATATTTTTACACATTCCCTTATTTGGGTATCCGATGGTTGGACCCAACATTATGGAGCCAATCAACCACCTCATTAATAGTTGGCCTCTTAACAGGGTTTATGTTCACACACATGCAGGCAACATCAAAAACCTGCAGCATCTCTTCTTCAAAGCCCTTGCCTCTCAGGAGGGGATCAAATACTTCATCCTGTTTCCCTTCTCTTCTTAGTTGTTGCACCCACACAACCAATTCTCTAGATGCCTTTGGCCTGAATACCTCCATGGGCCTCTTTCCTGTAAGTAGCTCAAGCATGACAACCCCGAAACTATATATGTCTCCTCTCAAAGTGGCTATCCATGATTGGCTGTATTCTGGTGGAATATAGCCCAGGGTGCCAACCAACTCAGTGGTGACATGTGTATTATATGGTTGAATCAATCTAGACAGTCCAAAATCGGCCACATATGCTTCGAATTGTTCATCAAGAAGGATGTTGCTGGACTTTATGTCACGATGCACAATATGTGGTTCACATACCTGGTGCATGTAAGCCAGTCCACAACTTGCTCCCTGGGCAATCTTCAATCTGGTTGGCCAGTCAAGTTTGGATGCTCCATCAGTCTTCTCATGTAGCCAGTAATCCAAGCTTCCATTTTCCATATACGAGTATATCAGCAGCTGAGAGCCATCATGTACACAGTAACCTTGTAAAGAAACCAGATTTTTGTGCTGGGCTGTCGATAATGCCTCTACTTCTGCTTTAAATTCTCTTGCAATGAGACCCATATCTCCTGAAAGCTTCTTAACAGCCAGTCTTGTTCCATTTGCCAAAGTTGCTTTATAAACCAAGCCAAAACCCCCACAACCGATGATATTTGCTTGACTGAAATCCTCTGTTGCTTTCAAGATATCAGATACTGTCAGATGCTTGATATCTTTTGCATTGTTTGGGAACAATATGACCCCACTTGTATCCTTGGGAACGTCTGCAGCTGATGTAGAATTGAAGGATACCATGTCCATATGAAATATCTCCGGATCACCCCTTGGGAGAATCCTTCTTTTGGACAATATCCACAATGCTAGACAAGTCAGAGTGACGCCAACTCCAAAACATATACCAAGGATAAGTCCAACAATCATTTTCTTGTTTGGGCCTTTCTTATGTCCTGAAGCACCTGTCGTGGCTGATCGATTCCCACAAAGGTTGTGCATGGGAGGGCCGCACAACCCTGGATTGCCTTCATAACTCTGGTTCAGGAAGGTGTCAAATTGGCCCCCAGCTGGTATGGGACCTTGTAGATTGTTGTTTGCGACATTGAAAAAAGACAAGAAGTAGAGGCTTTTAAGCGACGCAGGGATCCCACCAGATAGAAGATTATGAGAGAGGTCCAGCTTTTCCAAGTTCGTGAGATTTGATATTGCACTGGGAATGGTGCCAGAGAAATTGTTTCGGCTGAGATCAAGGACGTGAATTGACTGCAGATGACCAATCTCAACGGGGATTTCACCACTCAGGTGATTGCTTGCTAGGTACAGCGCTGGCGGCAGGGTGGCCAGCTGGTTGTACTGCAAATAGGAAGCATTTTGCGGCTGAACAAATACAGGGAGTTCCAAGTAACTACTGTTTACATGATCAAGAACTTGCTGCGATCCAAGTGCTGGAAGTGTAGTAAGCTCAACAGGGAATCCTCCGGAAAGAGAATTATTAGATAAGTCTAGATAAAAAAGGCTTGGAAGTGTCTGTAGCCAACCTGGAATTGTGCCATGGATATTATTTTGAGAGAGATCGATTACCTCCAGGTTTGTTAATGATCTCAGCCAAGTCGGAATTTGACCAAACAATTTGCAACCACCTAGCCCCAATATCTTAAGATGAAGAAACCCGGAAATCCCTCCATCTGGAAGGGTTTCATTGAAGAAGTTCTTGGAGAGGATGAGAGTAGTGAGATTCTGATGTCTGCTCAGAATACTGAATGCTTTGGTGATATTCTTGAGGGTATTGTTTGAAAGGGAGAGGAAAGACAAAGATGGCAAATTGAGTACGTCAGGCAAGACTTCCCCGTCTAGCTTATTGGTGGCCACTCGAATTGCGGTCAGTGATTTGCAAGAGAAAAGAGTTCTAGGCAGCATACCCGTAAATTGATTTTCACCAAAGTCAACTATAATCAGTTGACTGAAATTGGAGAAATCAAAATCATCAAGCCTGCCAACTAAAGAGTTGACCCTCACATTTAGCAGCTGAAGCTTGGTGCAATTGATCAAGGATTGGGGCAGGGTTCCATTGAGATCATTAATGTGAAGTTCCAACCTCTCCAAGAACAACAGCTTCCCAATATTCCGAGGAATGGAACCAGAAAACAAGTTACCAAACAGAGCAAGGGTCCTAAGGTTGGTGAGGTTGGTGATGCTTTGATGAATGGTTCCCGTAAGATAATTTCCAGGTAAAGATAGCAGTTGCAGCGATCGGGCGCCATGGATATCAACAGGAATCTGTCCCGTGAGATTGTTGAATCCCAAACTCAAAACCTGGAGTTTAGAACAATCGCCAAAGCCTGGGGGGATGTTTCCGGTGAAGTCGTTTAAAGAGAAATCAAGGATGAGTAAAGCCGGGGAGGTGATGCAGATAGAGGGAGGAATGGGGCCGGTGAAGCTGTTGTTGCTGATATTGAGAGACGTTAAGGTTTGAGGGGAGTTGAGAAGAATGGTGCCATTGAAATGATTGCTGGAGAGATTGAGAGATTGGAGGGTGGCAGGAAAGGTGTGAGGTAAGTGAGCAGAAAGGCGATTGTAGCTCAAGTCAATGGTACGAAGAGCGTTCAAAGAGGAGAAAAGTCCATTGGGGAGGGGACCAGAAAGGAAATTACAAGAGAGGTTGAGGAGAGAGAGAGAGGTGAGATTCAGAAGAGAAGAAGGGATGGAGCCGCGAAGACCTTTGGCAGGGAGAGACAAGTGGATGACTCGATCTCCGGAAGGATCACAAGAGATTCCATCCCAGGAGCAGCAATCGAGGGAAGCAGACCAGTTAAGGGAGGGAAAGGTGGTGGCGAAGGAGAGAAGAGAATCGTAATCGAGGGGGTTACAGAGGGCATGAGTAAGGGGAGGAAAGAGGAAGAGGAGGTTAAGAGTAATGAAGAAGAAGAAGAAGAAGAAGGTGGTATTGGGTTTAGGCAGCATCATGAGTGCTGCAGGTGAAGAAGGGTTAGAAAATGGAGGGATGGAGGAGGAGGAGGAGGAGGAGGAAGAAGAAGACAGAGGAGGGAGGAATAATCCATTGAAAGGGAGGAGGAATGGAGACAAGTGGATGTTGACGCGGAGCATCATTATAATTATAAATTACAAAATTATTTATATAATTATAATAAGAAAGAAAGAAAGAAAGAGCTCTTTTCTTTTGTATGTATGTATGAGTTATATAAGTTATGAGTTATGAGTTCTGATGATGGAAGCGTTTACTTTTTTGTAAATTGATTTGTTGGGGGCGGCTGTTTGGTCATCATTTCTTCTGTTATTGGCTTATCAAATCAAGAATCACAAAGTGCCCTCTTGCTTTTTTTTTTTTTTTCTTTTTCTTTCTCTTTTCTTTTCTTTTCTTTTTCAAGTGGAGGAGGAGAAACCCACTACAATAAATAAATAAATAAAGAAATAAAATGAAGGGATGGCGTTAATTTATTGTTGTTACCCAATCAAAAGAAACAAAAAACCAAGTGGAGATAGATAAAAGGATATTCCCTCTATTTTTTTCTTTTAAATTATTTCATACCTAAAGATTTGTTGATTTTAGATATATAATTTAAAAGTTTTTATTTGGTTATGGGTTTAATAAACAAGAAAAGTAAGGAAGCAAAAAGAAAGGGGGTTTGTCATTTGTGTACTACGTGAACATGGTTTGGGAAAGAATAAATAATACTGTTGACCAAGCCTGTCTGGGTTCATAAAATAAACACAACTTGCTTCATGCATTCATCAGCTCACACCCCTTGCAGGTTATAAAAAACAAATGCAGAAAGTCAAATGCCCCTATCCAATATCAAATTATACCATTTTCCATCAATTGGAGCTTTAAAATTACATATATATAAAGTCAAGTTCATGGAAAAAAACGTAAAATAAATAAAACTTCTAAGAAACACACTCATAACCATTCATTTATATGATATGTATATGTAAATATGAGTAATTTTTCAAGTATGCACGTGTACATATTATGCAAGTATACACACGTGCATAAAAATCATGAAACATCTTTATTTACTTGTATATACGTATGCATACCATACAAATGAATTGTTATTAAAATGTTCCTCAATTTTTCATTTTTAGAGGGTTTTTCCTGAACCTCCCTCTCTCCATATATATATATATATATATATATACATACATATATATATATATATATATATAGAGAGAGTCATGTACAAGAAAAAAAATGAAAAACCAAAGAACACTCTAATATCTATTAATGTATATGATATGCCGTATGCATATGTATATATAAGTAGTTTGTCAGACATATGAGGATGGAAAAAAAAAAACAAAAGATAAAAACCAGGTCAAGATCTTATTCCCAAGTTCTATCCTAATATTTAACACCAAATGGGATGCAATCTGACTTTTGAACAACCATGTCTTGATATTTTGTGGTGGAACCCTCTCCCTCTCCGTCCCTCCGTCATTAAATAATTCAAATGGTACGATAACATTACATAAAGCTCATCAGCACATGAACCCATGAAAGAAAAACGCATAAATGTACAAGTCAATATGAGCAACATGACTGCTAAACCAATGCTAACCTAGTCATCTGCTCTACAGATAGTTTGGTGAACAGAACTAGGAAATCTAAAATATGCACGCACTTCACACCCACAACTTGACCTTCATAATCTACCACATACTTATCAGGCTCCTTCCGCACCAATTTCACACATAGGTCAGTTCAGGTCATTGGAACCAGCCGACTGCATGACGTAAATCAAGAAAGGCCAGTAATCTTTCTTTGAGCTGCTTATGTAAAAGACATAAAATGTACTACTTCTGGACTGTTTTGCAACCAATTGTCAAAACCTACTGACAAAAACATGTTACTAATCCTAAAATGACAAAAACACTGGTCCCTTCAATCTTTTTTACTTATGTTGGTAAATGAATGCATTCTACATGGAAAAAAATGTATTTAAACCATGGTTGTTAATATACAGAAAGGGATGCCATGGAGGCGTAAATATACATTCTAACAAACTAGTAAGATTATGTCCTCCCAGGTATAGACGACATACCTGCAAATTCTTCATTTTTCAGGACGTAATATGTGTGCCTTCTATTTCAACTAGTCATAGACCAAAAAACTTCCAGCTTCCTTATGATGCTGGATCCAAATTTACAATATGGGAAAAGAATAATCGAGCTGCTGATCTGTGTGCACCCATGCCGGAAATCAAGTTCTATTTCTTGATGATGATGAATGATCATTTGGTCCCTGCACTTCTAATCATCATCTGCATAATTTATGCCTGAGTGCATTAGTATTCCATAGTGTGTCTGCTGGTTATATGCAAAGAATGCCTACAAGTAAAAATGAATCCCCCACCTAAAAGAAAGCTATTACATGTCATCAATCATTTTGGTGTCATTGTGATTTACAAGAGATTGATGTGGTTCCAGTTAAATTATATCGAGTTAGGAAGGTACTGAGTGTACGCTCATATAAACTACCTGAGATTGACACAAAGCAGGGTCAAGGAGCATCTGCTATATACTTTTACCGACTATACGTGACAACAACGCATCCAGCCAAGTTTATGGCTAGGTTGCTACTAAAGTGATCTTTATACAATCATTCCATCCCCAAATTGTATCAGCACTACGATAGAACAGATACATTATCTTATAGACTAGTAAAATCAATGTCTAAGAGGCAAACGTCAGTAACATCACATCAGATTATTAGTCCCGACTCCGCTAATAAGCATGGACCACTATATTGATGAAAGTACTCTCCTGTAATATACATCTGCTGCAGTGTCAATTAATCTTGTGTGTCATCACCTTTTTTTTTTTTTTGTAAGGGTGTCCGGGTCAAAGTCCGACTAATCCCCGGCAATTTTGGAGGCTAAACATGGCCCCACTTAAATGTCGCCAACACTCCCCTCCCAGGGCTCGAACTCGGGTTCATGACTATGCCATGCCCAAGCCTTTACCACTAGGCTGGAAGGTCTTTGACGTGTGTCATCACCTTACAGGGTGAGCATGGCAAGGACCAAGAATCTTACCTGGTAAGAGGTATAGCAAGGACTGAAAATCTTACCCGGTAAGTGAAGGACCTTGCCGGTAAGCATTTGGTAAACGTCCCCTTAAGAGTCTGTTTACTAAACACTCACCACTTCTTACCGGGTAAGTGGTGTTGATTACCCACACCCTCTGACACACAATGTCGCTGATTGAGATGCTGTCATGGTAAGGATCAAGAGCTTTCCTCAGTTAGTGCTTACCCTGTTAGCGCTTACCCAAATTGTGATGGCAAACAACCTCTTAGTAGTGAAAACTACATGATGCTATATATATTAGTTGAGTTGCCCCTGCAGCAACTATAGGCATCATGGCAACAAGTCTGGATATTTTATCATACATAAGCCTAGTGATAGCATTGAGCAACAGTAAAAATAAATAAATTTTCGCAATAAAAAGGTTGTCTCGCTGCTGTTGTATCACCACAGGACTTCAAACAAGAAGACCACATGTGGAATGACTAATTCAACTAATTTATGAGTGTGATACACCTAAGAAGGAGAAAGGGAGGCTTCTTATGACACTCACCAGATTTATTGTCAACATGTACAAAGAAACTTGCAGCAACAATGAGGTAGCAGAGAATTAGCATCAGGCCTTTAAAGTAATTTGATGTTCCTTCCTGCATCCAGCAAATTAACGCTTACAAAGTTTCTGAATACACCCATAACGAGAGGGAGGACAGAGAGAGAGAGAGAGAGGGTAGAGAAGGAGAGAGACCTGCAGCAAGAATGCTATGACTAACACTGTGATAAAGAGTGTAGCAGTCTCAAAGAGCTGAAAGTTCAAGTCCATCGGCTGCCCCATGATCCAACCCACAACCACACAAAAGGGGATCTGAAGTTGTAAAACAGAACAGTCAGATGCCATTAATATTAATCAGGACAGAGAAGCTTTGGCAAATGTTGCATGAAACTTTCAATCACTATTTGAAAGCCGAAATGCGTAGAGTCAAGAAAGCAATTATGGAAGAAATCAGTGAGAGAGAACGATGAATTTCTTGGTCTAATCACAAATAAAGCTAGTAGATCAGACAATCAAGCAAGGATTGAAAGCGTTACCACAAACATAGATATCTGAGTTGATGATCCAATTGCCACCCCTAGTGTGATGTCCTATAAATATACAAGGATTAGGCAATAGCTAACTAATCTCATACCAATTTTCCCTAAAGATACGAGGTGTATGCTTACAAGTTTGTCTTTCATGGCAAACATTATGGCACTTGCATGTTCAGCAGCATTCCCAACGATAGGAAGCAGGATGACGCTAATAAAAGACACGGGAATATTCCATGAGTCAGATGCTCCCTGAACAAATATGAGGAAGACAATCAGCATCGACCATTGTCAAAAACATATCACCACCTGTAGTTGATCTGGGATCTAAGAAGTCAGTGAGAGACGGCTCACAGTAGATTATTTAATGAACAACAACAAGGGAGCCAGACAAATGAACATGCCTTCCCACTGCTGCCTTAAACCCCAAAGTTACACAGTTAACAAACAAGATAAAACTTTATTTCATTTTTATGCTAAAGCCAAATAACTGTATGTTGATATGCAGGTAGTTTAGAGACCCTCTGGGCATAGGTTACCTGTATGGCATCAACGAGATAGGCAGATAGTACAGATACCCACAATGTTATAATAGTAAGCCATGAAATTGCTTCCCACTTAGTAATCTCAGGGACCTCGCCATCAGAATCTTCCCCATTATTTTCCCTTCCCTGCATCAAATATCAGCACTCAACATAAGGACACATAAATAAACCCTACAGAAAGAAACAAATTCATTTATCACAGAAAAAAAGTCCACTACAAGAGCAGAAAACATCTTATAGATGTGGCTATATATAACTTACATAGAGGGTACCAAACCTAAATAATTTAAGAATCCTAATGACAGTTATGACTAGATACCAATTATGTCTATAAATTAGCAATAGCAAGGAGAAATTACTGCACAAGAAGTATGTGAAATTCATTCAATAAACAACCTACCTCATCAATTGAATCATATAGGTTAGAGTGGCTTTTAAGCTGAAAGAACAGATAGCTTCCGTACGCCACCAACATGATACAGCTGCTAAATCTTGAAAGTGCCAATTCTGACTTCCCGAAATGGACTTCTGTGTGTGTAAAGTGAAGAACAGCTGGAAATAATATACCCATCACAGCCATCAACAGCAGTCCTGAACTAACTATGGCAGTTGCCTATAAATAAACATAAAAAGACAAAAATAAGGGTTATGTTTTCCTCTTTTGGCAAGATATTTACTGTAAGGTATATTGAACCTCACTTCCAACACATAAGAGTAAGGAAAAAATAAATTCAGTACTATGGACTACCTTACTGAAAACCTGGACTTTTGGATAATGCACAATGCCACCGGTAAAGAAGGCACAACCAAGCACTAATAGCATGTTTGATAAGATGGATCCCAATAATGATTGCTGAACCACCCTAATCATCCCACTCTTTAATGCATATAGTGAGATAATCATTTCTGTAGCATTGCCAAATGTGGCATTCAGAAGACCACCAACTGCAAATCCAACAAAAGTTGCTGCTCAATGATAAACAGGTACTCAATGGCAGACACACTGTCCTATAAGCAAACGTCGCAATTCATCTAGACAACAAATATTCAGCCAAAACCTTCTATTGGAGAGTATTTGAGTCCCTTAATCCAAATTTCTATCTTTGCCCTCTATTTATACGAGTTTCAGGAGACTCCTAATACAATCAAAATATCTACAAGATATACATAAGAAAATGTTAGACAGATATAATTTCAAATTTATATTCTATAACACCTGCAATCGGGATGCCCAAGACGACTATGCCACCGGGAGGATGGGAAAGCAACAAGCTACGTTAGAGATGTTGGTGAAGTACAGTGGGGATGTGGGTCAACGAGTTCCCCAGATCTATTGCATCTCACATTATTATCTAATATCTATTGTAAATTGTCTAAGTGAACAAGGCCTTTAATTCTTTGAGGGGCAAGGAGGATGTTACAGAGCTGGAAGGAATAGAAGGAGGACATTAGGGTGGTGTTCCCAATACATGTGTCATCACCAACAAAAATATTATGAATAGCGCCCAAACTGAAAACTTGAGATAAAATATTTGGGTTAGAGGCAAGATGAGACGTCGTATGGTATCCATATACCAAGTGTTTTCCTGGAATTGCAGCCTCATTGTGTTGAAGGCATTAGTGATGTCTGTGGGCTGCAATGAGTTGATGGTAGGAGGCCTCGATGTATAGTCTTGGTTGGGGGTTGCTGTCCGAGGGGCTGGGTCAAGAAGTCCAGCGCTCGGATGAGGAGAGGCAAGCCATTGCGGGGCCGTTGTGCAGGGACACAGAGGCACGGGAGACAAGAGAGAGGCGTTATATGAGTTCCGACCTTGAGGCACGTAGAAGGGGTGTTGACCAAGGCCTTCATGACTCAAATTATTAAGTGTACAGAATCCATGATAGTTAGGATTATAATTATGGCCACTGTAGCCTCCATGGAAACCCGCTGCTACTAATTCGTGCAGTTCTGCTGATTCCACAGGCAGGGCTTCTATTGCAGGGCTGTTGTGGTGTAAGAAGCACGGTGGGAGTGGATATATTTATTGTCAAGAAGAAGCATGAAGCAGACATTAATAAAAGATGGGAGTGGATATATTTATTGAATGATTGAGGACACAATGTCAAATTCTCCTGTTGTGAGACCGTTGACAAGCTGGGAGCTATAACTGTTGTTCACTGACAGAATTGCCAATGTCAGCAAGTTGGTCAGTGATGGTTTTAAGTTTTTGGCACCATCATGTAACGAAAGAGCAAGATTCAAGTTTGGTGTTTATGAATTGGTTCTCTAGTTGAGCACCCCAGACTCCATTATTATGAAAGTTATTCTTGTAACGTGTCCAAGTGTCTAAGGCCATAGAGTTTGGTTCAAAAATTTGAGTGGTGAGATCATCGGAGATGATAGAGTAGATCCATTTGTTGACGAGGGCATATATATGATTCCTAATAGGTTCATCGATGTCAGTGGGGAGACCAGATCCATTGATGTGGTATGTAACCTTGTATGCTTCGCAATGGATTTTGAATAAGTAGGCCCATAAGGACTAAAGGACTTTGTTAGAGTTTGAGTATAAGTAAGACATGTTGACAGATGTTTGAAGCAATAAGAGCAGGATGGAGATGGTAATTGAGGGGAGGTGGGGTGGCTTTGTCGTCACCCATGCAGGAGGTAGAAGACAAGGGTTTATTTGGTGAGGTAGGTTGTAAGTTGCAGGCAAAAAAGAATTTAAGGCTTTGATAACACTCTTTTTATATGAGTTACAAGAGAATCCTAACACACCCATAATATCTGAAAATATACATCAAAAAGTGGACAGGAACAAATTCCATAGTTACATCTATTAACCTTACTCTCAACCATTTTCCCTGATGAGAAAGAGCATGTTACATGACACTCCTTGATGTTAGTATGCTTCCTCAACCTCCTTAGTAAGATGGTTTTTGTATGCCATTTAAAGTCTATGATTCACTCATATGGCTTCAGCATGAATAATGAGCATTCCAGAGTCATAGATAGAGAAGTTTTTGGTACACAACGGTGTTCTCAGAGTTTGTAAAAGCGATGTGCAATTTTAGGATAGAAAATAATTCCTTTAGACAGTCAGAGAACATGGAGCAGCAGTAATGTTACTGGTAAGGATTCATATCTATAACAAATCACGAAAATGGAATAATATATACCTGTCTGCCCTGTATAAAATGCGAGTTGCCTGCATCAAAACAAGTGGTTGAATTACTGTATATTTCAAAAATTAGGATAATAGCTCCAAAGTGAAGAAATCCTCACTCGGTTGCATAACCCAGTCGCTCAGCTAAAGGAGCAATTCCTAGTAAGCTGAAAAAGAAGACCCAACCCTGAAGCAGAGAATCAGCCAAGAAAACTTAATCATGACATAAAAAACATTGAGAAACATATTCCTCGTTTACTCCTTTCTAGAGGTCAGACTGAAAAGCCAGCAAGAGTGTATTCTTACATGCTGTCCTGTTAGGTAGTGTAGTAGTATTGCCAAAGGTCCAAAAGGAAGCAAAACATTGATCTTCGCTTTAAACAAGACAATATAGATACTATGGAATGCAGTGAGCTGTAACTCTCTGAGGACTGATAATCTGTCGCCACTTGTATGAGATGTCTCAAACTGAAAAGATTGTTTTGCATTGGTGGAATGTGATAAAGTTAATGGACTTCCTTCATCAGATTCAAGATCAATGTTCTCCGTCAATGCTTCCATTTTCGCAGATCCCGTCTACAAGGTCAACATCCATCGTTATTAACTGAATTGGCAAAGCCTTCATCCAAGCATTTGGGGTTTATCATCCCATGACCATAATATCACAAACAGTATGTTTCTACAGCTTGATCAAGAAAGAAGCAGGGTGAATTGGTGATATATTATATAAGACTTTGACTAAAAGAACAATAAAATTGGCTAGGCAAGTTCCTTGGACGACTCTGCCTTCCTATAACTTTTTTAATCCTTCCAGAATTGAAGCAAAAGGAACATATCAACAAGTAGTACTAGCCTTTCCTACTTTCCTTCTTTTTTGGGAAGGGGTGTCTTCACGAATCCGTGTAGGTCTTGATGAAAAAATGGCTGGTATGTCACCTTCTATCCCGAAGCCTTAAAATAGTCGGTACAGAGTAAGTTGCAGAACCAATTAACTAATGCAACATACCTCCTCCTGTAATCGAATACTTTTATAGTTTAAATATGTAATTATTTCTACATTCCTATGTTCTACAAGTGTCCATCTTAACATCATCATTCCTACGCACTCAACAAATGCTGAATGTATGCGGCCCCCAATCCATAAATTAGGTAAAGCTAGTCCAATGGCAAAATATAAAATTCTTAATGAAGCTTTTATCAATTTGTCCATATAATAATCCAAATTTCTTCTCAGATACAGCCTCTCTGGTAAGGTGTGCATACCCCCCCCCCCCCCCCTAAAGAAGATACTTTTAATACTGGGTAATTTGATTAATACTGAAGAAAAATGAGTATAATTGATATGATCGTGATGGTATAAGCATGAAATTAGTAAATCTTATTGACAAGCATGTAGTCGAAAAAAGTGTCAAAATACATGAACAAATGTATCTATTTTGCCTGATCCCAAAACCCACTCCAGGATGATGGTTGTGAATCCCTTGAACACCTAGTTACTTATTCAGGTACTTTCACCTAATTTATGTGCCGTAATGCATCACGGGTTAGTAAGTTGTATGGCAGGGCGTCATCTTGAAGCAAATCCTCCCCACCTAAAAGCAAGCGTATATGATGCTAATAGTCCTTCCGCCACAATTACGATCCAACTCCAAAAGTTGTAAAAAGAAATTATAGTGAGCTGTAGACCACAGTATCGACGATTACACAAACTTGTAACCTTGTTTCTAGAACAAACACAACTGGTAAAATAGATTGCAATAATTGAAGGAAGAGTGTTGTATTTTCGAGTCGACAAGTGAAAGAAACAGCAAGAGCACAGTACGATTCAAAAGGAAAAGATAATGAATCCAAACAAGAAGAGCAACTTACTACTTCCTGGCACTAATGATGAAAATACTGATACTGAGAATCCGGGGAAAGGAGACAAGGTCTAATCATACTTGCAACAATAAAAAGTGAGAGCAGTTCCAAATTATAGCAAGAGGTAATTACAAAGTAGACAAAAGTTAGGCAAAGCTACAAGGAAAGGAACGGAACGGAACGAGATTAGAGCAGAAATTGATAATACATGATTTGCATATCACATAAATTGTGTGAGCTGAAGGTAAACGAAAGTTAAGCAACTGACCTTAATCAGAGCAGATGGAGAATTTGTAAGGATTTGAGGTCAATCGTTGAAGCAGATCAAAATAGATGGAAGAAGCATATCTATCAAAAGTGAAATCGAGTACACTACATGTTATTAGTAAGTAAAATTGGGGGTGGATGAAAGAAAGCTTCCTGATTTTTAAATTAAAACGAAAATAATCCAAAACTTTGGCGGTTATTTTTTTCGATTTTAATTAAAATTTCATTACCATAAATATCCAAGATTTTTTTATTTATTATAAATTTAAAATAATTATTGGTATTATATCTATATCTATATCTATATGAAAAGTTAATAAAAGACGGAATATTGTTATGTGATTGACTGTTTTAATATACATATGGAAAAATCCATATCTATTCGATCTTATTGTAATATGTATAACAAAACATCCTAATTGAATATGCTATGCTATGCTCTCTCAAATTTAATATTTGATTGTTTGTTCATGATGATAATATTTGATTGTTATGAAAAGTTTTGTGACCACAAAATGGTATGCATAATATCTGCATTTACAAACAAAAAATGCACCTTTCATTCATTGACTTTAGAATTTCCCAAATGAAAAGGAACATATAAAACCATTTTTTTGATATTTGGATACTTGTAGGAAAGAAAAAATAACATTTTAGATAAGAATTTTAATTTTTTGTAAAAAAAATCCAGAATTGCATTGATTAAAGTGGTGACATTTTAAAAAGTGATGAAAATGTTTGTAATGTTTATTTCTTTGAAAACGTTAAAAGTTTGGAATGGAAGGAATTGATTATTAAAATTTATTGATGAATAGAGTTAAATAAGAAAATTGCATTCGTCTAGCACTAACTAGGAATGCAATGCAATGCAATCAATGTAGACTCTTTGATTGATTTTTAGTCATTATATTATACTTTATATATTACTACACTACGTATATCATGTTCCATTTTATTGAACATCCAAAAATAGTCTCCTTTTCTTATATTACAAAAACAATAACTTATCCATTTCAACGTTTTCTATAAATTTGATTATGTACCCAACATTCGACTAGTTGTTGGAGGACCATACGAGTATCTCCATTCTCCACAAGCCTCGCATCGTTCCTTCGCTGCCAAGTTTCGTAAAGTACAGAATTTGCATGACCATGTCTTCGTATTTGCCTTTTTCTCCTCCATTCTTTCAGTTCCACATGCTATACAAGTCAACGCCAACGCCTGTATGTATAACACCGTTCATATCATTATATTGAAACCATAAGTATAACTTATACCGTTAGCAACTTAATGAGTTTGATGATCTCACAGCTTATTCCGTTACCTATACATGACTGTTTGGTAGTGGCTTAATGATATAGAAAGTGGCCAAAAAGCCAAGTTTTTTCCCAACTTTCCCCTCTCAGTTAAAAAGCACACCCATTCCATCTTTGAGAAAACCCTTCCAAACAAAAACTCTCCCAATCTATAGAGCCACATTAATCCGCACAAACAGCTTTATCTGTACATGAATTAATGAAAAATCAATCATAACAACCTCTTACCTGGTTTAACAGTGTACAACTACCACATTGCCATGATGCTTTCGCTTCTCCTTCTCCATGATTGTTGTTTACCAATATAGGCGGTAGAGCTTCATTAGAGCTCACATCTTGTGACACAGATGTTTGACCAACTTCTTCAACCTGAGAAGCACACCACAAATCATCATGCAGTCTTCTCTCTGCAGCCATGGCAGCAGCTTGAATTGGGCTAAGGGAAGCTCTCAAGCTGCTATCACCGCCAAGACGTTTTGGACCAGAAGGAAGCAGAGTTCCCCGCTGAACTCTATTTTCTGCAGCAGATAGGGCTTTCTGGCGCAGTGATGATAGAGGCGGTTGACGTGAAAATCCACCCAATCTTCTCCCTGGAAGATCAAATCCTCCCCCACTTCCCGTTATTCCTTTAGCCATCAATTCTTCACATTCCTGCAACATAAGGAAGGCCAATTCAGGTACACACATATATCTTGCAAAGCCTAACAACCACAAGTTAAGGCAAATAATATACTTAGGAACAACAAAATGGTTAACAAGGTCTTGTCATGAATATTGGCCATTCCTATGGAAGCAATGATCAAGAGAACCAACCTCATTAAGAAACTTCACTAGAGAAGTATTTGATATATTTGTTAGTGTTGATATAGCAAGGTACATGTCGTCTTAATAGCACAGTTTGCAATACTAACTTGTATTTCATGTTGTAGATTCTATAAGAAAGATGAAGAAATGTGCTTGCAAATCTATGAGCAGTATGGCAGCACTTTCTATTGTGTTCCATGAATATGATATGCTTGCAGTCATTCATCTTTCAGTTATCTTAAATCGACAAATTTCAGTCTCGACCAAGGGCAGTTGAATACCTACAGGAGACTTCCACAAGCTTTCAACCACTAAAATGAAGCATTTCATTTGACGCTTAAAATATGGTTTAATGAAGGCATGGGTTAAAAGCTGACTAGTGACAATGATTTTCTTCCATGCCAAAAGTCCAATATAGGACATGAATCTGGTGCTGATAAGCTCCAAGCGTAGAATGGGTTACCGGCAATGGATCTGCCTAATAATAAAGATGGTATGAATCTAGCATGCAGTGTTTCTTAATCAACAACTATGGTTCCACAAGGTTTATTTCTTCCATACCCTGTGAGAAGAACATAAGATCAAAGTGCAGCACACACACATATGCTTAACTGCCATTCCACAAAACTTAAAAATATGTGGTAGCTTTGCTCATCAGAGTTGCCCACAAAACTTAAAAATATATGATAATTGCGAAATATGTAGGTGGTCTGGATATCAACCACATAAATGTGACATAAGCTTTTACCTTTCTAATTTCTTCCAGTAGATTGTAAAAATCAGAATTATGTGGGCCAAATTCATTGTGACAAAGCTCATGGAGCATGGTGTCAAGAATTTGCTCGTAAGGGAAGAAGTCCCACTCATTATTTTGCCTCCGCAGTCTCAGTTTTACCTCTGCACCTCCATTTACGTTTAGGCCAAGAAGAGCAGGATTGGAAGGGCTGCATATAAAACATCTTATCATGACGATGGAAAACCTGATACTATTTGCATATAAAGGAACCAACAAAAAAAATGATAGAAGACTGCAAGTACCAAAATTCAGAAAGGATCTTGACTTTCCATTTACGCTTTCGCATGATGGGTTGAACTTGCCTTGCTACTTTTTCAAGAATTTCTCTTGCCTCATCTTCTCGAGGCTTCTTCAGAGGCTTGACTTCCCAGACTTTGTTAAGATCATTGAGATTCATACTGGACTGGGAAGAAACTAAAACAAATTTTGCAAGATGGCAAAACTCCTTCACCCGCTTTAAATAAGAAATCTACAGTATCTTGCAACCTGATTTCTGCAACTTTATCATTTATAATGATATAAATTAGCTATGTCTTCATCAAATGATCATTACTAATCAAAAGGATAACTAAAAATTGAAAACTTGATTTTTAATTTCTGAAACAATTTTTTAATATTGGATCAATACTTGCAAATATTTCTTTACAAAACAAATGGATATGTGAATATTGAGTTACCACCACTTCAAAAGTTCAATTACTTTTAGAAGCTAACAAGATGAAATCACAGCTTCCCAGGTCATTATGGATTAATACGTGGTTATAACATGCAATGATGGCATGCCATGTTTTCACATGTGATCACCAAAAAAGGTTAGATTCATAGTATGTTAAGTTTACACACCACTGAAACTTCCTTTCTTCATTTTTCAATTAGCAAAAAGGAAACATGTACTAATTCTAGGATAAAGTTTACAACAAGAATGAACAAAACTTGGAGAAGAAGAGCGCTTTTGGCAGTGAACAGGTTGCATAGTCCCATATCCAAGGACAGTGAACGGGTTTAAAGTATCTTCATGTCATAGTAGCAAATAATGACAGAGCATCTTGGTTCAGTTTCCAGGGACATGATGGGCCATGAATTATGAACTAAAATTGCTTGGATGGAAACTTTGCAAATTTAACATGATTGTCACCTTACATTATCGTCCTACTGGATTCTGCCAACCCAAGACCCATATGCCATCTAGTGATGTCTCTATAGACAAATGACTGGATTGTTGACTGTAGAAGATCCCTGTTGTATGCTGACACTGTGCTTGATTCCAGCAGGAAAAGTCTAGACTCTAGAGTTCCTTAGCTGATTTGTCCAATGATTCTACATGAAGTTGAACAAATATCCGAATCATGGATCCGTCTTAAAGTCAAGTTAAACAACTCGGTTGTAAGGTTTTGCTGTTTTATCTTCTAACAAAGAAAACTAACACAAGCACGATGCTTCGTGTAATTCAATGCAAAATCTATAATCATATACTAAAACGGCCAGCATAATAGCAATCGCCAACAGGTTTTATGTATCAGTAGAATGCAAATGCACAATAAATATAGCAATCATCTGAGCAAACGTAAACCCCCAGTTACGAAATTGTAGAAACTCCTTAGCATCCAATTTCAAAGAAAGAAGAAGATGGTGTGGGAACATACCTATACGAGATGATGGATGATGGATGATGAATGATGAATGATGAATGATCTGCTGGTATGGGGTTGGAATTAGTGGAGCTCTAATTATCTTTGTCCTCAAGAAACCCTCGTCAGCGATGACACCGTACGTATGTGGGTTTTTTCAAATCAGGGCATCCGCACTTTGACCAATGTAGTAAATTTGCGCCAACCTATTTTTTATTTCGGAAACCCAAGTAAGAACTTAAAACAGCTTTTTAATTAACCGATTACCTTAATATGATATGATAGGATAAATCTATTAATTAAAAACATATTACGTGAATTTAAAAATAATAACCACATAATTTCTGTTACAAATATCATAATTTCATATGAACACTTTAAATATAAAGAAAATATAATTTATGTTAAAATAAGTACATATAAAAATGAAATTTCCCCAACTCCTCGTTAAAGATAAAGCTACTTTATGAAAATAAACATTACAATCTTTTTAAGAGTAGATATTACAATTCTAGTAACTTCAATTTTAAAATTTGTTCTTCTTTTTTCCATTATATTATATTATATTATATTATATACCAACAAATTATAATTGATACATAAAATTTTATATCATGTACCAGTCAAATATATTTGACGCCAACTAATGTGATATAATTTTTTTTCGGTTGGTACATGTTGGTATGGTATTGTACCAACACCGTAAAAGTTTACGATTTATTTAAATTAACATATTTACCAACCATATCTAGGTGCATTAAAATTATCAAGTATTTATATAACATGTTGATATGTGTTGTATCACTTATCTTTACCTATACAACCATTCATTAATAGTCCAACACTAACGGTCATTGATGGATCATAGAGGTGCGTACGAGTTGTTAAAGTTAAACGAATGAATTTAATCAAATTATATATATATATATATATATATATATCTATAGTATAATTAAGCAAAATTTAAAGCAGTATATTTTAGAATTTAAATCAAAACATGTTGCATTATTAATTAATAAAATAAATATGGTATTACTATGATACATTCCTAATATCACATAAAAACCAGGGACTATCAACCAACTCAACCATACTGATACCAAGAAGTAATATAACATTTGATTGGTTTCTCTTGGTATAAAATTGAAACCCTAACAATGAAATGAATTAGACAAAATGAATGGCTTAAAAGTTGACAAGCCCACTTATTTGATTAAGCAGCTGCCCAACTATATCCGCCGAACCAACCAGTCTCGTTAAGCCGATTTTGTAAATACACACAGCACTAAATTCTTGTATTCTTTTTCTCTGGTTCAACCTCGTCTTCCTCCTCTGCAAACTCTGCTCCAACAACAAGAAGAAAAGAAGAAGAAGAAGAAGAAGAAGGTCACTGACATTTTCATCAATTTAATACCATTCACAGAGGTTGATTAGGTCATTGGGTTTCGAAAACCCATGTCATGAGTTTTCTTTTTCTATCAAGAACCCCTCCATGAAAACTTAAACCACCAACAATGGCGTCAATCACTAGCATCCTCCTCCCGTTGATCCTTCTCGTCGTTCCATTCGGTCTTAACTGTTGTACGCTAGCCCAGTCCGATCAACAAAGTAACCAACGACTCTCAATTCTAGTTCAAGATTAATTTGTCTGCAATCATTTTCTTGAATCACGCATCAAACTAATCAATTATTTTACTTTGTATATCAGGTCCGGCTTACATGGCGTTCGTAGTTAACGCAACCCAACTTCCGCTGGAAGACACATTCGATTACGTGATAGTTGGCGGCGGCACCGCCGGTTGCCCACTGGCAGCGACGTTATCCAAAAACCACCGTGTCTTGGTTCTTGAAAGAGGCGGTCTTCCTTTCGCGAACCCTAACGTGATGACACGAGAAGGTTTCCTCCCAATACTCACCCACTTCGACCAGTTTCTATCCCCCGCCCAAGCATTCACTTCCGAGGACGGCGTTCCCAACGCCCGAGGCCGCGTTCTTGGTGGCAGCAGCGCCATTAACGCCGGATTTTATAGCAGAGCCGACGAAGATTTCTACAAAAGATCCGGGATCAATTGGGACTCGCGAGTGGTGCAGCGATCTTATGAATGGGTTGAGAAAGCAATCGTGTTCCAACCGGAGTTACAGACGTGGCAATCCGCCGTCCGTGACGGATTATTGGAAGCCGGCGTGGAACCTTATAATGGTTATAGTTTAAATCACTCTCTGGGTACCAAGATTGGTGGGTCGACGTTTGACAGCTCCGGTCGTCGACATAGTGCCGCCGATCTTTTAAACTTGGCTACCGGATCCAATATTCAGGTGGCTTTGTATGCCAGCGTTGAGAGAGTTTTATTCGCTCCGTCGTATTCTTTGGCGTCTAGGCAGAATGCCATCGGAGTTGTGTTTCATGATCTGGTCGGCGGCCATCATCATGCAATGCTACGGGAAAACGGAGAGGTCATTCTCTGCGCCGGCGCCATTGGCAGCCCACAGCTTCTTCTCCTTAGCGGCATTGGGCCACGGCCGTATCTTTCTTCTTGGGGAATACCGGTGGTACGCCATTCTCCATATGTCGGAAATTACATGTATGATAACCCACGGAACGGAATATCGATCGTGTCGCCGGTTCCACTGGAGCATTCTCTCATACAGGTGGTGGGCATCACCGATTCTGGTGCTTATCTTGAAGCAGCTTCCAACGTTCTCCCTTTTTCTTCTCCGGCGTACTCTGTTTTCCTCCGTCCATCGTCTTCTCCGTTGTATCTTACTGTTGCCAGCATTATGGAGAAGATAATCGGGCCCCACTCTTCGGGGACACTTCGATTGGCGTCGACAGATGTGAGAACCAACCCGATTGTGCGATTTAACTACTTTAGTAACCCAGTGGATTTGGAAAGGTGCGTGAATGGGACTCGTAAGATCGGAGACTTGCTTAGAAGCCGATCGATGGATGATTTCAAGTTCTGGGAATGGTCGGGTACGGACTTCAGATTCGTGGGTCCGGCTTTGCCGATTGATCAGTCGAATAACATGGTGATGGGGGAGTTCTGTCGGCGGACGGTGAGCACAATCTGGCATTACCATGGGGGATGCGTGGTGGGGAGAGTGGTGGATCGTAATTTGAAGGTGGTGGGTGTTCATTCTCTTCGGGTAATCGATGGTTCGACGTTTACGGTGTCGCCGGGGACCAATCCACAGGCTACTCTCTTGATGATTGGCAGGTAATTTGCAGATAAGTTGGATTGAAAACATGTAAAATGTAGCTAACAGCATGTGTTTGGTACTGAACGTGTAGGTACATGGGGTTGAAGATTTTGAGAGATCGAATGCGCACTTGATGTTCTGCTAATGGATTGAAGTTGTAACGTAAATATGGTGTAGTAATTCACTACTACTACTACTGCTGCTACTGTATGTGTATCAAACTATCATCAATACAAATACATTTCCATTTCCTTTGTGCTTGCTTGCTTGGTTTACCATTACTATTGCTATTCATTCTTTACCCAATGTATTGTACGTATAAAACAACTATTTATCCATACACGTATTAGTATTAGTATTAGTATTAAATAATGTATTTTAAGTTTTCAAATGCAAAAATGTAAAACAAATGACAATTCAGGGACTAAAATTGTACTTTGCTCAAAACATGTATGTGCCGTTGCGTTGTATAGTGTGTGACAGTACAATTCTGGGAATACAGCCAATCCGTTCTATAGCCCCGAGTTTTTCTTTTGCCCTCTAGGGTTTCATAATCATAATCGTAGACGGAATCCGAAAATCCCACCCATCACCACAACAGATGGCCGGTAACGGAATGCACCAATACCATCCACAGTGGCCACCCGCCCCAGCTCCTGCTGCCCCCGTCGTTGTTCCGGCTCCACCCCCTCACTCGCACCATTCTCCCATGTCAATGGACAATCGCCTCTCCGGTGACGAGGTCAGGACGATCTTCATATCTGGCCTACCTGAGGACGTGAAGGAGAGAGAATTGCAGAACCTGCTCAGATGGTTACCCGGTTACGAAGCTTCGCAGGTTAACTTCAAAGGCGAGGTCCCTATGGGTTTTGCTCTTTTCTCCACACCGCATTTTGCTATTGCCGCCAGAGACGCCCTTCAGGTATTCTATATGCATACTATATTAACGATGAATGACGAGTACGTTTATTGATCATGGATTCTGGCGTAGGATATGGTTTTTGATGCGGAATCCAAGTCCGTCCTGCACACAGAAATGGCAAAGAAAAATCTGTTTGTGAAACGGGGTGAGTTTTTTTTTCTCATTGAATTTAGATGCATTGATCTGTGTGAGAACAAAACCTCAGCGCCTTCTATATCGCCGCTGCACAGGCTTGTGTTTAGTTTAGGCTGTCCCATGTATACATACGTTGAAACCTTATATGTGGCTTATATAATCTAGTGACCATTATAATTTTGGTCCTCATATATTGTCCTGCTATTGTTATCATCAAAAGAGTCATCAAATTCTTCTCGGATCTCCGTTTGTTTCCGTTGAACAGCTTGTTTAAGTAACGCCTTCGTCATTTCTTGAAAACCGTTCTCAGCCTAAAGTGAAACCAAATGCAGCTTATGCCTTCTTTTACTTGCTTGGAATAAGCTATACATATATAACCTATATTTGTTTTCTCAAAATGGAACATGGTCTTCCAAATTATATCGAATTGGAACTTGGTAAATATTGTTGGTGATTTTAGTGTCACCGGTTTCATTTGGTGTAGGAGGTAAATATACGAGCGCTAAAGGGGATCTTTACTTAGTTTTTTATGCAAATTAGGATAGGAGGTGCGGAGCGCACACTTGTATAAGACTAGATTGATCCCAGTATGACCAAAAGGCGGGGGTCCCGGTTCCCGGTCAGCGGGCGGGGTCGAGGGGGCCGCCCTTGCGGGGCTTGGGGCATCGCCCCGGACCAAAATTTTCCGTTTGAAGGCAGTTGGTTAGTTCCTAACGGATGTTTTTTGGTTCTTAACTGTTGTTAACCTTCATATAACCTTCCATAACTGTTTGGTATTATCCAATTTCTTGCAAAGAACCTTCGTTTTTTTGGCTCTCGAATGAAAGGATTGATAGAATTGAAACACCAACAGTAACATAATCTAATTTCTGTGCCAAAGAATTAGATTGTTTCTTCTTGGATTATCCCACAATCAGAATTTTGTGCAACTCAAGGCTATAGGGTCGAAATATCTAATCCGGAAAGTGATTTACACGATCCAAGCAAGAATCCAAGCAAGTGTGATTTCAGAAAACCATTCTATTGTTCATTTACCCCAACAAATATTGGAAAGAGGATGATCAACCACTTATTCGTATTGATCATAGTCATATGCGGCATGCATTATATTGTACAAACTTAACATCTAGGTCTCTCTAATACCTTTGTTCTAGACAGTGTGAATTTAATTCTACACAATGACCCTTCAATAGCGAGCTTGTTAGGATACTTTCACCCATACCCCAAAGGACAACCTCAGGGAAAATTGTTTTTCTTATTGCATAGTTTACTATATTTTCTTTTTCCCAAAGGCATTGCTGAATATTTTTGTTGTTGCAAAAGATCAGTTGGTACCAGAAAAGTGAAAAAAGTATGTCAGTGTATAGAAAGCTGATATTTTATCTGGGAGTGGGGAAGCAAAGTAGCTCATTGATGCGGGGACATACAAAGTATTTTATTTATTGTTGTGGCTGAAGGGTATTCCTTTTCTTCACACCATAAACAATTTGCTCCTTTTATTTGTATAAACAAAATATCAATTTCTTCGAAATGGATGTCTTGACGAACTTCATGCCAAGGTTTTTCTTTTTGCCATTTTCGGAAATCTATCGGTAATATATTTGTCATATAACTCGGTCAAGATTGAAATCATTTGTTTGTATCAAATATAATATCAAATGGCTATACCATGATTTACAATTCTACTTTTCATCGTGATATGAGGTGTTAAATTAGAGGTTCACATGGAGAGGGCGTTAATAGATTCAATTTCTCTTTTTTTAGTAACATAGTTGCAAACGGCTTGTCTGATTCAACTAATCTCCATGACATAATGTGAGATTGTGACCCTCTCAATCGTCAAATGGGGAGTTGTAGTCTGGACATTCAAGTATGTTGGATATGGGTCTGTTTTGACCAGAATGAGTTCTTTTACATTTACCAGCTATTCTGTCAAGACTCCAGCATGTGTAAAAGCTTTTAAGTGGACCTGGTGAACATCATGATTTACCTTTCTGTCAAGACTCCAGCATCTATAAAAGCTTTTAAGTGGACTTGGTGAACATCATTCAGATTCATGCCATGTTAAACTTCTGTTTGAGATGTACCTTTCTCCCTTAAACTATCTTTTAGGTTGTGCTTGTATATACTAAACTTTTGTTGTTCTGCAGGAATAGTAGCTGATCCAAATTCGTTTGATCAAAGTAAACGCATGCGAACAGGGGGTGACTATACACACACTGGTTTCTCAAGTCCATCCCCTTTCCATGCTCCTCCTGCACCTGTTTGGGGTCCACATGGGTAAGTACTTTTTGGGTCAAAGTTTTATTTTTTTTGTTTGCATTGGCCAGTGGTGCACTTTTGAGAAGTTGGATGCTTTTGGAGCTGGTATTCAGGTTATCTTCTTACCTGTTAACTTGCTTAGGTATATGGCACCGCCACCGCCACCATATGACCCTTACGGCGGCTATCCTGTTTCTCAAGTACCGATGGCTGCTCCTCCTGCCCTTCCTTCTGCTCCTCTGCCCGCTCCTAGCAGTTATATGCCTGTTCAGGTGCTGTTGGTTGTATGTTGAATTGCCATGATTTAATCATCACATATAGTTGGAATAGTTATGTGTAATTGTTGGTTCTGTGCATTCTTGATATTGATAAATGATAATATATAACTTAATATGGGACACAATAATCTTTCATGCAGTCTTTCATTTCTATTTTTTTAGTATGTTATATCATTCACCTTTCCTGTGTGAAGGTATTCTATGGTGTTACAATGACCAGGTCTATTGTACATTGGAACTGAAGCTACATTGTTCCCTGTATTTGGTTTTAATTGTTTAGTTTGCAAGGAGTTACCTGTGGTACAGAATTATGTTTCCATTCTAAGATGCTATTGTGTAACTGTTGTGTGGGATGGAATATAAACTAGTCATTTCTTGCTTTTGGCCTGTTTTCTTTGCTTATCGTCTTTGTGTCTAGTTTTCTTGCGCTCCTAAATTTGCAATATTTCTCTCTCATTGCTCCTTCGGAACTTTGGTGCTCAATTTCTATATTATTTTAACTTTTAGAACACGAAAGATAATCCTCCTTGCAATACCTTGTTTATTGGAAATCTTGGGGAGAACATAAACGAAGAAGAGCTAAGAGGACTTTTCAGTGTGTAAGAAGTTTCCCTCTACCAGTTGTAAATAAGTCATGCATTCTTTTGTTTAGTCCGGTTGATGCTATTGGTGACTGGTTCTATTTCTTTGAACATTTTCACTTGTGCAGGCAACCTGGTTTTAAGCAAATGAAGGTCTTGCGACAAGAAAGGCATACTGTTTGCTTTATTGAGTTTGAGGTAAGTTTGTGTTCTTCTTTGTTATAGTTTATAGATTTATCTTCATAAATGCTGTCAATATTCATTGCCCCTTTTTGTGCAAATATATGTTTCTAGTTATTCTTGTATTATCTTAATTACCACAGGATGTGAACAGTGCAACAAATGTGCACCATAGCTTGCAAGGCGCCGTTATCCCTAGCTCTGGTTCTGTTGGCATGCGAATACAATATCCTTATACATTTTGGTTCTTTTGCTTGTTTCTATTTATTTCTTTGCTTATTTTTCTTATTCTGTATGTAGCATTTAATTTCTTCTTGTATTTGTTAATCAAAATCCCACAGGGATGGAGTTGATGCTCCCCACATCCATATCATGTGTAGTTATAGCAACTGAAAATATGGCTTATTACTTCTCTACCACTACATAAGGGGAAACCAGAATGGCAGAAGTCATGTACCTCGGTGGCTCCACATATATGTGTGGGAGCTTGGTCGAAGGTTATGTCTCTTGATGTAATTGGAATCTATCAACTAGCAGTCCTCCAGTTTCTTTGCTTGTTGAGTGGCTAGATTTTGACTTGAAGAGGGCAGGAGATGTTGTCTTGTCAATAAGTGGTGGCAACATTTCCGTGTGACCAAAATATTAGTGATATGTTTATTGACTTAGCTAGTAAAATAGAAGGAAACTATTGTTTTTATTCCATGTAAATGTCTCAAATGGAAGACGATGCACTGTATTTTTGGTAGAGGAAGTACTAGAAGGCCCACTTGAGGACAGGAATTTTTTTTTTTGTAAAAGTTAAGGCAATGATCATGTTATGACTGTAGTTTTCAATATAAGGAGATCTCTTGAGCAATTTAAGAAGAAATGAAAGCATCATGCTTTGAAAGCAAACCAAACGAACCTGAAATATTCCACTCGGAGGTAGGGTGGGGAGGTGGATGGTATGCAGACATGTACTTTATCCCCAAAGACCAGAGCGACCGTTTTTGTGCATGCCAAAAAGTTAGAAGAATTCAAAATGACTTTTGAAAAGAAGCAAGACTTGGTTAATAGTATGCAACATAAAAAAAGATGTTACTACATTGTAACATAAAAAAGGTATGAGAATCTACACAACCCCTTATCTGTTGTAGGGAAAGCATCATGCTTTGTCAAGTGTAATATCCCTTTTAGTTGGTATGATTGCTGATTTGACATATTGTTGATTTCTTGCCTTCTGTATATTTCAGCAAGTTCTGTAGTGCTCCTTGTTTACATCGGATATTTAGGTCCATGACCTTTCATGATTTGTTTTTTTTAAATCCATGACCTCTTGACCTACTAAGAAAAAATGGCTCCATGCTCATGAGAAGGTTATAGATTTAATTAGAAACTTATTAAAGGTTATTTTCCAAAATGACCCTTGTTTATATTCAGCTTATGTTTTATCTTAACCATGGCATTTTTTGTTAGGTGCATTTGCTTACTGTTTCTGTCCATGTTTGCAAGCATAGAGATGAGATTATGAGCTTTTGTTTTCAAATAGTTTAGAAGCATCATAACTCAGTGTGTTGCCATAAGTTTTAATATCCATAGGGTTTTCTGATACTTTTGTATTGAAAAAGTTTGCTTTTTTGCTTGTATACCTGTCATTGAGCTTTGCCTTCTTTCGACTACATTTTCCTTAACCTTAGAAAACATATTCGAAGAACCCATTTGGGAAAAGGAAGGACCCTGGCTACCCTGTCGTTGCCCCTGGCTCAAATGGATCACTGGCAGCTATTACTTACCAGTAGCTGGAAGGGGATGTACTCTGTTCTCTATGCTCTGACAAAAAAAAGAACATACTACTCATAGGATGCATATTGCTGCTGGGCATGCATCCATTTTATTATCAAGTCATGAGCAATGCATTAGCATCACTTGCATGTAACTGCAGAGGGTTCTTGTGAGCATATAATCCTGCCGTTCATAGTGTATCCAAGACATGCATCTTAAGCATCATCTCAGAATGCTTTGTTGACTTATTCGAGATGGATATGTTATAGAATTGTTGCTGCATCAGTTTGTAGTTTTATTTGATTTTGTGCTGTACCATCCTGTCTTCATGATTATGCTTATGGTTTATCTGGATCTATCCAATTAAAATCTCATTATATCAGCTAGGTTCATCTCCATTTTCGAGTTTCTATCCATATCATTTTGTTTTTGTAGTCTATATGCAAAGAAAGAAAGAGATGGCATGGAAAGATATGAAGGGTGATGGAGGGAATCATTTCATATCATTGGAAAATAAGCATCTCATGGCATGAGTTTATACTAAATGAAATGTTAAAAGCTCCAAATTGTAAATAGTAGTTACCATCATCAAGGCCATGATTTGGTCTCTTGCTAAGCTGATTATGGAGCTGACAGTGACAATCTAACATTCAGGGATCAAAGCATGTACCATGGAGGTTCTTCGAAATCTATTCTGCTAACGTTGTGCGGGGTAAAATTTCAACCTCCTTTGGGCAGGATCAAGGGCTTAACCTCTTTCGATTTCAGGTAAATTATTTAAACGTCATAAATCAGACATCTGCCGTAGATCTTAGGTTGGCAGGTTGACATCGGCTACATATGAGTACGATTCTGATGTTTTTCTTTGCTTTTATGCACATTCATGTCCAATGGAATTTGTCACTGTCATGAGTTGTAGACGTTTGAGTTTGCTTTAATTGGTGCAAGGTCCCAAAAAACAGCAAGGTGAAGGTTCTATGTTCTGGAAGTAGATATGAAACTTCTGTTTCTTTCTACCTTCCTGTGTTAATTTTGCATGAATGATATGTTCTTAATATGAATTATTTATTGATGATTTGGACTGTAAGAGCAGAAATATTTCAACTCAAATAACTTTGAGTCATACTTCACTTCTGCTGATAAAACCAAGTTTAATCAAATTCTTATTTTTGGTAGTACTTTGACTTGCCATTTCTAGTAGAACCAGGACCAATCTAACATATAGTAGAACTGCCACTTGTCTTTGCTGGCCGCATGTAGTGCACTGTTAATAATCTGAAGCTGGTGAATCTGGTCTAGTCTCATTTAAAGACACCTTTAGATCAAATATGGCATACTCATATGCCTGTGGGTTATCTTTTCTTAGTAGCTTGTGGAAACTTGAGTTGTCTTTTGAGTAGAAGAAAAAAAGGCATTTGATATTGTGTGTACAACAGTCTTCTTGAGCAGCTTGTTTTGGACCTTGTGTTAGGGGATCACAATGGTTAATCACAACCGGCTTGTGGTTGCTGTTTCCAGTCATCTGTGCTCTTGGAGAGTGGGAGTTCAAGTTGCTGCAAGATCTCTTCTCAGATGTAAACCTTGTAAAGATCCTCAAAGGTTTCAATAGTCTGTATGAGTTAGTGGTTACCCTTTGGGCCTAACTTTTGTATCGATAGACGGCGTTTTAGTAGAACGAGCTAGATAGAACCAGCCAGAAGTAGTGCGAAGGATGAAGAACTCATCCCAGTTTTACCTGATCATGGAGTTTGCTTCTCCCAGTTCGAGCAGCGATGTTTTGTTGAGTAATTTTAGGATTGATGATCTGATTGAACCTGGGAGCTGGCCTAGGCTGCATTGGTACTGGAAAGCTGACCTTTTAGAAGTTGCTGATTTGATGGGGTTTAGGTCAAGGAGGGAGCTGACCTTTTAGATGGTATGAAATTCTGAGCTCTCTACTTGTTTGTAATTTGATTAAATGATACAGATGTCTTGCCATAGTACACATCTTTTATGTACATTTGTTCTGGTTGATATTAAGGTTTTGGTTTTGTCACATTATGAATGTTTGGCTCAAAAGTTAGTAAGACCTTCATTTTATTAGATCTACTGCTGCAAGAAAAAGGTTGACAAACATTTGACGGCTTTGATTAAATCATGAGCACACAAGTGTGCATCGTAAGAGAAATGTTTCATAAATTTTAGTGTTTTGAGCTGCAGCTATGCAAAAGCAGCAGGTAATTTGGAAAGCTTGTCAAATCTCACAAAATTCTAGAAAGTGAAAGTTTTGAGTTAAGTTTGAATCTGATATATTATGTTTCTTAGTGTAGTCTCTTGGTAAATTTATGTATCTATTTATTTTCTCTGAATGTTTGAATGCAGGAGGTGTATCTTTGTGTTTTGGTCAACGAATTTGTTGAATGGTAGGCTTTGGTTGTCTATGGAGTGGAGTACAAAAATGTATTGGTGGTGCTGGTTTTTGAGGTTCTTACGAACGCATACAATGTGTAATTGTATGGTCACGTTTCTGTGGCTTGAAGAATGGTTTTTATTCTTTGTGATATAAGAATCTGTGTTTTAAATTTGGCGTTTTGGGTGGCGTGGTGATAAAAGTTGAAACTTGCAGCAAGCATTGTGCTTGTACAAATAAGGAAAAGGAAATTGAGGAGGGTTTGGGTGTGAAAATCATTTTGTATTTGTAGGCGGATGGGGGGTGGGGTTGGGTTTAATTAATGAAATTTGATGTTGTGGGGTCTACTTCGTTTTTCAAGATAATTGGTTGGAGGGAAAATTGTTTATTAAGTTGGTTCTTACGATGTTTTAGTTGAACATAAATTAAAAAGATACACCGAAATGGTAGGAAAGCTAAATGTGAATGCAATGGTTCAAGTATCCAATCCAATCCATCATTGCTTCGTCACAACCATAGATTTTTATTTTATGTATTAAATGTCTTACAAATAATATCTATCATGTCATGCATAGATTAAGTATGTTATGAGATTAAACATGATATTTTAGGTATTTTTGAATAAAGAGTTGGATTCCGACGAGCCCTTGAAATGAGTTTTGATCGATCCTAATTGAAAATCAACACTAATGAGCTAATATATGAGTTTGTGAAGATCTACAATTAGGATAACTTATTTTTTGTAAGGACATGTGGTTACGGGGAGGGGAGGGGAGGGGAGGGGAGGGGGTGGGGTTATAAACCCGACGTCTAGCATTCAAAATCGGAGGATTAGCTTTTGTTTTGTGTGGGGAATCAGTCATTTGGCCCACTTGGTTTAACATTTTCTTATATATTCTTTTGCTTTTAAAACCCCTATTTATTTTATTCTTATTTCATGTTGTATTACGCCAAGTTTCTCTCAACCTTTTCAACGCTTGTTCAAAATCATTTTCTTTCATTTATCAGTCAAACTCTATGCATGTAGGATTTATGAGTTAGTTTTGTTGTGATGACCTCCCTTCTTTTCCTCGGAAGTTTCCACGGTGCATCTCGATCTCGATGTCTGTCATCCTAATAGTGGAGATCTCTTCTTATGCTTATTACCTCAACTCTCATTCTTACCGGGACCTGTATGACCCATTTATAGATTTAGTAAATAATGAATAAATCAAGAGCATCAAAATCTATTCAACATTTTTACCATAAATATGCTTCCTCCTATTCTAAATTGGGAACTAGTACAAGTATAGAGCATGTTAAATGCTTAATTTTAGAGAGAATCTCTAAAAAATTTACATCTCTCTCACCTTGAAAGCTACTTTAATTTTTAAGTCGGAGAACATTCATTCCTCAAGATGAATGCCACAAATACAGAGGAGCTTCTTTCTTCCAAGTAAACGGAAGGGCTTTTTGTAATTCAGTAGATAGATAACGTGGTTGGTACCATACAGCATATGAAGAAGACGAACCATTGAAGCGTCAAACGAAACCGCGTTGAGTTAAAAAGATTTCACCATTGACCATTCCCTCCATCCTTTGACGTCTGTCATTGTCGGCCATCCACCTCCACCTCCTCATCTCACCCCCACCTCTTATTATTTTTATCATTTTTCTAATGGGTAGTCCACCTTCTTCTCTGTTCTGCTCCTTGAGCCTGCAACTCCAATTGAAGGAGTTTCTTGCCACTTCCTTCAACTAGGTCAGATCCTCCAACCACTTCCCAGCTTCAATCTTTTTCAAGTTTGAATTTTTATTAACATATCTGCAATGCCCATTCCAACAAGAATGAGTTTGGTTTTGTATTTCTTGTTTTTGTTTGGCCTACTTCCTCCCTCATTCTATCTTGTCTCTGGGTTAACCTCTGATGGCTTAAACTTATCATTACTCATGAGCCGCTGGACCAAAATACCACCCACCATTTCTTCTACATGGAATGCTTCAGACCCAACACCTTGTTCATGGGTTGGAGTTTATTGTAACCCTACCCATCATGTCCATGCTCTCAACTTGTCAAGTTACCTCATTTCTGGTGCTTTAGGCCCAGAACTTGCTTACTTGAAGCATCTTAGATCAATTGACTTGAGCTATAATAACCTATCTGGTTCACTTCCTTCACAATTGGGTGATTGTACCCTTCTTGATTATTTGGATCTTTCTTACAACCTTCTTACTGGAAGAATACCACAAAGTCTTGGGAACTTGATCCATTTAAGATACTTAAGTCTTTATAACAATAAACTCACTGGTTCTATCCCTTGGCAAATTGGGAATTCTAGTCATCTCCAGGAACTGGATTTTTCTTTCAACCATCTTACAGGAACAATACCAGAAAGCCTGTGGAATTTGCAAAATCTAAGAGTTTTAAGTCTTTATGATAATTCTCTTTATGGTTCCATACCCAAATCCTCCTTTCACAGTCCCCATTTGGAAACTCTTTATCTCAGTTTTAACCAGCTTAGTGGTCAGATACCGTTCATGTGTAACCTGACCAAGCTTGTAGATTTGCAGTTGGACAACAATCGACTTTCGGGTTCTATTCCTTCATCCCTGGGGAATTGCAGTGTGCTCCAGACACTCTCACTTGCTAACAATCAGTTGACTGGTACATTGCCTAATAGTCTTTATGATCTTGCCAAGCTTACTACTTTTGATGTCCATAATAACAGTCTAGAGGGTAGCGTTCACTTTGGTTCTGGTAATTGTAAGGAGTTGGCCTATTTAGATCTGTCTTTCAACCACTTCCATGGTGTTCTTCCTCATCAATTGGGAAATTGTAGTAGCTTAAACCAACTAGCTGCTGTCAGCTGTGGCTTAAGTGGTTCCCTCCCTTCTTCTCTTGGAGAACTCACTTCATTGACTACCCTACACCTTTCTTCTAATCGTTTTTCGGGAAAGATACCACCTGAACTTGGCAATTGTAAATCCTTAGTTGGTCTAGAACTCCATGCTAACCTACTTGAGGGAAACATCCCAAATGAACTTGGAATGTTAAACAAATTGCAAATATTCCAAGTATTTGATAACCATTTGACAGGAGAAGTCCCTATTGGAATTTGGAGAATTAAAGACCTCAAGAAGCTGAACATATATGACAATGGTTTTTCTGGGGAATTACCGAGCGAGCTTGCTGAAATGAAACAATTGAGAGAGATTACGTTGTTCAACAATCGGTTCTCTGGAGTTATACCTCATGGCTTGGGAATCAATAGTAGTTTGACGGTAATCGATTTCACCAATAACTCATTCACTGGAAAAATTCCACCAAACCTTTGTTTTCGAAAGCAGCTGCAAAGGCTACTTTTGGGTTTTAATCGTCTTGAAGGTAATGTACCTCCTGACGTAGGAAGCTGTTCTAGTCTTTCGAGATTAATTTTGCAAGAAAATAAGCTCACAGGAGTCCTTCCAAAATTTATGGAGAACCATAACATGCTTTACATGAACCTTAGGAGCAATGGTTTCATTGGAGAAATTCCAGCTAGCTTTGGAAAGCTTACCAATATCACAGAAATCGACCTCTCGATGAATAAATTCCGAGGTCAGATACCCCCAGAGCTAGGAAATCTTGTAGAGCTTCAAGCTTTGAATATTTCCTACAATGAGTTGGAAGGTTCTTTGCCATCTCAGCTGTCCAACTGCAGCAAGTTGTTGGAATTTGATGCAGATCATAATTTACTAAGTGGCTTAATCCCAGCCACATTTGGGAAGTTGATTCGGTTGTCAACTTTAAGTCTAAGTGAGAATCGTTTTTCCGGGGGAGTTCCACATTTCGTATCTGAACTCCAAGCTCTAATAAATCTTCAACTAGGTGGGAATTCATTGGGTGGAAATATCCCTTCATCCATAGTAGAGCTCCGTAGTCTGAATAGGTTGAATCTCAGCAACAACGGACTGAATGGAGACATTCCTTCCCATTTCGGGAAGATGGTAATGTTAGAACATTTGGATGTTTCATGCAACAATCTGACCGGAAATTTGGCATCACTAAGCGACGCCCGTGGACTGATCGATTTCAACGGCTCATATAATCATTTCACAGGTCCAATACCAGCGATACTGTTGACAACTCCCAGCATATCTAAGTTGTCGTTCTTAGGAAATTCAGGCCTTTGTGCCGATTGTGGCTCAAGCTGTGTTGAAAACAGTAATGTCAAACCTTGTGTCCTTGGATCAAGTAATCGGAAACACCTGAGCAAACAGCAAGGTGTTATGATAGCCGTTGGAATGAGTCTATTTGTGGTTGTTGTCTTCCTAGTACTTTATCTGGTGGTTATCTGTCGCAGAAAATGTGAACAGGAAAACGACATGCTTGCTGAAGTGGGTGGTTCGTCTTTGCTCATAAAAGTACTGGAAGCTACCGAGAATTTGAATGATAAGTATATTATTGGGAGAGGAGCCCATGGCACCGTGTACAAGGCTTCCTTCGGTCATGATAGAGTGTATGCTGTGAAAAAGCTTGTTTTTGGAGGAATAAAAGGAGGGCAAACAAGTATGAAAAGAGAAGTTGAGACAGTTGGGAAGATCCGGCATAGAAATCTGGTGACAATTAAAGATTTCTTGATAAAAGAGGATTACGGTTTGATCTTGTACAATTATATGGCAAATGGTAGCCTCCATGATGTTCTTTATGAGAGAAATCCACCATTAACCTTAGATTGGAGCACTCGATATAAGATAGCTTTGGGAACAGCCCATGCCTTGGCATATCTCCATTTCGACTGTGATCCAGTGATTGTGCATCGAGATATCAAACCCATGAATATACTTTTGGATGGTGATATGGAGCCTCATATCTCAGATTTTGGCATTGCCAAGCTTCTGGATCATTCTACTGCTTCACTACCAACCAACACACTTCTGGGCACAATAGGATACATTGCTCCAGGTAAAGACACACACACACATATATATATATATATATATATATGCATATGTACAGAGAGAGAGAGGGGAAGGTTCAAGGGAACCTCAAAAAATGAAAAACTGAGGAACACCTGGTAACAATTATTTGAATGGTATGCATATGTGTACACAAGTTGGTAGTTGAAGTTCTTGGTTTTTATGCACATGCACATGTGCATACCGGAAAAATTGCTTACAAAATTAGTTGTATGCACGTGTGCATATTGTCCGGATGAATAGTTACAGAGTGTTTCTTAGGTTTTCATTTTTTTTTTTGTGGTTTTCCCCTAAACCTGACCCTATATATATGTGTGTGTATATATATATGTATTTGAAAAATGATGTACATCTTCTTTGACTTATTGGTTGGTTATTTTGTTTATATTACAGAAAATGCATTTACAAGCTCCAAAAGCATGGCGTCTGATGTGTATAGTTATGGGGTTGTGTTGCTGGAGCTAATAACTAGGCAGAAGGTTGTAGATCCTTTGTTCATGGAAAAAACAGGCAATGTGGACATTGTGTCATGGGTTAGGTCAATATGGAGCGAAACTGAGGAAGTTGAGATGATCGTGGACGAAGAGCTTTTAGATGAAGTTGATGATAACGAGGTAAGGGAACAAGTGAAAGATGTGTTATTGCTGGCTATAAGATGTACCGATTGGGAACCAACCAGAAGACCGTCGATGAGGGAGGTAGTAAAACGTCTGGATGATGCAAACAGTGGGTTCAAAAGCACACGAACGTAGATCTTAACGACGACCCTTGTCTGTTAGTACATGTTTTCAAGCCCCACGTGTCGTACTTAGATAGTAGCCCGTTTGTCGGTATATAATTAATATCTGTCTGCCTTTTTTTCTTCTTGTTGTTTAAGTTGATGTATTATTTATGAATGAATGGGGCCAAGTTGTGGTGGTCTAGTTATGTATGCACTCATTTATATCTATATTCAAATGCATACATATCTGTTTGGTTGGATCACAAAAATTAAAAAAGTTGCGAGCAGGTGACATGGTGATGACAATAACATGGAGAAAATAAATGATTTATAATTCATCTGAACTGGCGCATGATTAATAAGAAAGAATAGAATTTGAGGAATAAATGCTAATCGTTTTCACATGTGAATATTGTATTCTCAAGGAAACAGAGCATGTCGTTTTTTTAATTATTATTATTTTGTTGGGATAAAGATTCAAGAATGTTGTTCCTTGAACCCTAGATCCACCTAAACACGCACATGTTCATGACAGCAAAATTTCTTTGAAAGATTGAAACTTTATGCTCGGTCTTGGTTATAAACCAAAAAAAGATAGATCCCAAGATCATAAACCCTTGTGGGTTCGCTAATTTTCAAGAAAACAGAGCATGACACCGTGAACAGAATCGAATATTTCCCGATATCTTTTCGTTTTGGTTCACGTTAAAACCCATTTCATTTCTGTTTCTAAAAGAGAAAATGGTGGGAGAACACAGATTGATGCTTCTGGGGTCATTTGACAAGAAAACAGCTAAAGATTCAACAAACCGACCCAACAACAAAAAACCAAGACTCTTACTTGAATTGGAGTTGACAGTGACCTCATATATCTCATTATGCAGCCCAGCCCCCTCCACCACCACTGGTATTCAATAACTCCTCTATATAACATTTTCATCTCCTCCACCGTTCTCTCTCTCTCTCTCAACAACTAACTACTCCAAGAACACTGCCTTTCTACTTCTTTTCTAATCAATGAGGATGAGGGTTGATTTAATTTATTTGTCAGTGGTAGCTTGTTTCCTTCCTTCTCCATTCTATTCTGTATCTGGTTTGAACTCCGATGGTCAAACGTTGTTGTCACTCTCCAGACACTGGATTTCTATACCCTCATCCCTGGTCTCATCCTGGAATGCTTCTGAAGCCAATCCTTGTTCATGGGTTGGTGTTTTCTGTGACCACAACAAACTTCTAGTGTCTCTCGACTTGTCAAGTTTCAAAATTTCAGGTGAAATAGGACCAGAAATTTCCGGGTTAACCCATCTAAAATCATTGAATTTAAGTTCTAACCATATCTTTGGTCTAATTCCTTCACAGATAGGGAATTGCAGTCTTCTTCAACACTTGGACTTGTCCCTCAACATTCTTAATGGTAAGATACCAGACAGCCTTGGTAACTTGTTAAGTTTGAGACGATTGAGTCTTTTTAATAATTCACTAAATGGTTCCCTACCAGAATCCATCTTTCACATTCCCAGTTTAAAGAGTCTTCGCCTCAGCTTCAACCAGCTGACGGGTTTGATTCCGTCAAACTTGGGAAACGCGAGCATGCTCCAAGAATTGTATATCGACAATAATCAGTTCACTGGATCGTTACCTGATAGCCTAAATAATCTCTCTAACCTTGTTTACTTAGATGTTCATAGTGCTGGTGTAGAGGGTAGAATTCCTTTGGGTCATGGTGATTGCAGAGATCTGATCTATTTAGATTTGTCTTTCAACCACTTTTTCGGTCTTCCACCTGAGTTAGGGAACTGTAGTAACCTGCAACAATTTGCTGTTGTCAAGTGCAGGTTAACTGGTCCAATCCCCTCTTCTTTTGGTCAGCTCACCAAGATGACTCTTCTTTACCTTTCTATTAATCAGTTATCAGGGAAGATACCACCTGAGCTTCACAACTGCACCTCCTTGAGTGATCTCCAACTAGACCAAAATCAACTTGAGGGTAGCATTCCAAGTGAACTTGGAATGCTGAAGCTGACATCCCTTTTTTTGTTTGATAACTATTTATCAGGTGAAGTTCCAATGAGTATTTGGAAGATTGAAACCCTTGAGAACCTTCTTATCTATGGAAACAGTCTTTTTGGTGAACTACCCATTGAGGTGACCCGGATGAAGCATTTGAGAGAATTTACTCTTTTTGATAATCATTTCTCTGGCATCATACCTCAAAGCTTAGGAATCAACAGCAGTCTTACCAAAATTGATTTCTACAATAACTCGTTCACCGGACGGATCCCACCAAATCTTTGCTTTGGAAAGCAACTGGAGAGGCTGATTTTGGGGTTCAATCCTCTTGAAGGGAGTATTCCTTCTGATGTTGGGAACTGCCCAAGTCTTGAAAGATTGATTTTAGATAATAGTAATCTCACTGGGGTTCTCCCAGAATTTGTAGATAGTCCAAACCTGTTATTCATGAACCTTAAGAACAACTGGTTGACTGGAGAGATTCCGGCTAGCTTTGCTAAACTTGCAAATATCACTGAAATTAACCTCTCCATGAATAGGCTTTCGGGTCTTTTACCTCAGGAGCTTGGAAACCTCCTGCAGCTACAGGTTCTGAACCTTTCTCGCAATGCATTGGAAGGTCCTTTGCCATCTCAACTAGGAAATTGCAGCAGGTTGTTGAAGTTTGATGCAAGTCATAACTTGTTCAATGGCTCAATTCCAACTGATTTGCGGAGTATGTCAGGGTTATTGACTCTGGATCTAAGTGAAAATCATTTTTCAGGTAACATTCCAACTTTTGTAACTGAATTCCAGGCTCTGATAGATCTTCGACTTGGTGGAAACTCACTAGGCGGAACGATACCTTCATCAATAGTCGGGCTCAAGACACTTGGCACATTGAATATCAGCAGCAATGGTCTAACAGGTGACATTCCTTCGGGTTTCAGTAAACTGGTGATGTTACAGCAGCTAGACGTTTCTCACAACCATCTAACCGGCACTTTAACATCACTCGCTGAGCTTCGTGTGTTAACTGAGCTTGACATCTCGTACAATCTCTTCATGGGTCAGATACCAGCAGCATTGATGAAAATTTTCAACTCATCTTTCTATTCATTCTTGGGGAATCCAGGTCTTTGTGTCGATTGTGGCTTGAATTGTGATGCGGGCAGAAACTTCACTCGTTGTACCCATTCTTCAGACAAACAGAGAGGTCTTACTAAGTTCCAAACTGCAATGGTAGCCCTTGGAACATCAGCACTTATGTTCGCGGTTGTTATTGGACTTGGTTTCATGCTTCAATGTCGAAAAAGAGAAAAACATGATATTGAAGAGATCTATGATGACAAAGAGGATGGTTCTTTGTTTCAYAAAGTAATGGTAGCTACTGAGGACTTGAATGATAAATACATAATTGGGAGAGGAGCTCATGGAACCGTGTACAAGGCTTCCTTAGGTCCGATTGATGGAGTTTATGCAGTAAAGAAACTTATGTTTGGAGCCAGCAAAGAAGGCAGCACGAGTATGGTTCGAGAGATTGAGACAGTTGGGAAGGTCAGACATAGAAATCTTGTCAAGTTGGAAGATTTTTGGATGAGGAAGGATTACGGTTTGATCTTGTATAGGTATATGCACAATGGTAGTCTTCATGATATTCTACACGAGGTATATCCGCCTCCATTTTTAGATTGGAGCATTCGTTGTAACATAGCTCTTGGAACTGCCCATGGTTTAGCATATCTTCATTTCGACTGTGATCCTGCTATAGTTCACTGTGATATCAAGCCCATGAATATTCTTTTGGATGCTGATTTGGAGCCTCACATCTCAGATTTTGGCATTGCCAAGCTTCTGGATCAATCATCTGCTGCACTAATGAGCGGCACACTCTGTGGCACAATTGGATACATTGCTCCAGGTGAGCTAAAACTTCTTTTTGTTTTGTTTTAGCTTTTGTTGATTGAAGATGTATATGGTGATGATGAAAATATTCGTGGGTTTTTGACAGAAAATGCGTTTACATCCACGAAAAGCATGGAATCTGATGTGTACAGCTATGGCATTGTGTTGTTGGAACTGATAACCAGAAAGAAGGCAGTTGATCCTTCATTTGCAGATGGAATGGACATTGTGAGGTGGGTGCGGTCCGTTTGGAGCGAAAAGGTGGAAGTTGAAGTGGTTGTGGATGCCGGTCTTTACGATGATTTATATGATTCTTGTGTAATGGAACAAGTGATGGAAGTGCTTCAGCTGGCTTTGAGGTGTACAGAAACAGAAGCAAGCAGAAGACCATCAATGAGGGAGGTAGTGAAAGAATTGGAAGACGTGTATTCAGCTATTAGCAGCAAGCTTAAGTAAACTAGTAGTAATAGGTTTGTTTGCATTTCTTGTTTTAATGTCTCCTTAGATGTATAGTTCCAGGGTTCAAGACTGTTGATAATCTGCTGTTATATATATATATATATATATATATATATATATATATATATATATATATGAGGTGATTTTTGGTTTTCTTGGGGTTTCAGTTTCAGGAATTGGAATGGCATTTTGATCAAGCACATTAGCTATGATGTGACAGTAAAACAAAATAAAATTTAGGTTTGGTTTGGTTTGGTTTGTGGGTGGGGGTCTTTCTTGATTGACTGAAAATGAATGCAATCTTTAAAAGAACAAACACCATATCAAAGTGCTTGTTTTGATTGTTTTTTTTCAAAATCATGTAAACCATTCAACATTTGAGGCCACTTCCTCTGTATTATGATAATAAGGAAATATGTCAATCATTTCATTAGTGGGGTTTGAAATGAGTATTACCACACTCTATAAGGTGTGCATTAACTTCAATTAGAAATCCAACAGTACAATACTACACTACACATGATGATGATGATGACGACGACTACTACTACTACTTTTTTATAGACCTATTTATGGTTTTGGAATATGCCTACAAGTTGGTTAAAAACTTCTCTACAAGAATGAATTAGAGGTGATCATGTCCTACTTCAACTAAATAATATTGCGTGATTTCATGTTCTGATCATCAAGTCGACGAATAATAAGTTTGACGAATAATAAGTTTTGTCTTTGGGGACAAGTCATATTCAATTTCATCATGTAGCTATTAATTTCAGGAGATTGTGTGCAAACCCTCAAGTCAGATAATTATTATGGTGGCTTATTTAGGAAGGAAGGGAGGGAGACGTATTGCATTGTCCTCATCTGATATGCTCTTGGTGAAGAAACGGCCAACAAACAAAGTATGAAAAAATCTGCTAACCAAGTCAACGCTCCCATTTTCCAGGAAATTTACACTCCAGTAGTCGTCTCTATCTACAACTTCCCTTCTATCTTCTTTCTTGAATATTCTCTCACTTTCATAAGTCCAAAGAGGAGATATATATATATATATATATATATATGCATACATGACTTATCAACCCACAGCAAGCGGAAGCGGAAGAGGAAGAGGAAGAGCAAATATGCTACAGATTCATCATCATCTGCTGCTCCTTGTTTTCTTTATCAACTTCATGTTCATAGTTAGTGCAGGGACACTAAAGATAGGAGTAGGGGTGGTTCTTGATATGGATTCAAGTGTTGGAAAGACCAGCAGCCTCTGCATTAAAATGGCCATCGATGATTTCTATCAAACCCACCACAACTACACCACCAAAATCATCCCTCATATTCACCACTCCGAATCTGATACACTCCAAGCTGCTTCTGCGGGTTAGTTTCCTTCTGCATGCATATCATCATCATCATCATTATCATTATCATTGTTACATATAATCTTATATTGTTTTGCAGCTATACAGCTTTTAAAATATGATCAAGTAATCGCGATCATAGGACCTCACACGTCCTCGCAAGCAGATTTCGTAGTCGATATTGGCAACAAATCTAAGGTTCCCATACTATCTCTGGCTACATCCACCTCTATCTCCCCAATCGAAAATCCTTACTTCATCCGCGTATCACACAACTCCTCCTCTCAAGCCCAACCCATAGCAGCACTCATCAAACATTTTACTTGGCGGGAAGTGGTGTTTGTTTATGAACAAAGTGATTTTGGGAGGGGTTTGCTTCCGTATTTGTCTGAAGCCCTGTTAAATATTGGTGCCCATATCAAATATCGGTCTGTTATATCTCCTTCTCCTTCACATGCCGAGATTTCTGAGGAGCTCAACAAGTTAAAAGAAAACCAAGCACGGGTTTTTGTGGTCCATTTGTCACCAAAATCGGCTTCTCTCTTTTTCAAGAAAGCAAATGAAACAGGAATGATGCAAAAGGGATATGTCTGGATCATTACTGATGTTCTCACCAGCCTTTTGCATACTTTGGATATAAGTTCAATGCAAGGAGTAGTGGGCGTAAAGCCTTATATCCCGAAATCCATTAAGCTAAACAACTTTGAAAAGAGATGGAGAAGGAGATTTCACACTGAGAACCCGAACCTAGAGATGGAAAGAATCGAACTTGATGTGTTTGGGATATGGTCATACGATGCCACTTATGCACTAGCAATGGCATTGGAGAGAGTTGGCAGTGATATTGCTCCCACTTTCCATCGAAAAAACAATCCTGTAACAGATCTAGATGCCATCGGAACCTCCAAACTAGGACCAAGGCTACTTTCAGAGATCGGCAAGACAAGACTAAACGGGTTGAGTGGTGATTTCTCTGTTGTTGATGGACAATTACAACCGTTGGATTACCAAATAGTGAGCGTAATTGAGAAGGAAGAGAGATTCGTGGGCTTGTGGACTTGGCATCATGGAATTTCAGAGAATCTTAGGGATATCAAATGGCCTGGTAACAGTAACAGCATCCCTCAAGGTTTAAGAGTTGGATATCCATCAAATGGCGTGTTCCCTCAGTTTATTAGTAACTCGAAAGACAACAACACAAATGAGGACAAACCAACAGGATTTTGTGTGGAGGTTTTCGAGGCAGTAATGGAAGCATTACAACCACAAGCTCCACCCTACGGATACAACCATTATACTATCGATGACGGTCACACTTCGCGAAGCTACGATGATCTTGTTTACCAGATCTTCCTCAAGGTTGTTTATACCGTCTGCTAAAGTTTCCTTTTTGGCTAAATCTAATGTTTCTTTTCTTATTTTAACAAAACCAGAAATTTGATATGGTGATTGGGGACGTGACTATCCGGGCAAACAGGTCGAACTATGTCGACTTCACTTTGCCATATACAGAGTCGGGAGTCTCGATGATTGTTCCGATCAAAGTTGATGACAGGAAGGGTATATGGATATTTCTGAAACCCCTAGAAAAGGGCTTGTGGTTAACATCATTTGCTTTCTTTATATATACTGGAGTTGTGGTTTGGATTCTCGAGCATCGTGTAAACAAAGAATTCCGTGGCCGACCTTATAAACAAGTCGGAATGATCTTCTGGTTTTCTTTCTCAACCCTTGTTTTTGCCCACAGTAAGTAGAGTAAATCACAAATAGAAAGCTTAATTTGGTTGTAATATTGGAAACTAACTATAAATGAATCTTGCAGAAGAGAAGACGATAAGCAACTTATCTAGATTTGTGGTGATTGTGTGGATATTTGTGGTGATTGTACTACAATCAAGCTACACAGCAGGCTTAACATCTATGTTGACAGTACAGCAGCTTCAACCGGACTTCACCGATATCCATGATCTCCTGGCACAAGGAGACTATGTAGGGTACAAGGATGGTTCTTTCGTTGGACGGATGTTGTTGGATATGGGTTTTAACATAAACAACTTAAAAAAGTACACAAGCTTGGAAGATTATCATGAAGCCCTTTCGAAGGGTAGTAAAAATGGAGGTGTTTCTGCCATTTTTGAGGAGCTTCCTTATGTGAATGCGTTCATGGCTAAATATTGTACCAAGTACATCAAGGTTGGTCCAACCTACAAGACTGCAGGCTTTGGCTTTGTAAGTCTCTTATTTCCGTATCTCTATTCTCTTGTATCAACTGAAATCGCTGATTTTTGTGATATAATGTCTTCCGCAGGCATTTCCATTAGGGTCTCCCCTAGTGCCGCTTGTTTCAAGAGCAATCTTAGAGGTCAGGGAGAAGAAACTAAGCAAGATTTGGGATATATACTTTAAACCAGAAAAAGAGTGCACACCGAAAAATGAGACTGCTGTGACCCCTGATAGGCTCTCGCTGGATAGTTTTATTGGTCTTTTTCTGATTGCTGGCATATCATCAACTTCTGCTCTTATGATTTCTATCTTGAAATTCTTGTATGAGAATAGAGGTATTTTAGCATCTGAGGATTCAATTTGCCAAAAGATGTATGCAATGGCAAGAACTTTTGATCAAGAAAACGATCAAAGTTCATACAAGGGATCAAAGAAGACAATTGATGCACTGGGCACAACAGATGATGATGATTTGTCTGTAATTGAAGATGACATCACCAGCAATGCCCCAAGCCCAGAGAGTATCATTAACCATGAAGCTCCTGACATTGTAGAAACAACAATAGAGAGATGAGATAAGGTTATATATATATTTTTATACATACTTGAAAAGTAAACTATCCCATTCAACTTCATGTATGATATGTATTTGCATTCAACAATTATATCTACATACCAAGTTCTTCTTTTTCTTTTCTAAATCCAACACACCCAGATCATCCCGCCTTGCAGCTCCGTGCTCACTGCCCTGGCAGACGCTGTTCGTCCTTACCCCCCCCCCCCCCCCCCCCGGGTCTGGCTTTATTTTTGGCCCTTTTTCATGGTTTTTTTTTTGCATTAGATTACCAGTACTAACATTAGGTATAAATATATGTGATTTCTTTGAACTGTTTTCCCTAATTTTGCATTTTTAGGATTCGGTTTTATTCGATTTTAGATCTTCAATCTCAAAATTGATGCTACTGTCGATGCAACAAATCAGTGCCAAATACGGTTTTTTGATTGGTAAATATGAAATAACTCTTGAGAAAAAAGCTAATACATTTTGAAATAACTCTTGAGAAAAAAGCTAATACATTTTCGACCTTATGCTTCCAGGTCTATTTAAAAAATAGCTGGTTCAAAATTTGATGGAAAACACATCTTCAATTTGAATTATTAGAACTGATGATTAAGAATCACCATCACCTTTCTTCAGATTACTTTAAGTTTACCAAAAACCATACCACCTTACAATCTCCAACCAAACCATCACAAATCAAACAAAAAATATTATAGAAACAAACAAAAACAAGATGATCACCAGAACAAGGGTCCAACTTCCACATCCAACAAAACAGTACGTATTTTATTGTAGGCAACAACTTTATGTGAATCGCATAGTTCCAAGGTCCAGTGCTTTAAAACCAATCAGAGATCAAATTCATACTCAGCTTAGTAAAGATGAAAAATAAAACATGTAGACAGCATCCAGCATCATTCCTCAAGAGAATCCGAGCGGATGGCTGCAAAGCAAGAAAAGTTCAAAGAAAATGTCAGAAAAAATCATCCAATTTTGCCCCTGCAAGTGAGATGCAACAAACATAACACTTTTATCAACTACTGACAATAGATTACACATGATGATATCTAGGAATTCAGATCTAACAATGGTATGTGTTACTCTGTAATAATAGATTGAAAGCAGATAGAACAAAACAGCATGCAAGGAAAACGAGAAGCTAACTATATAAATAAATGGTATGTGTTACTCTGTAATAATAGATTGAAAGCAGATAGAACAAAACAGCATGCAAGGAAAACGAGAAGCTAACTATATAAATAACACTCTGTTGAACCATCATCAGCAAAAGGGCAGTCACATGCTTCTACATCCATGTAACTAGATTCCCCAAGTATCACAAGCCTGTCTTACTATCTATAATATGTTGGCCACTAAAACATATTCAAATTTACATGTTTGACACCATCTGCCTTTTTCTGTGATGCCCAAAAATATACCAACAATCTTTCTCAGAACATAAAGGTAAAACTAAAGCGTTTTTTATGCAGAAAATGTGTGCCTGTGTCTAACGGCTGCTATCATTTGTTGTAATCTATTGATGGCAATGAAGCAGTTGTGTGAAGACTGTAGGGCATGGTTTACGTTGACAACAGAAAGGCAGTCATAGAGGATGCTCTTGTCAGTAAAAACCAACAAAGCAATTTATAAGGAATCTATGCCTTGTTCTGTGCTTTCCAGAGTGGTTTCTCTGAGAACAAGCCATCAATTGACAACCAGGAGAACAAGCCATCAATTGACAACCAAGGTAATACCGCAGCCAAATAGGAAGTGGAAGTGGTAAATTCTCTACACATAGTAGCCTGCTAGATGGGGCACAAGTGTGAGAACATCATTAAATATGCAATCCCCAAATTGAGAAGTGCCCACTTCAATACACTGGGCTATCCAGTACACAAGATGATTCATGTGTGTAAATTGTATTCCATGAGGATGTTACAATATGGTTCAATCAGGAAAAGATACATTGTGCTACTTCACAAACCAAAACCTTGTGCCCTATGAATTAAGTTCATGGTACAAACAAATCAGATATTGCATCTTGATTCTCTTTAAAGAGATTATACATCCAGAAAACAATCCGGAGACTTCATTGATAATTCTCTTATGAAGCATATACATATAAAAAAGTTATATGCACATCAAGACAACCACATGGATATGTCATATGCATGCAAGATAAATACTAATGGAACACAAACATAATCAATTTTCTTAAGAAATGGCGATTGTTGTATAAACCATGGCATGACTAACCAAGCAAACATCATCAATAGCCCCTAAACTGACATAACTGGCTCTATAAGCTTTTGTTTCTGCAAAGTCTCGGCCAAAAGCCAAAGCAGAAAAGAGACGATGTAAGTAAAAGAATTCCTTGGCTTTCCTAATTTTCACAGGAGAATTAGAATGAGAAAAGATGGAAAGTGATTGCAAATGAAAACCTTAACATAAGGTTGACGATTTTGAAATTACAATCCTACATCGCTTGAGCATAGGAAACCCAATTAAAAAATGGGACGAATTCGTATAAATCAAGGGAACAATCCACACAGCCATACAAGTGATTTGGAGGAGATCTCTCGAAAAGTATTTAGTGCACATTTCGGGTAGGAAAATCATAATCGGGATAGCGGACCAAAAGCTATGGAACTTGTCGAAATGGATAATCGTAGTCTAGAAATAAATCCTAGATTTTGAAATTATAATTCTACACCGCTTGAACATAGGAAACGCAATTAAAAAATGGCACAAATCGGTAGAAATCACGAGAAAAATCCACAATAATCGTAAAACAGAAAGAAACCCTAGATCTAAGTAGTTGCAGATCAAATAAAAAATCGATGATGATGAAAAGGATGAGAGTGATTACTAGGCTTCTGAGGTTTTCCGTCAACCCACTTGGAGACGGAGAAATGAACCTTCTCCCGACTGATAGCTTCGGACTTGTGGGGCTCTTTGAGACAGTTCCGGACTAGGTTAGCACAAATGTTGGAGTAAGTTATGTAGGTCATCCCAGCAGATCTCCAAAACGGCACGGCAGCGTTGGAAGCCATCAAAGCTGTTCTTTACCCTCTGCTCTTCCTGTGTGAATCGTACGTCGGCTGCATTTCACCGATCTCTATTGTATATATAGCAAGCAAACGCCACACCCCACCCCAACCCAACCCACATGTTTAGTTTGGACCCCTGGATTTTGTTTCATTGCATCCAAAACCCTCCAACTTTTTCCCCTATGCTAATTCTTCCACACAACACAACGTTGCTTTTAACGAATTACATACAATTCGTTTTTTTTTTTTTTCATTTGTATTTTTGTTCTAGAATAACTCATATATTTTCAAAATAAATAAATTCATCGATTTTTTATTCTTATCTCATTAACATTTAACGACTGTCCCTGAATTGATATGTTTGTGTTTTTGGTTTAATCCTTATCCAACTATGATATGATTAAAACGAACTATTATTGGTTTAATCCAACTATGATATTATTAAAACGAACTATTATTGGTTTAATCCAACTATGATATGATTAAAACAAACCATTATACGTTAACACAAACATAATATTCTTTGTAGTAAAATAAAATCTGTGGCAGCACCTTTGTGTTGTGATGGTTGTTTGTAGTTTATTCATTTCATTTGGTTTAAAAAGAAAACAAGTATCATCTCATTTACTAAGATAAGATAAGAAACTTTCTAATAGTAATAAAAACAAGGTACAAAATCATAAATTTAAATTTACATGATATGTTTCTTGTTCAAATTCAATCCTTAAGCTTTATCGGAAAAATGTCCGGTAACAAAAACATTGAAAAGCAAAAAGAAGATAATTTTCTTTTTCTCTGTTACTTGATTTACTTCACGGGCGAGGTCTCAGGTTCAAGTCCAGGATGGTACTTCCAAAGGCTAAATCCAACAAACAAAAGTTGGTACTAATGCCCTCCCCTCATTCAGCATCTACACAAGCAGAACAGCATTGATGCAGCCATCATTCTCGGGATTATTCGTCACTTGAGCATATTTCCCTGCATCCCACCATAATAACATATCAGGATATCCAACATTTATTTATCATTAGTATATTAACAAAATCATCTTACCCCATACTACTTTCCCAGCCGGTGTCACCAGACCTAGTTCACTAACATTCACCTGCATTCCACACATTCAATCATAACTTTCAGAAATTTGGTCCATATACTCTTGACAAAGTTGTTAGAAATATACCTCAATGATGGTTCCCTTGGTCACAACACCAAGAGAGGTATACATTGGACCGTTAGGATTTTTCTTCACACCAATCATCTCAAGATTAAAAGTGCACTTAAGTTCAGGGTGCGTCACATGGGCTTTGTTGAACCTCAACCCAGTTGGACGAATAAACCGCTCGTACTTTGGAGGTTTCCTTGTGAAACCTTGTCCTACAAAAGTCACCTTTGTGATCATTCTCTTCCACTGCTTGGCTGCAAAGAACAAAAATACCTATCAGAAACTCATGATCCAAACAAACAAATACAATATCTTCCACCCAAAGATAGGGACCACTGAATAAGATGTAGCACAGCTGAAAGCTACATGTGTGTATATATATATATATGCATCACACAAGTTATTTGGATGTATAGAACAAACGAGCTTGTAGATCACAAAGAACATAATAACATAGCCTAAACAGGTGAAAGGCATGTGGGATACTCACTTTTCCTTTTACCAGTTCTGATCACTTTGAACATCTCATCTTCAGCCACCGGCCTCACCTGAACATTGAAGAACCAAGTTTGTCATCATGAAATCAAATTTTAAAGGGACCCCATAAACACACTATAGGACCATACAAGTTGTACATAACATCTGACCACGAAAAGCCATACAAGCTTATAAAAAACAAGCCAACAGAGCCAATGCTCAACTTCAGTAACAGTAATATGGCTATCAGGCCCAAACCCATACACCAAAAATACTCACTCATATGGATTACACCTACACCTCTACCACTGGGACATATCGGTATGACTGTTACATTGTCAATCCATTAAAAAAATATAGCCCCGATCTTCCGTTGAAGTAGTTAACATGTGATCTACATCATTTGCTTAAGGTCAAGCATGCCACCTTATTTGATGGTACATGATGGACCAACTAGAGCAGAGAGAGAGATATAGAAAGAGATATCTGATACGTTCATGTACACAAATCAACAAATATAGGAATATGCATTAGCTTCCTTACCTTAGGTAAGGGCACATCCCACTTCCCAGCTTTCTCCTTCCTTTTTTGTTTAACTGTGTTGCTAAGAACCTTCATATAGAATATGATTGTTAGAATTGTAAACATGGCAACAAGTATTCATGTAGCTTATCAACTCAACCATTAAAAGCAATAAACCTTTGCACGTGTTGTCGTCTCACGATCAAGGAGATAGGCAGGCACAGCTCCTTCATGAACATCATCCTCAACCTTGCGTCTGCTTGAGGATTCTTCATGCATAGCCAATCTATTAACATACATGACAAAGGGTTAGTGGCATTATATGGACATCAGGACAATAAACAAAATATTGAGCTCGGCATTGAGGACAATAAAATGAAAACATGAAGTTCAATGATCACATTAAAAAGCTACCGAGCTGAACAGATGATTCTTCCTGCCCATTACATTACCAGACTACCAACCGAAAATCATCCCCACTAGTAATTCCAAGATACATTTTAAAATAAATGGTGTTCTCCGTTAATGCAATCTTGCTATCCAGAAACAGAGTAAAGAACTTGGTGCTAGGATTAGACATGTTAGCGTGTTCTGGGAATAGGGGTATATACAAAACCTCAATTTCAAACATACAAAAGCAAACAATCAATTAAGTGTGCCTTAAGATAAATGATTAAGCCTTTATCAACTATAAAATATCCAAAGACAACCAACACCGTAATATAGTACGCAGAACAGCATACTAAGTGAGAAAAAACTGTGGTCAAGAAGGCTGGCCACTTCAATATCTTCACCTTTTTATGCCAAGAAAAAAATTAAAAACGAGCAGAAAAGTAAAGTAAGGCCAGAAATACTAACGTCTTCTTCATTTGGGCCTTTTCTGCATATCGTTTCTTAGCAAACATCTTGCCCTTGATTCCCAAAGACTGAAACAACCACAAAAGAAGGAAAAACAGTTAAAGAATTTCGTGCTCTGCAATTGGATTTTGAGCAAATAACTTTTGCTAGCAAGCATGTTTGGAAGCTCCAATCCCGAACTACAGAAATAGTGAGTGGACCCGAATGAGCTCCGATACCAATTCCAAATCCGGAATACCAAGCACCTAAAAGAAAAGTTATGAAAAAGGATGCACAACCTTTTGGGCGATTTGAGAGCGCTTGTGAACCTCACGAGCTTCCTTCTTCCGCTTCCTCTCAAAGTGATCGTGGCGATAGCCATTTCTCTTCCTATGAAGCTCTATGTAATCTCCTTGAGGCTTTTAAAAACAAAATAAAATTGATCAAAAATCATAGAATAGTCAACTGCGATGTGTCTCTGAGATAGCGAAAGCAGTGCGAAAGAGCTTTGCATGAAGCAAATTCATTAGTAAGTGGCGAATCATAAAAGCTGTTACAAAGCAAAATTAAATGTTTGGATGGATGGAGAATTGTAACAAGACTAACCATGATGGGCGTGGACGAAGCAGATTCTGGGTGTGGTCGAGAGAGAGAGGACAGAGTTTATGAGTAGAAACTAAAACCCTAGAAGAGAGACGGGGGGTTGAAGAAGGTCAGTTTGGTTTGGGCCAATGTATATTGGAGGCCCATATTAAGAAAGGCCCGTGATAGTAGTAAAGCCCAAAATCCTGGTGCAACTGAACTGAACTGACTGCCGTGCCTGCAAATTGCAATGCAATGCAATGTACATTGAGTAAATTACGGATTGGTCCCCCTGTTGTGTGCTGATTTTCGTCCAATTACAGTTTTGGTGGCAGTGATTTGCATGCATATTTGGGGCTGGGTTCTTACTTCTTATTCATGACACGTAAAATAATTATAAATATGTTATATTTTTATGAAAAAATAGTAATTGTTTCCTTAGCAATAATGTAAGCGTAGTTTTATTTTTTTATTTTTATTTTTTAACTATTATAATTTTTTTAATTTGTCTTCTAATTATGATGAGCAATTTTTAGGTATTATAATTTTTATTATTATAATATAAACTATACATCGGTACATGATTGAGAGTAAAAGGTTTAAGAACTGTGTAGGAAAAAAAAATTTTTGATGTGATTAAAATTTGAAATGTGTAGGTTCAATCAAGAAAAAGACCATTGAATGGTAATCTTAGGGGGTGTTTGGTTTATGGAATTTGGTGGAATTGGAATGACCAATTCTTTGACCAAATTCCAAATACCATGTTTGGTTCACATAATAGATGTGAAGAGATCATTTTTATTTCTTAATTCATTGATTTCACAATTTCACAGCATATACCACGGATTTCAAATTCCTTAGCCCTCATCCATTCATCGACGTTGTATCTCGATTTGCTCTGTTCTGCTATGCTCGATCTTCTTTGTTCGGTCTCGTTTAAAACTATGAATGACAACGGGTCAGGTTTGGGCCGGTTATTGGTATCCACGTCCCATAAACCTATAACTAAAATCGTCCCCATGACCGCCCCGATCCCCGTCGGGGATCTTATCGGGTTCCCGTGGTTTCCCCGATCCCCGTTGGGGAACTCGTTAAGGTAAAAATCTTCCTTTTCTCGTTCACCGTTGGTTGTAACCGAACCCGAAACAGATTTAAAAAAATTACAATATGTTAATTTTCACAAATAAAGTAAATTTCAATTTTTTTAAATATGCAAGTTTAAATGTCTCAAACATAATCGAACTAATTACAAACAATGTATCAGATTACAATATAAAACTAAACATAACTTCAAACATCATACAACTAAAATCACGATTTCACAATTAGACAAATAAACTAGAATTTTTCGTGAGCCTTATTTGGGTTGTTGAAGTAAAGTGGATAAAAGTTTTTAAAATTTTAATGTTACTATTTTCTTTTAATGATATTATATATATATATATATATATATATATATTTATATGTGTGTGTGTATATGTATATGTATATAAATTAAAATTAATATATATACACATATCAGGCCGAATCGGGCCGATGATCACCCTCCCCTCCCCCGTCCCTGTAAAAATCCCTGAATTTGTCCAATTCCCGCCCCCGTCCCCGATAAGATGTCCCCGAACCCAGCCCTAAAGTTTTGGTTTCGGTTTTTTTTTCCTGTAATTTTCTCGTTGAATTACGTGAACGAAACAAAAAAATTCCAATTCGGTTAAGAATTCCATTCCAATTCTATCCAACCAAACCCAATCAAAAGACATGGTCAAATTCCATTTCATTCCCTCAAGGTCAAATTTCATTTCATTCCCTCAAAGTCAAATTCATTTGATGAATTCTAATTCCATCGAATTTCATTATACGAACCAAACGTCCCCTTAGAGTTTGAAATCATTCACAAATTCAAAATTGGAAGAGACAAAGTTCCCCATAAATTCCTCAAACAAATATAAATACAGATTTTTCACGTCGCTACAAAAACACTATAAAGGTTATCAACTTTCTGGGGCTTTGACTTTGATCGACTTTAGCAAGTCATGTAGATAAATCACCTATGGCTATGATCATCATCTTTGTGACCATGGGATGCAACTTCATACAAGTTGTTTGCAACGTACTGTGATTAGGTGACTATGACTTTAAGGCCAAAATATCTCATTTGAAGGTCATCCTTCTTCATTCATTTTGCACTATTTCATATATAATTTACCATTTTCAGTTCAAATTTTAGGAGAAATAAAAATTCTGTTGTGGCTACGGAGGTTTAAATACGGTGATTCCGGATTATCTGCAAAGCAGGTGGTCGCCCTTGGATTAGTCGGCTTGCATAACGGATTGGATATCCAAGTTAATAAAAAAAATATACCATTTTTACATACCAAACATCAACTAATCAATGTATATTACATAGACTGCTAACTCTTGACTTTTGTTAAAGTTTAACAACTACCCTCATTCATTCATTGTTGTCTTAACCTAAATCATTTCAACTCCACTCTCATGATAAAACAACCATAAATTCTTTTTCCGTAATACCATTTTGATGTATGTAATCTACGTTGGAGGGTTTTAGTTGAGCCTAAAAGAATGACATCTTTTGGCGACAATCATAGTGGCTTAAAATGGGAAATTTCATTGAATGTTTTTATTTTTACTTTTAGGCTTTTTTCGATCCTTTTCCTAATTACGTTACATCTTGCATTTACTTTTTTTTTTTTTGTGGAGAGTTTCTATATAAAGTTACATGTTTTTAATAATAAGTTGTCTTTAAAAAAAATTGACCATCGACAAAACAAATCACATTCAAAACTGACAATTGCCATACTTAGAATTGAACTAGCAAAGTGACATGATGTTTGGTGATAGTTACTAGTTCCGGTCCGGTCCAAATATAAAATATTAAAATGTACTTATATGTTCCTAAAAAGTAATCAATATAATAAAGTGAAAGCAACATTTCCCATCTAAATAAGATGAACGTCTAATCACGAAAATAGGATGATATCTAAATAAAGTGTTGTTACACTCACGCCGATACCAACTTAATTGAACAGGTAAGGTACCATTGTTATTGATACAACAAGCTACATTGAAAACGAAACATATGCCTAATTTTCTTTTACAAACAAAATTGTACATCATATTTCCAAATTTGAAATACATATATGTATATATATAGTTGAGTTCACGTGAGACCAACCTGTTTACTTGAAGACGTGTAGGACCACTTTTTTACACTTGAGACTTCACAGCAAAAATGTTGTGAAGGTAAAAAGAAGCCGAACATTCACAAGAAAAACACTGTAAGGGTTACGTTCAGAGTGTTTTATTGTAAAGTTTCAAGTATAAAAAAATTGATCTCATGAAAACAGACCGATATCACATGATTCAAAATTAGAAAATAGAGCGGAAGTTAGTGGAGGAAAAAGACAAGTGGCAGTTATTAAGTGGGGGGGGACCTGTTTGATTGGTTGGAGTGTGTTAATTGCCACTTAACCCAACCCAACCATGGGACCTCTGCTCATGCATAACGTGACTCTTTTCCACTTCAATTCCTGCTAACACCGACACTTGAACGTCGTTTTTTTACGTCTATTCTTAACTCATTTCTACTTAACAACTCCACCATCTTTTAATAAAAACCAAAAATAACAACCATATATATATATATATATATATATCTTGACTTGTTTTGAGATATCGATGTTCAGATTTTGGATTTAGTTTTTAATGATTTAACTTGTTAGAGGCATCAAAAATTTATATGAGTGACTGTTGGTTCTGCTAAACGTAACCTATATCCATATACTTGTTTGCATTATTAGAAACATATAAACATAAGCCCATGTTTTTGTCTTTTTAAATAAGAAAAAGAAAATGCAAAAGCCAAAGCATTCTCCATTTGCCGGCGGCAAGGAATAATACTTTTTACAATTCTTATTATATAAAATGTATATTTTGTGGAAGATATTATATAGAAATAGAGATGTATTTAAAAATGATATTAATGAATAGGTTTCAGGTTTTCAACTGCTTTTCTCTATGTAACATTAATTAATAATAAATAGATGGAGCAACTACTTTCAATTCAATCAATGTCACCACCTCTTCCTATTTAATTAAAAAACCAACACGTTTTTTATTTTCCCATTAACTACAAATAATTCATTTACATCAAACATCATCCTTCTACTTTTAATTTTACATCACACACATATACAAAGGTTCTGCGTCTGATCATTCTTGTATTGATCATTTTTTATAATCACATATAAAATTACACGTGTTATTTGACATTTTTCTTATTATCTTATTTTGATCATTTTCTCGTTTAATTCTTCAAACTATATATATATATATATATATATATATTGTTTGCCTTGAAAACTATTTGGTTGGTTGTCATGTTATATGTTGATTTCATTAATCATTTTTATTTTTCATACCATATTTTTACATAACATGACACAAGGAAGAAAATAAAAAATAAAAATAAAAAGATTTCCTTTTGTTTTACCAAGCAAAAGGGCAGTTGTATCTTGATCTAATTTTCAGTGACAAGAATACATACTGATACTGCTGTGCCGGTGGCCAGAGATTAAGAAAGCCGTTGAAAATAAAATCAAAAAAGAATCTCCATGTTTTGCTCTGGGTCCCTTTGCATTGAGCTCATGCTGCGTCATTTCTGCACCATCTTCCAAACCCCCCTGATTATCGATTTTCTAAATTCTCTCTCACATGGTGTTGCTGCCATTAACCTCCAAGTGGTCATTAGTTTATCCCTCCATTTCCTTTACTTCCATTTTTAATCCTTCTGCAATTACTTTCTTTTACTTCTTTTTTTTGCTTTTTTGAGAATCTACATTATCCATCCATCTTTAATCTTTACCACCATGGAAAATTTCAAACAGAGTTGGAAGCCAAAAGAAAGAGGGTTTTAGCCTCTTTAACTCTTGGGTGGGTGGGTGGGTGGCTGGCTGGCTTATTTTTAGAATATGCTCTTTGGTTAGGGCTTTTAGAAGGCCAGCATTCATTCACTTGATTGTAGCCTTCTCTTTTTTGCTGTGTGAACAAGGAAGAATTTCCTCAAACCTTTCTCTCCTTCAAACCCTTTTTACTTTGCCATTTTTGATGCAAATGCAAGTCTTCGAAATGGGGATCCTTTGTCTCTTCAACAGTGGATCTCTTTTGCTCTAGTTCTACAACTTCTTTCTCAAGTTGTCGTCTTTATTGATTTGTAAACTTAGCTGCTGAAATGGGTTGTTGGAGTGATTTCATCTTTTGAATTTTGATCATCTCTTTGTCATTTTGAGGTTGTCTCTTCTTTTTCTTTTTGGTATTAAATCTTGCTTTGAGTTTGTCAACATATGGCACCAAAAGGGGATTTTTTCCCATGGTGGGCAAAGGATACAAGGAAGGGAACTCCAGTGATAGTAACTATGGAAAATGTTAACTATTCTGTAGTAGAAATTGATGGCCCTGATTCAGCATTTAGGCCGATAGACAAAGATAGAGTGAAAAATGCTAAGCAGTTTACATGGGTTTTGATTCTCAAGGCAAATCGAGCTGTCGGTTGCCTTGCTTGGATAGGTCATATCCTCTGGGTATTACTTGGTGCCATCAAGAAAAGGCTTTTCTTTAGGAGAGGGGTGGCTATGGAGAGTGAGAAATCTGGCAAGGGAAAATTGCTGTTTAGAGTCATCTTGGGTTTGTTAATAACTTCTTTGGCATTCTTGGCTTTTGAAGTGATTGCTCATTATATGAGATGGCCTTATTTCCAAGAACATAATTTGCACATCCCACAAACTTTAGAGATAAGGGGTTGGTTGCATTTGATATATGTTTCTTGGTTGGGTTTTCGAGCCGACTACATTGCTCCTCTCATTCTAGCTTTCTCTAAATTCTGTGTTGTTCTCTTCCTGATTCAGTCTTTAGACAGGATGATCCTTTGTCTAGGTTGCTTCTGGATCAGATACAAGAATATAAAGCCAACAATCAATGGGGATCCGTTTAATTTGGGCGATTTGGAAGGCTCTAAATACACCGTCCCTATGGTTCTTGTTCAGATTCCAATGTGTAATGAGAGAGAGGTAAGTATCCGAGATTCCGAGCCATTTGATTTTTTTGTAGATTAGATTTGAATGAATGGATTAGTTACTTTACATCCTTTTTCTATTCGTTGATATTTGATATTATCATTATTTGATATCATAATTAAACTATAAAGCACCCTTTTTCCATAACAGTTATTCTAATCATATATCAAGAAGGATAACATAGTTAAAAAAAATATAAAGGTTGTAAACAGAAGTGCTTAATTACTGTGGTGATGATTATACCATTGGTAATGAAACCGGCTCTTCCCACAGGTATACGAACAATCAATCTCAGCAGTGTGCCAACTTGATTGGCCTAAAGAGCGGTTGCTGATTCAAATTCTTGATGATTCTGATGATGAGAGTATTCAGTGGTTGATTAAGGGAGAGGTGTCCAAGTGGATGCAGAAGGGTGTCAATATTGTATACAGGCATCGACTAATCAGAACTGGTTATAAGGCCGGGAACTTGAAATCTGCAATGAGTTGTGATTATGTTAAGGATTATGAGTTTGTTGCAATATTTGATGCTGATTTCCAACCAAACCCAGATTATCTTAAGCTTACAGTTCCTCATTTCAAGGTATTAGAGCTTTTCAGTCTTTATTGCCTTCTCGAATTAGCTCTCTTCTTTTGGGATTGGAGTACTTCTTGGTGGCTACTTGAAGTATGGAAAAAACAGCATCTTTATCTGGAGTAAACATAAACTTTTTGCACCTCTCATTTCAGGACAACCCTGAACTAGGATTAGTTCAGGCCAGATGGGGTTTTGTGAACAAGGATGAGAATTTGCTGACACGCCTCCAAGACATCAATTTGTGTTTTCATTTTGAGGTGGAACAACAGGTCAATGGAGTCTTTCTGAATTTCTTTGGTTTCAATGGAACTGCTGGAGTTTGGAGAATTAAAGCACTCGAGGAATCGGGTGGTTGGCTTGAGCGCACAACCGTAGAAGACATGGATATAGCTGTTCGTGCCCACCTCCATGGTTGGAAATTCATCTATCTTAATGATGTGAAGGTGATCTAATTTTTTTTGTTTTTTTTTTGCACTTCTCGCGTTATGTTAATGATATCTTGGAAATAACCCAACTCCTGTAACCAAAACACCTTTCTTTTTCCTGAAAACACAAAGCAAAACTAAAAATTATTGTTTGGGCACCATCTCTGCCTCTGGATCATTTTCTTGCAGAGACTAATTGGGTAAAATACATATGCATTTGCCTGCACTCTTTGAACATATATCTAGTTGCACACCATAAATATTTTTTTGCTAAGAAATCTCGAGTAAATTGAATTTTTTACTTTTTTGTAATCCATGGTACAAAACATCAGGTCCTCTGTGAGGTTCCGGAGTCTTATGAAGCGTATAAGAAACAGCAGCACCGTTGGCACTCTGGTCCCATGCAACTCTTTCGTTTGTGTCTTCCATCCATAATTACTTCCAAGGTAACTTTCAGCTTCAACCCTCCCTTATCCCCTTCAATTTCCTCATTTTTATGCAGGTATATTGTCTGTTCATATTATGTGTTTTAGTTAAGATCTTTGATGGGATAATGTTGCAGATATCTATTTGGAAGAAGGCGAACCTGATATTGCTGTTCTTTCTCCTCAGAAAGCTCATCCTTCCATTCTATTCTTTCACATTATTTTGCATTATTCTTCCTTTGACCATGTTTGTTCCTGAAGCTGAGCTTCCAGCCTGGGTTATTTGCTATGTACCTGTATTCATGTCATTTTTGAGCATTCTTCCAGCTCCTAAATCTTTTCCCTTTATTGCCCCTTACCTTCTGTTCGAGAACACAATGTCTGTGACTAAATTCAATGCCATGGTATCTGGATTATTCCAGTTGGGGAGCTCATACGAATGGGTCGTCACCAAGAAGGCTGGTCGAGCCTCTGAGCCAGATCTATTAGCTGCAGCAGAGAGGGAATTATCTCCACAATTACATAGAGGAGCATCTGATAGTGGTCTCTCGGAGCTAAACAAACTCAAAGAACATCAAGAAGCTGCTCCTAAATCTCCAGCGAAGAAAACTAACAAGATATACAAGAAAGAGCTTGCACTGGCTTTCTTGTTGCTGACCGCAGCACTGAGGAGCTTGTTATCAGCTCATGGAGTGCACTTTTACTTCCTGCTGTTTCAGGGGGTGTCTTTCCTCCTTGTGGGTCTCGACCTAATTGGCGAACAAGTGAGCTAAGGGAGGTAGAAAGCAAATGAAAGGGGAACATGTAGATTGAACGAAAAGATCCAATAGCAAGAATACAAGTTCAGATGGTGTTTGAAGCACATCAGACCATGTTGCTGCTGGTGTAAGGCGACAAACGTGTCTTTCTGAAAAAATCCCGACTCAAATACAATTGTTTTCCTGTTTTTCTGCCATTCATCATTGGATCATTATCCAGGGTCATTTATGTTGTGTAGCTGTGATGGGTGTCTGTCATTCACACAGTTTCCTGTTTACTTTGTTTGCATTTGGTCTTTTTTACCATTATATTATTGATTTGGTGGATGTTTTTAGATTAGCCAATCTTTGTATCTAAGGGACCATGAGAAGTAGGCATCTGTGGCATGATGAGGATTTCCCACATGTACAACTATATATATGTAAATTTGCATAAACCTTGTGAAAAATCTGTGTTGTATGTGAAGAAATAATTGGTGTCGCATCTCATATATGTACATAGGGGAGTGTAAATTACTGGTAAAGCATGAGGCACAATGGAATGAAGGCAAATGACCAGCAGCAATGCCCCAAGCCAAGAAAATATCATTAACCATGAAGCAGGGGTATTGTCTCATGATGAAGCTCCTCTCTATTGTAGAAACAACAATAGAGAGAAGATGAATACTTGACAACTAATAGGAGTTTCATCTCATTCAGTTTCACTCTAATTATATCTACATACCAAGTTTTAGTATTTGGTTGTATAGCCCACATCCCTTCCACCTCTTGGGGTGAAATCGGTGAAAAAATAAGGACCCGTTTCGTTACTTTTTCTTTGTAGGAAACTAAACCACGGAAATAACATAACGGAACAGAGATTATTGGCAAAACTTTTTTATATGAGGAACAGAGTGGTTATTTAATCCCACCCCATGAAACAAGATAGAATTAACCTGAATTTTTTCGATATAACTTCAAAATAAATAAACAAGTTCCTTGCTTATCAATTTATTTGTTATGTGATGAAGAATCTTGTATTCTAGTCTGCTGTCATAACTCATGAGTAAATAAACAATCTGAACTTTAAAAGTAAAAGAAAATGTCATATATTGGTCGTAATCCCTTTTCTGGTGACCTAGACGAACGTGTATCATTTTTTCTCCCAATCCCATCTCGTTATCAACATCATCTTCATCCAAAATCGGTGTTACAGTCACCCCAGTCGTTCGTTGAAAACCCATTCCCTCAATCTCAAAATGTTTCCCCATGCCCTGTCTATGGCTTCAGTCTTACCATCCATCCACTCCCCCGAACTTCCATTTTATCCTTCCAAATCCATCGCCTTCCATCCTCCCAAATCATGTCTCCCTTTGAGATGTTCCGTTTCTGTGGCTCCCCAACCAACCCATTTACATCCCAATAACACCAACAATAAAACCTCCCCAGCCGAGGTTTCTAGAACAATCATGGAGTTATCCTCTGTTGGCAGTTTTTCCACTGCCACCCAAGACACTTGGCCTCTTGGTGTTGGGGTTCGCTTCGCCGTTGACTCTCAAGGCACACCAATTGTTTGTTTATCTGCCTCCTACCAACATTTCGCTTCCCAAAAAAGCTCTAGCCTTAATGTTCAGGTATATTCCTAAAAAATGTTTAATCCTTCATCTTTTTTTTGTTTCTTGTTACACCATTTTCTTTAAAAAAGTGCATCTTATGTCTTTCTGATTCTTTATTGTATTTGCTTCTTAACTAGTTAGAGCAATGTGGCATGCGAACAACACAGTGCACCATCCAAGGTAGCCTTCACAGACCTGACGATCAAACTGCCTTGAAGGTACTTCTGCCTTTTGAGTTATTAATAGAGATAGTAGAACCACTTAATTTCTCCACCCTTGTGCTTTCCAGCTTGAATTTTGGAAGTGACTTTGTAAACAATCATCCACTATAAATAAAGGAGCCATAAAAGATAAAAGATAACGTTCAGATGTGTTTATGAAGTTGTTATGATCACATAGTCATTTTTTAAATGTTGACAAATGCTTATTATTTAAGAAACTAAAAGGTAAAATAACCAAAAATTGAGATGCTTCTTGTAAGATGGGAGTGAAAGTCCCCCACTAAGGTGAAAAGAAGGGGTAAACAGGTAATTTTGTTTTACCCTTTGATGATCAAATTTGTTGTATGAAACCGATTATCCTAAATAATTAGATAATCAGAAGCAGAATCTGTTTATCTAAATATTAATTAGTTCTATAACACACATCCAGACACATCTAAACTCCTTTAGAATACCAGTGATCATCTACATGTTGGGGGCAGCCTAATTGGTTGTACAGCTTAATGGAGTCTACCTTTCAGAGATATTTAAATATGAAGGACTTCTGCTTTTAATCCTAAACATGAGGTCATTGTTTCACATTGCACATGCTGCATGCTTTGGAACAAAACAATTTGGCAAAGTGGTCACTAGCTAACAAATGGAGGGATTACGGTTTTCGTGAACAGTTGTTGATTTTATATTAGATTCCATAAAGATCGCAGTTGTATTTGCAACTCTATTGATGAAATATTATAATTCTTATCTACATTTCAAGCTTTTCTTTTGACAGAAGCTTGAGTCACTATGGGAAAAGAGGTTTGGAGAAAAAGCAGACAACAACTTTATTAATATTCTTGAAGTGGAACGGGTACTGCAAATGGACAATTTCATGGAGGTGTGTCTGGTAACTTGAACATCGGGTTGGTTAAATTTCATGAGAATATGTTATTTGAAGATGACAAATGTGTATCCCCGAATGCCCAATACTTAAAGCATGCATTTTGTAGAAAAAGTTCTTGTAGCCCGTAAATGAACATTATAGCCCTGCTGCACTTTTTTCCTTGAACAGTCTACCACCAGCTCACCCACCACCTGATACAAACTACCGTCATCGCTGCAAATGTCTTTCATGATCCTCCTTCACCCAAACTTCAGCTGGATATGTTACCACTGATAATTATCGTGGTTTAATCCTACATCATGATAAAAACAAGTGGTTCTCAAAACTTTATTGGCATGGAAAAAAGTGGTCGCCTCGTCATGCCTTTTAGAGAGCGGGAATTGTTATTTTTGGACTATTTCATATGGTTCCTAAGGAAAATAGATTTCATTTAAAAGTTGTACATGTTGTCTCTCCTATGGGACTATTACTTAGCACTAACCCAGGTTTGGGGACTGCAGGATGGTGTCTGGGTTACTTCTTCAGACTATAGACTGGCAAATGCTGATCCACTCCGAGATTTTGCTGAGTATCTAGTTCGTGAGATAAACACAAATAATATGGAAGATGTTCTGCGGTTTTGCAACATCTATGTGGACTCAGATGTCCAGGTTCGCTCTAATGTGCCAGAATAGCATTTGTTGTTCCATTGTTATTACTAATTAATGCGTTTATATGATATGTTTTCAATGCATATCCTTTGGTACTTCAGGTGTCAGAAGCGAAGATGGTGTGGGTGGATCGCTTAGGGTTCGACATACATATCTATTCTCCCCAAAATGATGTCTTTGAGGTTCGGATCCCTTTCCCTAGAGAAGTCGCAGATGAGAAGGGTGCAAAATCATCTTTTAATGGTATGTCCCAGCTTGCTTGGGAAGTCGAAAGAAATTACTCTGGCCTAGAATTTGAGAAAGTGAAGCAATTGAAGAAGATAGCCTCCAAAGTATAGTGATTAGATTTGCAGTTTTGAAAGTTAAAAAGCAAATTGTATGGTGGAGCTTCATGGTGATAAATCTAATGTGCACTACAKCTTAACTCTCAAGTATTCTTTATGGGCCCCTAATCTAGCAAGAGTTAAGTGGAGAAGCACTTATAAAGCCTGGTGACCTGCTGTGTTCAGTTGCTTCAACAAAATTTGTACGACTTCTCATGTATTTCATAATTTTCTATCCTGCCTTCTGTCTCTAAGTATGCCATTTGTAAGATGGTTATCTCCTATTAGCTTTTGGATAGTTATATTGATAGGAACGTATTGCCATCTTACATGTATGCTATTGTTTCTATGTGTGTGACTCGTTTGTTGTTGTGATTTAGTCCTACATTTTTTTTCATGTAATTGTAGTTGCCTATAATGTGCCTTGTGCTCTTGGTCCCCTTGTTTGTTTAACCTATTTCCATTTCCTTTCCTCTGGCCAGTTACATTGTCCATTTACACTTGTGCACACACTCTCACCTATATCTTACTCGCTTATTATATCTATTTGCTTTGCAAGCCAGGGTCTTCATGGAAATAACCTCTCTACCCCTAGGGGTAGAGGTAAGGTCTGCGTACATCTTACCCTTCCTGGACCCTACTTCTGCGTGGGATTTACCGAGTCCGTTTGGTTTGATTTGGTTTATTGCCATCTTGCTGTTCCATTCTTATGGATGGAGCAATATTTAAGCTGTAATGGTCAAAGCCCCTTTATTCATTTTTAACTGTTCTTATTAAGCTGTACTGATACTTGTTTCTGGAAGTACAATTACTCATTTGTGGTGGTTGAAATAACTCAACACTCGAGCACTAAAGGTCATGGATGGCCACCTGCCTTGTCTATCGGTTTCCCTAGATGGTAAAACTTTAGTAGGATTGATAAGTCCTTATGATTGAAGTTTGTTTCGTTTACTATAGATGCATGCCAGTAACAATATATGTTTGTTATATATATATATATATATATATATAACATATATGTACATGATTATGTTATTGTACTGCACTTCTGTTGAGCTATACCGTATTCCTGTTTCTACGTGTAACTAAGACTTGACCTCTATGTGAGAGATGTGAGCTTAGGAGAGAAGCCTCTGCATATCAGTTGTTGGCGAGAAGCGACCTGCAACGACATTCTTGATCTTACCTATCATGTTTGTATGCTTGGTGTTGCTGCCATTTTTACCCAACTTCGGCTGAAACATGGAAGTCAGCATATTCTCTAGGCTCTCTACGCTATATTTTACATACTTGTTTGGATTAGGAGTACCCCCACCTTCCACCAAGCCCAAATACTTCTGCATGTAGCTCTTATAAACAGGGACTATGGCTTCCACTATTAGCTGGCAAGTTTTCCATCTCAAACTTTTATCGCACAACACCCAGTCCGATTGTTTTCTAAACAAGTCATCAAATGCCTCATTAAATCCTTTGATTCTCTTATTGACCACGTCCTGAGCTATCACTCCTTCATCCAATGCCATCATTTTGTCATTGTTGTTCAACAGGGCTGGAATCTTTCCCCAGCTCCCTCTCAAGTATAGTGCTGCGTAGTATTCCACACGACCCTCATGTCTTTTTAACCACGATTCCCCCATTAAATCCCCAAGCTTTGTACCCTTTAGATGTTTGCTCAGGTAGCAACTGGTGTTCATCATGAAAATATAAGACAGAGCGGTGTCTTGATATCTTTTCGCCCATGTCTCTAAGTTAAGTTCCAGTGATTTTACCATGTTGTGAACCTCAACCGAAACAAGTCCCTTTGTGAATGTATCGGCATTGTACCAACTGGAATGGATTTTGAGAACTTGTTCCAGTACAGGTTTGTAGTCATCGTCAAGCAGCTCGTCGGAATATTCCGTTACAAACGTCATCAGTCGTGGGACTGCGCCATCTGCAGGAGGATCTGTCAGTCTTTGCAGCTCAACTTGTGCTGAGAGCTCCCAGAAAATTTCGTAAGTCCCATTGACCACCTTCTTAATGAGATTTCTGGTCTGAGTTTGAATTTCTGAACAGGGTTTTCCACCAAAAATTCTATTGAAATCCTGTCTCAGATTGTTGAGGGCGGCAAAGACGTCAAGCAGCTTGAATAGCTTGATTGCTTCTTTCTTACCCTTTGTAATCGTGTTCCCGAACTTGATAAAACGCTGTATTCCTGATTGGAGTGCAATCTTGGAGAAACAATCTGCCCACACATCTGGTTGAACGTTGTGGCCAAACACCTGGTCGCAGAGCCTGTACTCCAGTTCAAGCAGATGCTTCACTACAAACTCCAAATGCCTCCCCCATTCATCTATGTAACCTTCTATCTCTTGCACGCTATCAAATTCCGATAACGACATCCCGAGATAATCCAAATCAAGGCCTTGTAAACTTGTTTGAACAATTGTGGTCCGAACCTTGATGTAAATGGACATGCAGCGGTGCAGCTGGCTGTCACATGCAAAACATGCAACAATAGCTTTCAGGCTGTGGACAACATATAAAGGCAAAGCTTCTGGTGATGGATCGGCTACATCACCTTCCTCGTCGCCAGAAGAGAAAAGCGAGGAAGGAACTTGAAGAGGCACAGTGTTTTGGATTAAAAGATTTGTAAATTCATGTTCCAGTTGTTGGAAAGCAACACTTAGAATTCCTTGATCGAGAAGAGAATGGTCCTCAGTTGCCTGCAACTCCTCCAGTAAAAGCAGAGTCTTGCAAACATTGGAGTGGTATAGGTCATCGTCGGCCAGAAATACGTTAATATCAGTGTTATCGAGGAATTGCTTGACGTCTTGCACCCACAGGATTGCTAATTTGCAAGTGTTGGTGAGAAGGGTAAGCGCCTGTCGGAATCGTGTGAGGAGAGAGAGATAGAGGTTGAGGTCAGAAGAGGAGTGGGCAGCGGAGAGTAAGCTCCCGAGCTCATCCACTAGTTGGTAGATGTTGAAAACAGCAGAAAGTGGTGGAAGTGCACGATCGACATGGTCGCAGATGGCAAAAATGGCACATTTGGAAGCCATGTTTTTGATACGGGATTCCAAAGACAGAAAAGTGCGATTGATGCGAGTGACATTGGCAGTGGTTTTGTTAATCGCCGAGTCTAATTGTGTTGATTGGTGTAAGGTAGTGTTGAGAAGATCCCTGGTGTGTATAATGGCCTCCATATTTCTGAAGACAATTGTAAATGAGGGGTTAAAAGGGTGGTTTGTTTTCTTGTTGCTAAATGTTTGTCTACCAAATCTTTACCAAATGAATGAAGTTTGGAAGTTATTCAAACCAAACTTCACTGCCAAATTGCCATGCCTTTACTCATACTCTTCCTTTGTTTGCTTCACTTCATCACCAACTCCAACTCTAACTCTCTTTGTTTACCAAGTCCCATGAAATGAAATGAAAAGATAACATATATTATGGATGTTGTTTTTATAAATTCAAAATACAATATCCATAAAATCTAAATCTAAATTAAAATCTGTAAATCTTGAGCTCATGAAGGTGGTGGCTGTGGAGTATTCAAAGACCCTAACAGGTCCTTGTTCATCTCTTCAACACATCCATGCAAACTTCACAAGTCATTATGACACATGTTAAACCAAATCAAACCAGCTCAATATATCTCACTCGAAAATATGATATAAAATGAGATATAAAGACCAGTCCTCTACTCCATCATTCTAGTAGAAGCATTCAATCACCTAAACTAAGATGTGAAGCAAATAATGACTATAACACACACACACACGACAACCCCCCCCCCTTCCATAATACTATTAGTTATACCTTCCTGATCGTTATTTTCTATATATTACTATTACAATAAATCATACAACAGCAGCCTTCAGAAACAATATATAGATCTTCCATGCACCCAGATGGTATCGATTCTATCTGCAAATGAACACAGAGAAAATCAGAAACCATCATAATTTGACTTGAATCCGATGCTATTTCTTTTTGAAATTCTAGTAACCAAGAAAGACCGACACAAAAATCTGGCTACAAGTTTGAGCATTCAACTAGGTCAATAATGATGATGATTAAATATGCGGACTTCAGTTAATGAAGTTACAAAGTTTATGATAATTATGAAACATGTTGAGAATGGTTCTTTCTACGCAGTGGGGATACAAATTAACCAAATGAACTCACACCCCATGTCTCTAAAGAGATACAAACCCAAGATTGTTCAGCCCAACAGGTATGCCACTCAGTGTGTTCAATATGCTATTAATATCTCAGTTATTGTGTTGAAAATCACTAATGAATCTTCCAACGCAATTTCATATTCGACCCAGCAGTATCTGGGTTACCCGGTAAGGTAGAGTCCAGCCTCCGAGGAAGTCAAGGTTCAAACCTCATCAAAGATGAGGGGTGGGAGTGAGTATTTTTGCATGTATAAATATTATATACTTAAAAATAGTTTCAGTGTCGATGCTGTGAGTGATTTTCATGTTTAAGAGCTGCATACCTCAAATTCATGTTCACAGAAAAGCATTGATCTTCCCGTGTATTACTACTTGTCTGGATGTGCACGTTTAGCCTTGCGACGTGGTTGGTTAGGATTGTGATTTGGTCTTTTCGCCTTTTTACTGCATTCAAGAGAATGGGTAAATGAGTTACATTCTTGAGTTTAAAGATACAAACTGCAAAATGAATATCGGAGGTTCTTTCTTCATTAATGTTTAGAAGAAAACAGAGAAAAACTTACAAAAAGATGGCCGACAAAGTTTTGAACAGGATGATGATAGGCAGCGCCAACAATGCGGACGCCTGCAACATAAATATACCCACTCATCTTTTACTTCTGTTCTTTGTTGGGGCTGGGGGGAAGCAGCCAAATGCACAAGCATACACAGAGAGAGAGAGAGACTTACAGCAAACCAAACCAACTCCTTGGTTGCAAAAGCTTTGAAAATTTCATGTTTCTTCAGTGATTCTTCAACGATGCCTTGAACCTTTGATAGTACAGTACGTTCAGATAGCGATCAAGATCAAAACAACAATAGCTACATACGTAATCACTTTAAAGGAACGGTGTGGCCTAAAATACTAATCCACACAATCATAAATATGTAATATATGCAGATAAACCTATAAAAGGCGTCACACTTTAATAGAAAATATAAGAAGTCAACTCTATGCATATCTGATTGAGTTACATAGGAAAAGAAGGAAAAATATGAACATTGAGCAAATACTAGACCATATCTTCTATACCTGATGATGGTATTTGGTTGCAGATTCAAGAAACCTCCCATAAGCTTGAACTGCCTCATTTGTGTAAGGAGCCACTGTTTCCCATGCTTTATCGAGGTGAGGCTTTGTTGCAGTGGCAATATCATCAATGTATGGCTTGCAGACTTTCTTGGCACTCTGCCCCCAAGTTTTCTAATTAGGGCACATCTTAATCAAGGAGGAAGTAAGGTTGAGAAAAAACTTACCTGAAAGTGTGGGTCTACAACTTCCTTAATTTTGATCATATGTGGAGCTAGAGCGTCTTTAGATTGAACATAAACCTCTTTAGTCTTTTTGGTCAGTGATTGCATATGTGGCTCGACATTAGTTATTACCAACGCCCATTGTTCCCTAGCAGCTGGGACCCATTTCTGTGTATATTTAAAAATACATCCGATATAATTAAAACTTCAAAAAATATAGCAATCCAACAAAATAATAAACAAGGAATAAAGTTGTACAAGACAAACACAAAATATGAGGGATGTACATTTTGCAAAGAGTTTAATGTAGTAGGAACCATTACACGCAGAGAAATCTTAGGGAATTGACACTTGAAAGCCACACTTTACGCAAACCAAACCATAGGAATGGTGTTTACCCTATATGATTCCCTATGCAGTAAAGGTGTCATTTTACTCTCTAGATCTTTCCTTTTGATAATTGTTTCTCCCTCCTTGTGCCTTCTTTTTGCTGATTATCACAAAAGAAGTTTTTTAATCCAAAAAGAATGTAATATTATTACTTTCTACTTGTGTAACACACAAAAGGGACAGATGGATGAAACCAGATTGGAGCTTTGTAACATTTCAAAGAATAACAGTCCAAAAAAAGGCCGAGTAACTAAACATAATATAAACTAGCACAACAGAAAATTAATGACAATCAGAAAGTCGCTTACAGTTTTAATCGTCTGCATATGAGGTTCAACCCATTTTTCAGCTTGTGCCTTTTTCTCCAAAGCCTGCCCCAACGAAATGCAACACAGTAACAACTTTTAAAGTAAATGGCACATGCAATAATGTCTGCCAAAGAAATAGAATACACAAAAACTACCTTTTGCATAAAGGACTCGAAAGCAGGTTTTCCATGCTCTTTCCACTGGCTCTCTGCATAACCCTGCAAACACCACTGTAGTCATACCTCATTCTTTTAAGGACAAACAGCAATACTCCAAAAGGAACTACCTGAAAACCAACTAAACGAGCTGCAAGCCAAGGTGGTAACCATGCACTGTGAACCTGAACAAAGTTTACAAAACAAAGAATAAGTTTACTTAAATGCAACAGATAGGAATAACAGAGTTGATGTCTATATAGCATATACAAAAAGTAAGGAAATAACAAATATTAAGAAGGAAATCAACTTCCCACTTCAAACTAACAGAGGGGTTATGTCATGAAGTCACTTGGGTGAAAAACTTTTGGGCTTATGTAGCATTAACATGTATTAAGTAGTTGGCAAATCCAAGTTGATTTGTAACATACATTGTTAGTAGTATGAGTATCCTAGCATTTCAACTAATGATATGAAATTAGATGTACTTCATCACTTTGAATTTCAGAATAAATACGCTGCATGAGATCAAACTATCTATGCTTGAAAGGGGCCATGTGGCATGAAATACCCTTATCAATAATTTGTGTATTATATGAATGAATGCAACAAGAGCGCACATATATCTATACCAAAACAAGTGAAATCATTTCATCCTTTTAGAAACACAGTGAAGGAACATGAACACTTGACAGAGCTTCATGCGATAGCTAAGTTTCAGCTTTTACCTCTGTCAGTTCTTTAATTTTCGATGTTGCTTCAAATTTCGCCTTCTTAAGTTCCTCCTGCATATGATTATACATGTAACAACGTTGCATGTTGTTCATATTTAAAGAAGTATACCAAACACCATTTTTGTGAACATACCTCAGCAATTTTAAGAGCACGTTCAGTTTTATGAAGCTTTGTCTTATGTTCATCAACAACTTGTTGAAGCTGAAACAAAAGATAGAACACAACAATAATGTGTAAGGCCGCGTAACTCAACTCACCAAGTGGGTTACATTGTCATCTAAAACAAGGAGATCAAAAAAAAAAAAATCAGGACTTCGAAGACCATTAACCGGAAAGGTGGTTTGTCAGGAGGACCATCGCAGGAGACATTGATTATGGACCCCATCAAGATGGTGTCAAGATAAAAGCATATCTAATACATTTCCAAATTAAAAGGTAAGATCGTGATTGTCAGTTTATGAATGCAGATTGCATTAACTATAAAATATAGTGGAAGCCAAATCCTAAGCTACAAAATAGACACTTCCCAGTAGGTGGTTATCAGTATATCACACAAGTAAATAATTAACATATTGAACAATAAAGCATATATCCTTCAAGTGATATTGTAGAATAAGAAGCATTGCAAACCCAGATGGGCCATGTCCATTTACATGATTAGTAATGCAAGATGTTAAAACATTATTTGGCAAATGTGCAAAACCTACAGTAGATGGTGGTGGAGCACACAAAGATGCACAAGAACAGCAAACAATGACATTAGGAACACCGAAGATGAATGGGGTGAATAAGAGACCTTGGCCAACATTATCTCAAGATCAGCTCTTTACTTTCTTCCATATTAGTGAAAAAAACCCTCCAAGCATAACAATCTAGAATGAGCCCATTATGTATGATGGTGGTATAAAAGAATGAAAATGCAAAAGACGAGGACAACATGTCACCAAAATATTGTAACATTGTTAAATTCTTCAACCATCACATCCGAGAAGCATCTAGGAAAGAATGTAAAGTAAAAATAAGAGAGAGAGAGAGGAGAAAAAGAGTTGGATAGTGGCATCTATGCCTCACAGTGTTGAGTTGGAGTTATGGTTCAGTGTTGAGTTGGAGTTATGGTTCATAGATTTTAAACAACTAGAAACCAACACATGTTTAATCTCAGACATAGATGAAAATTATATATTGAGATTTGAGTTCCAAAATGTCCACCACCATAAGATATACCATATAAGGAACACTAATTTAGATCTCTCTAAAAGTTCTAATTCCAGAACAACTTACATCCTGAAGCTTTGGGTTTAGATCAAGCATCTTCTTCTCCAGTTCTTTTGTGCGGGTTTCCAAGGCCTCCCTTAAGCTGTTCTTCAATTCCATCTCCATTTGGAGTTTCTCTACCTGCAATAATTCAATATTTATATAATACCAGTGATATTGACATGTTTGGTAGAATGATTTCTTATGCAAACCTGCTTCTCCAATTCACGAGCACGTGCCTGAGCTTTTTTGGCTTGTGCATTAGCATCTGAAGACACTTTAACCTGTTAGCCAGAACAATGGGGGCTTAACACACCAAGAGATTTCATTTACTTTTGTAGTAATATCAAATTGGAATCTGCAAAATCATTAAACATCTTACCTCAAGCTTAGCTACCTCACTTTGCAACGATGTAATGCTATCTGACTTCTCTGCAACGGTCTTATCTTTCTCTGCAATTGTCTTCTCTTTCTGAGCAATGGTCTCATCCTTGCTTTTTAACTCTTGATTCCTCTCGTCAATCAGTGATTCTTTAAAACATCACATTGAAATCGAAATAAATAAGTCTTTTCAGCCATTCACACACTTCAACTAAAATAAACCTCTCACCAACAATGCTCTTCTTCCAGTTTTTAGTTGTGTCAGTATTGGGTTACAAACTAACTTCTGACTGTCCAGAAACCACACTTAAAGTTCAAATAAAATCCATCTTTACAGACAAAAAATTATGTTTTATTTTTTTCGGCAGGTGAAAGGTCAAAATTAGGCAGCACGAAGCTAAAGCAAGATGTGCGCTGGTGACGATTTGGGGTTCGCATGTGGTCAGTCTAGATTCAAAAGAACCTCCTTTAGGCCAGCGAAAACACCAAGTTGTCTAGAAAAAGGTTCAACCAAAAACAATGGCCAACTAGGTTGAACCTTACTAAGGAGCTAGGGTCGACGAAGTTAACAAAATAAAATACACCAAAAGGAGAGAAACAGCGTACTAGCTTGACAAGATTTAAGTTTACCATACAATTCGACGACAGCAACTACTTGTACTGATATACATACTCAGACTAGTATAGTAACTAAAATAGAAAGATTAGAGGACAAACCAAGTGAGTGGATCTTGGAGGTGAGTTTATCCAATTCGATTCGAAACGAATCAGAGTTGTCGGATCCAACTACAACTTGTTCAACGTCACTGTTGGCTTGACTTGGAGTGAAGATTAGGGCAAAGAAGAGTGAAAGAAGAAGGAAAAGATAGAGCTTGGAGGGCGCCATAATAGGCGTAAAGCTAGCCACTGAATACAAAAGGGTTGTGAAATCTCAGCAGATATGATAGAGTTTTGGGGGAGCAAAGTGGAAGTAGTTGGTTGGGACTTGGGACTTTATGAAGAAGCTCTGCGTTGAATGAATCTTGTTCGAACTCGTGGCCCTCGTCGCCGGTGACAAAATCATGGAACACGTTCACATCTATTTTTTTTTTTTCTTCTTCGTATTTTAGGATCAAAATAATTACTGTATATTTTTATTTTATTATCCTTCAAATATAATTTATTAATTTCTGAGTCAATTATTTCTTAAAAAAATTGGGTTTTTATACATACTTATTCCTATTTTGGTTTGATTTTTATTCGTATTTTACTTTGGTTTTCATTTATTTATTGTTACACATTTTGACATTCCAGTTATATGTAAATATTTTGATACGTCCTAAATCACTAAAGTTATTGAATTGAAAGAGGAGAAGCTTCAACAAGTACATAACCAACCAGCTTTCCGTAAGAGTATCCAAGTCAACAACACCTCCATTTTCACGTTTTACCTTCGTAACCAAGATGTATTATTAACATCTTCAAGAGAAAACTTGGAATCGAGTTATTCACTTGTTGAACAACTTTACTTGACTTGTCATTGCATCGTAAAGAAAACACTACACCTAACTGAATAAAAGATTAAGCTAGATAAACTCAGAGGAGTGGGTAGGATGTGCTAATGACAACCTATGCTACGTGAGGACGCTCTAATATCATCATGAATGCCCAAAAATCAAGCATACACCAAGTTTAAAGATCACATATGATACGAGTCTTTAAAGAGGATGGAGGGTTGGAGGGAATTGAGATTTTACATTTGGATCCTCAAACTATCCAATATTTTCTATAACTACCCTCTTCTTTTATGTTTTGCAAAACATTTGGTTTCCTTTTTGAATATATTATTAAATACATTTCCTATTTTTCTATTTTCATCAAAAATGTTAGAATTGAAGCTATTGTTTCATGTTTATTTGTTCCATAATATAATATGATAGTTTCACATACAATTGTGATTTTAAGGTTAGAGTTGTTAGGTAATATATAACTATTAATTGAGAAATTGATCATTTTCTAACCAAAGTTTTCAAAAAATCAATAATTCCGCAAGTGCGGAGCCACATTCCCCGACAATTCAAAAAGAAAATGTCAAACTTGAGGAGCCAAACGAAAGGCAATTGTGAAATAATCTTTTTTAATTATCATTAGTAGAAAACATACATTCACAAGCTACGACTTTACCATTTCTGAAATTGATGATATCTTGGAAACTTTAATGAAAAAAATAGCTAGAAAATGAATTTTGTCGAGTGAAGTGGCTATTTTGATCAATTTCCCTTGTTAATTATTAGTTGTTGGAGTTTGTTAATTGAACGATCTTCCTTGGATCAATCCATTCAAAAGATTTTTTTTTTAATGAAGTATCACTCTGATCAAATAGATAAATAAGACGAAAATATTTAAGTAGAAGACACTATCAACCACATAAACACATGACCATTACTTAAATTTTGATCCCATCATCAAAATTTATAGATTCGCCTTTGACAACCACGATAAAAATGGTGCGACTTAAACATGTTTTTGGAAATCAAATACCTCTACCCAAAACCATTTTTAGCAAGGATTAAGCCCATCAAGCTCATTGTCGGTTTATCCGTCATGGCCCACGTGACCCAAGTGTATAATAATAATAATAATTAATAATTATTATTATAAAAAGGAAAAAGGGTTTGGTGAAATTTGTGTTGATGTCTCGTTATCAACCTTCATTTGAATGTTATCAAGTCATCGTCAATGACTTTCTCTTTCATTTTATTTATTAATTTATGCTTTTAAATCTTTCTTAAATCATTTTTTAATGTTACAAGTAACAAAGACACATGGAATAAATTGAGGGTTTCTTCCTTTGCAATTAAAAAAACAATTAATTCACACCATTCCATAATCAAATACCTCTAAATTCTTTTTAGTTCAATCATTTGCCCAAATAAAAATCAAAATTATAGACTTGTTTTTTTTTTTCCAACGGGTCTAATATTGTAAACTCAATCCCTTTTTCAAGCTTGACAACTTGCCATTGTCCGCCCTATTTGACCTCCATCCATCCATCCTTCATTTGGATTGGGATTCAGATTCCAACCAACCAAAATGTTTATTTATGTAGAAACTCGCCTCTTTCTAATTATATATATATATAGAGAGAGAGGGATAGGGAGGTTTAAGGAAAATCTAAAAAATAAAAAATTGAGGAATATCTTGATAACCATTCATCTTGACAGTATGTACATATACCACAAGTAACTAAAACTGTTTTTTGGTTTTATGCATATGTGCATCATACCAGAGAAATTGCTACAAATTAGTTATATGCATATATACATACCTTTCAAATAAACGATTATCTTAATTTTTCATTTTTTTAGAGACTTTTTCTGAATCATGAATAAATTTAGTTATTTAAAGGAAAATAAGAATGTTTGTAACATAGATTAACAGAAAAAGAAACAAATTCCAGTAATTAATTGTTGTTTTGATAATTACAGGAAGCCAAACAAAGAAAGAGTTTGTTTGGAAATGAAAGAGAAGCAGAGTGGGTGTGAGTATGGTGGGGCATGGCTAACATGGGGGTGACTGTCGGTGCTGCCAACAAAGAAAGATGCCAACACACACACACACACACATATATACATATAGCCTTTGATAGCTTCAATTTCATCTCAGCTGCCCTTCCCCTCAAATTCGTTTTGTAGATCCAAATCTTGTAAATTTATTATCAAGAAACAACTACGTCATCTCTTGTCTTTTTATCTTTTTGGGTGTTGTGGTCTTACAAAGACCCACTCTTTCATGGTAGCAGATTAGCAATAGAGAGAGAGATAGAGATAGGAAGGATCTGAAGCAGATGGGGATAGATCCGAGGCAAATAGTGGCAGGAGTGCTTACACTCACCATGTTTCTAATGCTTGCTAACATGATTAAGCGTGACCACTTTGATGCTCCCATTTCTCATCATCATGTATGCTTCTGCTCCTCTCTCTTTCTTTACATTCAATCTTAAATCTCCATCAATCTTTTTTACTTATAAATACTATCTTATAGCAGGTGAACCACGTAGCCCAACCTTTTGATGATTCAGACCAGACCCTTTCTAATACTGCTGGTGATGCCCCTTGGAAGGAGGAAACTCTGGGTCTTAAACCTTGTTGGTCTAACCCACCCTCGGGTCAGTCCTTTCCCTTTCCCCATGTAGTATAATATATATATATATATATATATATATCTGTTTCTAATTTGGCTTCAATTCATCATGTTGCAGAAGATATAGATGAATCCAAAGGCTTTGTCACTTTCTCATTAACTAATGGACCTGAATACCATGTTTCCCAGGTATGCTGCTCATCCAGACACCTGCTTTTAATGTTATGTCTGCTTCTTGTTTCATCATCATCATCATCATCATCATCATCATGTTGTTGCTTTGCTTCACAAAGATAGATAGATAGATAGATATGTATTAATGTGCTTTTAAGATTGGAAAGGAATAAAACAAGAAAGAGATGGATTTGTTTTTCAAGATCTTGTGTATTTATGTCCTCCTCAGATTGCTGATGCAGTAGTAGTGGCAAGATACCTAAAGGCAAGTCTTGTAATTCCAGACATTAGAGGAACCCATCCTGGTGATTGGAGGTACTTCCATAGATGTTATCAACCATCTCTCGATTGGGCTCCTAGTTGAAGAACAAACATAATAAAGCATTTAACTTACTTGATGTATCTTTCAGGAACTTTGGAGACATTTATGACATTGAGAAGTTTGTAAATAGTCTGGATGGAGTTGTCAAAGTAGTTAAAACCCAACCTTCGGAGTTATCATCAAAAAATCTTGCTGTTATCAGGGTTCCTAATCGAGTCACTCAAGACTACATTGCCGAAAACATTGAACCAGTTTTTCAAACCAAGGGAAATGTAAGGCTGGCAACATATTTCCCATCTGTCAACATGAAAAAGATCAAGACTGAACAAGATGACAACAGAAATTCAATTGGATGCTTGGCCATGTATGGAGTTCTTGAGCTACAACCAGATGTTCAGGAAGTGGTAGATTCAATGGTTGACCGTCTTAAAACTCTAAGTCGCAAGTCCGATGGCCAGTTTGTAGCAGTGGACTTGAGGCTTGATATGTTAGACAAAAAGGGTTGCCAAGGAGATGATGCTGGATCAAAGAAATGTTACAGTCCGCAAGAGATTGCACTATTTCTGAGAAAGCTTGGTTTTGACAAGGATACTGCCATATATTTGACACAATCGCGATGGGATAGCAGTCTTGATGCTTTGAAGGACCTCTTCCCCAAATCTTACACAAAGGTAAAAGAGAAGATAAACAACATTTGAATTTTCAACACTTAGAATGCTGTACTTATCTAATGATTTATTTCAGGAGGGCATAATGCCCATGGACAAGAAGTCAAAATTCCTCGAGTCCGAGTATGAGAAGGTTATCGACTTCTACATCTCATCTCAGAGTGATGTATTTGTGCCAGCAATCTCAGGCTTGTTTTATGCTAATGTTGCTGGTAAAAGAATAGCTTCAGGCAAGACTCAAATACTGGTTCCTGCAAACATTCCTCCAGCTTCTTCTGCTTCTGTAGCCAATTATGTCTCCCATTATGTTTCAAAGAAGAATCACATGGCCTATTCATGTTTCTGCTAGCTGCGAAAATTTTCCTAGCAAGCAGTTTATAAGACATCCTCCCTTCAAATCAACAGCATAATCAATCCACTTCCAAGAAGACAGGAAGTTTGATCGGATGTTATTTTTGTTTTCTTTGATTGATTTTTATTTTATTTTATCAAGGCTCTTGAGAGAGCAGCAAGCTTCTCTAAAATATAGTGTTCAAATGTGTTGTCTTTACTTTATGTAACTACCTTTTTTACATCAGAAAACCTTTTAGTGTGCAAGTGTTTTCACAACTTTGTATTTCTGTTCCTTGATATTAAAATCTATTGCCTACTGTCCCTTCCCATGTAATGGTCTCTAGATGAAGAAACGAAAGCAGTATGTCCATGTAATGGTGTAAGATAAGAACATGACACTATGTGATAACCAAACCAAAAACGATGGATGCTGGATGACTTACAGAAAGCAGAACAGGGAGTCAAATGTGAATCCCAGTACTGGTGGCACGAGTATTAAATATAATAAACACCTGATCTTGCAATTAAAAGAACAAGGCTACTTGCTCCATGTAAATGAATACAATATAAGCGAATTCAACGATGACGAGAAGCAATGCAGCGTTGATATGGTTTGCTGAAGACCCTGGCCAAGGGAGTCTGTGGAACTGGGATGAGCTTTCCAACAATGGCAAGAGGCCAGCTGTAAGATCATAAAGATAATTAATGTTGTTAATCACAGCTATAAATAGGATGGTTCTTTAATTAAAATCTACATATATTCTGTTTAAGTTCTTGAATTAGGCCGACATATGATGTATGAGTGAATTGATGCAAACTCAACCATCTTCATGAGAATGAAGTATATGCTCAGGATGCAGTCTGATTTCAGACCAATGGATAACACAAATAACAATAGAAGAATGTTATACCCTGAGGGTAAGCAAGTTAATATAGTAGGCTGGGGTAAAGGGATTACAAAAGTAGGTAATGCAGGGGTAGTAATAAGCCGGTGCATTGCTAGTATAAATAAGGGAGCGTAGGTTCAGGAGTGGTATTCTGTTTTGGGTGTTCTATTTAGGCGAGATCCTGTGGAGAAAACCTGGCCTCTCGAAAGCCAGGAACCTTGTAATCATTTGGTTATGAGTGAGCAATTCCATTTCCTATATACCTTTGATTTGCTGATCGAATAGAGTAATGTACATCAAAGAACCAACCTGAAAATGCCAATAACAATTGAGACAACCCATAGACTCCAATCAAGTCTAACTGTTGATGTGAACTTCCCAAGGAATTGAATAATGATGATCTGTTTCGCAAATAGGATTACCATCATCAAAATTCTGCACTTATAATGCATCACTTCTATCCTCTAAAAAGAGGTAATTCACAAAACAAGGGAATCTTACACACATGGTGACGTGTCTTACCTGAAGAATTAAGGTCGTTCCTACTATCCCCATAAAAAGATAGTTTTTAGTCACTCCAGAAAATACATTCATTTGATCTGGTTTTCGAGCATTGAACTCATTGAATATCTGTAATTAACAAACCAAATTCAGACCTTCACAACTAATTAAAAGGAACACAAGAAAAATTAATGAATTGAGCATTAAAGCAGATCCAATTTTGTCATTCAAACACGAACACCAAGGGGGAGAGCTAGTGCATCATCCCAAGTGCTTCCAAGGAAATTTCACTTAATACATGCTGTCTTCTTGTTTTATCATAAACCAAAGTGAAAGTAAAGAGCCCATGATACTCATGTTCTATACTGCTTCTTTATCCAGTTGGATCAAAGACTTACTTGACACAGGACAAATCCATTGAATATCAAGGTGTTCTTCACAGCATTTCCCCTTTCATCATTCTTTAAGTTGAGAATAGCTGTACCACGGAAGTTCAAGACAAGGAGAACTGCAACTTGGTATAGAGCCTACCAAATCCATAACATTTTGGTTATTGTAATGTAGAAAGATGATCAGACATCAATACGCTAGTAGCAAAAACCAAAAAACATGACAAGGTACCTGGATAATCAAGTTCCTCCACATGATATTTGTTACAAGAGGCTCCCTGAATAAAAAATAGGAGAAGGGAGTCAACCGTTGGTCAAGATCACACATACAACTATAACAAGCACAAAGTCTTAAGATAAGTTGACAATCTTATTTTAAAGGTTTTTCCCCTTAAGAGCATCTTCTTAAGCAGAAGATGACCTCCTTGTAGGATATACAAGCACTGGCAACGCAAAGTATAAGCTTGATCAACGGAAATCTGTGCATAACATACTCATTGGTGGTTGCCTCATGATTTGGTGCAATATAGTACGACAGCAAGACGCATCATACTGACATATTACGAGAACCAATGGTTAGCCTAATGTGTAATGCAGATTACAGGCTTAACCTTCGGCCAACAGGAGATCTGTGCATGAGATGATCTGTTGGAGGTTCAGTTGCCAATGCCAGTGCTCCGAGGGTGTCCATGATGAGATTAACCCAAAGAAGCTGCACCGAAAAGAGAACATTGAGAAAATCAAATCAAGAGTTAACCCAACAGAACTTTCATATCTAATGTGATTTTGGAAGTGCTCAGCATTCAATTTGCAGATCAAGAGATTAATGTCCCACTTGATCTGGTTTTATATTCAGCCTACTGTAACTAAATTGAGATGGAAGGTTGTTTGCTCGTTGCAATTGTATATAGCAAGAGGGAGGAATATCAAACCTGCACAGTGTTTAGAGGTACATCTCCAGAGGAAACAGCTGCCACAACATTTATAACAAGGGCTGCAACGTTAACTGTAAGCTGGAACTGGATAAACTTCTGAATATTTGCATAAACAGAGCGACCCCAGCGGACAACCTATATGGATACAAAATGACGTGAAGATGATAAAACAAAAGATTACAAAAATAGAATTAGAGTTGTTGGCCAGCTGGAGCAATTGGCTTGAGTGATGACTCCACTTTTTTGAAATACATTTTCTTTCATTAACTTCCTTCAGTTGGGAACAACCTCGATTGTCTCTTACCAAGATATCACAAGCAATAGTTCCAATTTCAATCACTGCCTCTCTTCAAACTCTTCAAATCAGTCAAACAGTATTTCCATGAACAGAAAGAGGCTTTGCACCATCATATACAGGTATGTTCCCACATTACTTCCTACCTTCCTCAAAAGTATGATCATTACAAGTTTGAAATGTCTCCAATGCAACTAAGAAATTAGCAGCCTTCTTAATGAGGGTATGCTAAAAATCTTGCTCTTGATGGAACACATGCTACCATATTGTTGCAAATAGAAAAAGCTTGCACTCAAGCAAGAAGGCATCTAAACTCACAAATGTTTTGCACAGACCTTTACAACTGAAGCAAAATTATCATCCAAAATGATGATATCAGAACTTTCTTTTGCAACTTCAGTTCCTTGAATGCCCATGGCAAGACCTATATCAGCCTGATATACAGAGAGAAATAAAAGCAGTTACAGGCGGGAAATATACAAAAAGGAAGGCAATATTTATGTCCATCTTAAAGGAACTATAACTTCCACCAAATATTTTGCCACATAAATTATAATTTAGTCCACCACTGATTGTGAATAATACATGCAGCTATGTGAGCCTAAAGGCAACTGACACACCCCCACGCTAAACAAATGCGGCGTTGGAGATCACTGAACTAACTATGAGCTCCAGGAATGTGCAAATCGACCTTTCTTTGTTCACTCTTATGGATTCTATTGTCAGATTAAACCACATTCCACCCGCTGGAAACGCATAGAGAAGAAAGCTCGATGCTGGGGTTCAAAGTTTTAAAATGTTGATCTCTTAAATATTATATTATGTTACCATATAATACGGGCATGAGCATGAGTCATCCCCTCGGGTCATTTGCAAATTGAATTCAGAGCCAGGTAAGTAATCCAACCACCGAACAAAAAAATATAGATGCCTCCTGAGGCTTATAACTAAAAATTGTAAGCGTTAACTTCATTTTCTTCATGCTGGAATAAGGACCAAGTAAAAGTACAAGATGGTGTCAGACCTCATGAAGTGCAGGGGCATCATTTGTACCATCTCCAGTAACAGCAACAACTTCCCCAAGCTTACGAAGTGTTTGCACGAGCAATAGCTTATCACTTGGGGAAGACCTTCCCATCACCTATACATCCTCATATATCATAATTAAGCTCCGTTGTTTGACTTAATCAAGGTGGTCTTATAAAAAAAGTATCAACATATTTAATCGCACCGATATTTGCTTTGAAGTATGTTCTCTTTCTTTCTCGGAGTACTCACGAAATGTCTTTCCCTCGATGATATTTGGCTCTGTTGCATCTTCACCTGAAGATAGAATTCCACACTCGATGGCAATTGCTTTTGCTGTTTGAATATTATCCCCAGTGACCATCCGAACCTATTTATTAACATTTGTACAGGATCAATTGTCCTTTTTCTTCTCTACTTTCTCATTAAGAAAAATGAAATATGTGTGTGCATTTTGTCATTGTCAAAAGAAAAAAATATTTACATAGTGAACAGGAAACATTAAAAAACAAATGTTTTAAAAAGAGATTCCTCTTACTTCCCAATCATATATCTAAAGAATGCCTAAGTTAATATAGTACTATAGTAGTCCAAAATAAAACAAATTTGGAACAAATTTAGACTTATATAGCTAAAATAAAACAAATTTAGAACACGTATATGCAGGAACAGGAAGGAGAAGATAAAACCTTCACACCAGCATCTGTACATATTTTTACTGCATTTTTGACACCTGGACGACAAGGATCCTGCACAAGGTAAAATTCAGTCAAATTAATTGGTCATAATACAGTACCTTTAGAGGAACACTAGATGTCACTACTTCTCAGATTTGCTTCATAATAAAAATAACTGCATTCAAACCAAAGTCAAGTATACCCTCGAGAATCTGAAGGTGATTTTTCCAATTATTTCACGCCATTTGGGAATGTGGAGGCCGTCACATCCCATAAGAAGAGAAACACATATTATACCATTTCCTTATTCCCAATAATACAAAAAATATCAGCTTTGCAGAAAATCAACAAACTAATGTGGAACATTCAGTTATTCATCATCTTAATGTGGAGCAACTATGGAAAATAGCATTAATCAAGTCTATTTTTGTTACAATCAAGTAATAATAAGTATGTGAAGAACTTTTACCAAAAAAAATAATAAGAAGCTACAACTTTACAAGATATATTCAGATATAAAAAAATTAAGGCTATCTATTCGCATTGAATGGGACAAACAGTAGTGGAACATATATTTTTCAACTAGTGTTTCTGCACACATAGTGCTTGCGCATTGAGGGAAAAATTAGAAGGGAGAGGAATCGAATCAAAAACTGAAGATGCGGTTGTTAGTGGAGATGTTCAGTTTACTGTAACAGGAAGTTCTCTTTTAAGTATACACATGTAGTATCAGTAATCAGTATACAAGAAATAGTGGTGTAAATTTTGGCCAGTTCAATATTGGACTTCTGAAGCAGTAGACTTAAGTACCTTTATACCCACAATGGCAAGCAAAATAAGGTCATCTTCAGGTAAATTCCATTCTGCCAATTGCTCTTCCTCTACAGGAATCTCATCTATTTCAAAGTTTCTGTACGCAATTGCAACACACCGCAAGCTCCTTGCAGCCATCTCCTCGATAGCTTTCTTAAGATATTCCTGTTTAAAAGATATTTGAAAACATTATACAAAATTCTTAGGCAATATGATATGCAGTCTCTCTGTCCCACTCAAATGGCCCTCTAATCTTTTAGAGTATCATTAGAATGTCCACTTCTAAAGAACCAACATCCTTGACGATTCATTAGCAAATGCTCCAAAGAGTCATTAGCCTAGCGGTACCCTAATCCCACCTTCCTGGAGGTCAGGGGTTCAAATACCAAAGGTTCTCAGTGTGTGTCAGTTTACTTTGCCATATATAAATATTATATACTTCAAAAAAGATGCACCAAAAGGATCCTGTAAGTAAATATGCATAAACAAAACCTAATATACGTACACACATATATATGGGATAAATAAATCTGTTGACATCATTTCAAGCATAAAGATTATTCTCTTAGTTCACTTTCAAGGAGGTATATATATTTATGTAGGTATTGATTTGTTCAGCTAGTCAACCACAACTACTTACTGACCATATCCTTATCAGTGGGCTGCAAGGAACCATTTGTATCAAGATATTCTTTGCATGAAGCTAACACTATTTCAGCTGCTCCCTTCCAATGTATATGGACTTGAGAGTCAGCCTGCCATTCATTAAAAAAAAGTAAATCTCTTTTGGAAGCCTCATGAAAGCTAATTAAGCAAAATTAGATGCAAACATCAAAATTTGAGGGTAATGTAGGGTAGTATAGGTGTCATAAAGCTCATAGGGAAACCATATCTCCTGATTGTTTAGTGTCAGGGTAGTGGGAAGCTTTGGGATTGAAGAAAGTTTACTTATTGTATTGCCAAATCATCTAGTTACCATGTGAGCTAAAAAGACATGCTTTATGGCTTAAGTTGTGTGAATCATGCACATGCGTTACCAAAAAATAACTAGCAATTACCCCTCGTAATGCAACCCCCCCTCGCTTCTTGGAAGAGTTAAAAGGACAGACATGTAGGAGGGTAGATTGTGATCTGACAACATCAAAGTTCATCCCAATCTGCGATGGCAGTGATTTCAGTCAATATAAATTTGGAATCCACGTGAAAGTGAATGGAAAATATGCATATAGTATAGATGACCTTGACACCCCATTGGAGTAAAGCCTTTTCTGTTGGAGATCCAGAAACCTCTATACATGCACCATCCTATCAACAAATAAACGATAATAGGTATATGCTAATGATTAATAAAAGAGCTACACAAATGAGAAATAGCACAGTCAGTTTTTTGGTTACTCCTGCTAAGCATATTAAATCAGGGAGGTACAAAAAATATAATATCTACAGCCCTACCACCAAAATGAAAAGTAATGCTAATAATAAGAAAGCAAATCTGCAAATACATAAAATGATTATTGAGATTTGCTAGATTTTCTAGATCAAGGTAACATGGAACTTTGGTAGGCAAATAGAAATTCGTTTAGATCCCTCATACATATATTACTCACCAAGCAATAACCCTGAACTTTTGAACAGGCTAAGGGTTATACACCCTTTCTGGAACTTCTGTACCAGTTCCCTATCTTTACACAAAATTCTGGATATTACGCAGCACATATATGCCCATAAATTTGTGTGACTAGTTAGTATTCTTTGAGTTCCAGAAATCTTCCACAACACATGGCCCAACCCACCACTAGATTTGTGCCAAATTTCTGAGAATAGATAAATTAGGAATAATACCTAACATTCTACTTATCACAATGATCAGAGACAGAGCAGAGGAAGTACCTTGGAAGAGAAAACACTGCCTGAAGTGTTCTGTGCAATTCCCTCGTTTAACAAGGAGGCAACAGTAGAATGATATTGCAAGCCATCTTCAGGGGGGTCAATTTTTTTTTGCCCAACATAAGCCTCAACAACAGTCATCTGTGACAAGTCATGTATTTTTTAAATGTTATCCATAGAGCTCATAAACAATTTGCATCTACCAAACCAAGTTGATAAGAATTTCAGGATTGGAGAGAACTACGTAAGTCCCAGTATAGCATTGACTTGGTAAATAAAATAACAAGCCTTCCACCCAAACTAGTTCGGGTTGGTAAAAAGTGAAAGCCAGTAGAAATTCATATACAGGGAAAGTACCATTTATAATAAAAAAACCAACCTGATTCAGGGTTAACGTTCCAGTTTTATCGCTGCAGATAGTAGTTGCAGAGCCCATAGTTTCACAAGCTGAGAGTCTACGAACCTGCAGTTGAAATGTGTTAACAATTTCATATACATTCCGTAAAAGGCTTCTCAACATAACAACCAGGATATAGGTACTTTTAAGCTCCAAGTACAATATGTACCAGGGCCTTGTCTGCCATCATCTTCTTCATTGAGTATGCTAACCTGTAGAGTCAAGAAAACTTCAAATGAGGACTAAATGAACATATATGTAATGCAGCAAAAAAACAACAAACTTGCAGCATCCTACTCACGTCAGTGTTACAGCTAATGGAAGGCCTTCCGGAACTGCAACAACTACAATGGTGACCTAAATAGTTCAGCCATTAGTTAAAACGACAAAAGGATGGAGGCAATGCAGATAGATACATCAGAAACTTACGGCAGCAGTAAAAATCTTTATGACCCCATCAACTGCTTCGCTAACACTGGTCTGTCCACGGACAAATTGGACAGTTCCATCACGATTTTTTGAGTTACCAGTGAAGAATCTGAAGAACTCCACATCAAATTGCGATAATTAGAAAACAATTAATAGCAAGAACCATAAGATATCTAGAAACAGATTTACCTAGCCATAAGGACAGCCAGCACAAGTAATGCCACCGCAAGCCCAACTATACCTATAAATGTTGCAACACCATTCAAGCGTACCTATCAACCATCATCCATATCTGACTCCATTGATAGACTATAATACAAAGTGACAGGATAAAACGAGACAAAATATATGTAGACCTGCAAGGGGGTTTCTTCACCAGTATCTTCCGATATGCTTGCCATCAACAATCCCCATTCGGTGTTTATTCCCACACTAGTGACCTAAAGATGGAAGAGAAAAAGTTACCAAGGTTTTAAAAGTTATCCTTAGAAACATTTTCTTAAGATAATACACTAGTCAAGTACTTCGTCACTCGTTAGGATCCTCCGACATGTAACCTTAGAAACATTTTCTTGAAATAATACACTAGTCAAGTGCTTCATTACTCGTTAGGATCCTCCCACATGAATCTTTTCCCAGTGATTTCCCCATAATTTTTTTATCAGTAATGCAACCTTCATTTTGCTCATGCATGGAGAAGTATAGGGAGCGTAGTAAGGACCTTAACATGGTGTTCATAAACCTGAAGGGCCTATGATAGCGTACCATGAAACATGATTTAAATAAACAGAGGATGAAGAAACTGAGCTGCCTAATCCCACTGTTTATCATAAATTATATAGGATAACAGATATTAAAGCATAACATACATTATCCATCAATGAAAGAGGGTAATAGCAGGTTACTTACCAGCATAGTTCCAGTGCCATCTGCTACCTTGCAGCCAGACATCAGAAAAGGTGCTTTTTGATCCTTATGCACCTAGAAAGTGATGATATTTAAGAAAGAAGTTCAATCATTTAATTTTTCATTTAGCAAGGAGGTCCAAAGAGCTTACAATCTTGCTTTCCCCGGTCATGCTAGATTCATCAATGGCTAGAGAGTGACCCTTAATTAGGAGACCATCAGCAGGGACCTGTGGCATACCATCAAGAGAAAGATGGCAACTCACCAATAAAGAGTCACATAAGTCCAAGTTTATAATTTTTTTAATAAAACATACCTGATCACCTATTTTAAGAGGTATTACATCACCAACAACAACGTCATATATTGAAACCTTCTCTCTTCTCCCACCTCTAGTTATCTGCTTGAATGCACGATGGTTTAGTATACCCCACCTTAGATAGAAGACCGCTAAACGAAGAATAACTGTTCACTCATGAACATACAAACCTCTATCCGTATATTTCGCTTTTCCTCATTTAGGTTCTGAAACTGCAGGGACTGTCTATAATCACTGGTTGCTATTATAGTTTACAGGACACCATTTGTAGAGACAATATATATGATTTATGAGAGGCAGTTTAGTAGCAAGTACATTAAATATCATAAATGGTGGAAAATTTCCACTGCCTCACCAGTCACAAAAATAACCAGAAGAACAGCAAATGTTATGCTTCCTCCATCATACCATCCTTCTTCAAGACCCTACAGAAGGAAAGCACAACTTTCAAACAGAGGCAAAACTGGAACTAGAAGGGGTCATGATAATCACAAATTTCTGAATGATAGTAGTAAATAGTAATAACTTAAAAAAATCCTCTACCCAAATAGGTAAAAAAAACAATCGGGCCTAATAATTACATACAAAAGCATCAGTAACAACAGAAATATATATCAAAACTTTCTAAACTTCTAATGGAAAATTATACCTTGCTTCAATATAAATTTAACTGGCAAAATCTGCTATTCCCGCATATTTTATTGCTAAGAGTAGAATGAGCAAGATATCAGATGGTTAATTGGTGTCAAAGCCAATTTATTAAATAAATATCATACCCAACATAATAGATTCTATACGTAAGCTCTCGTCACAGAATTGTAATAATTTCGTACAAACCTTCCACAACAACAGAAGTTTGGTAAATGATCCATGCCATGAAGTTAATGGAGAAAAGGCTAAAAGGTGCTTTCAGATATGTAGGTGGAGTGTTTGTTACTATATAGGTATACACATTGAAATATCACCCCAAACAAGTATCTTTTACAGTTGTACTCCACCAAATTATAGATTTTTATTCCAAGCCATATATGCTACCATGCGAAATAACCTCAAAAGTGAGTGATGAAACTTTTTCCCCTGCCGACTGAAGCACCCTTGATAATTCACTTGGAAAATCACAAGCTGGTGGCACTTTCTCAACTGCATTCATCTTTGTGAGAAACGAGTTAGTGCGCAGTGCATGGTTGGTACGGAGACTCCACTATACACATTAACACCTAGCATCAGAGACTAAGAGCTATGCAATTTGGATGATGTGCCAACTGTAGCTTGTAAAAGGGTACATTACTATATAAGTTTACTATCTATCGTGCAAAGATACTCTTAACTCTCTAAGGCTCAACATTCTTAGACCAATTTTGAGTCATAGATTTTGCCAACAGTAAATACCATTAATTCGTGTGAGGTTGGAATATGGAAGTGAAACAGGTTGTATTACAAACACATGTTCAGGAAGCGGAAACAAAAATCTTGACAAGGTGAGGGAGTCGAAAACATGCCCTGTCTAGGCTCACACTTGTAAATTAGTATTATTCAAAATGACCAGGGTTTAGTTTGATACTAGAAATGCGCACATTTTCATTAACTCAGTTGGTAAGACTGGTCACTGCTGTGAGCTGGGGAGTCCAGATCCAAGATATGTAATGGGTCAATTTACAGCACCACACGTGAGTCCTATTTGAGTAGCAAGGGGTGAGTTGGATTAAGTAACGGTTTGAAACTGTGTATGTTTAACCAATCATCACAAAACTGAACAAGCGAGCTCATGATCGATAGAAAAAGAAACTTGAAAAGGAAACCCTCATAAAATAAGCTGTACATGTTGAATGATTAACTGCGACTTCGTACAGAATTCATGGAGTTGCATAAATTTTTAACTTGCCTCTGTCTTTATTCCTAGCACCAGTGATGCTGCGGCAGCTACTATTAATATAATAAGGGTTAAATCTTGCCAAGCTTCCCAAAGAAACCTCTGCAGATAACATAGCCATTACATAACTGCAGCTGCATATCAAGAAATTGGTTGCATTAAAGATATAACATACTAAGAAGCTTCGTCCTTCTTTCACAGGATATGTGTTGGATCCAAAGGCATTCCTCCGGTCTGATAATTCACAATCATCTCCAGGTACTCCCCTATCCAGATCGGTTTTCAACATCTCAGATAATCCTTTGACCTGAATATATAGCCATAGATATAAGTAAGAGCTATACAATGGAGAATACTAACTGAAATATATGTTGGATTAATAACTTGCCCCGCCATATTGATGAAAAGCAGATATATTGTGGTCCCTGGTCATTGAAATAAGTTGCTCGAGTGAAATACCATAACCACCACTTGGAGATGGAGGAGATACTGTGGTCCCTAGCACTATATGAAGGAGAAATGAACGGAAATTATATGTAGCTCAACACCTCAGACCTAGGGATTATATCATAAGGAAAGTTGAGGGAGCAAATACCAATTGCTCGTTCGCCAGCCAATTTGAATAGCAATGCAGCCTAACAGCAGCTAATCAGATACTAAAAGGTGATCATATAACCTGCAGACTCAGAAACTATACAAAAAAATGTACAACATTACCCTTATGACTTGAGCATGTGACCTGATCATCCTCCTCCTTTTTTCTTGATCTTCATTCTTTCTCAAGTCCAATGTGTACCGGAAGCGGCGAGAAGCATTAAGCACAAGGGCAGCTTGCTGTAGTGGACATGCTCATTAGCTTTAATAGGTTTTTCATAAACATGCATCAACAATTTATGGTTTAAGAAAATAAATTTGGCGATAATGAAAAGGTAATGAGCTTAAAAACTGTCCCTAATGAATCAATGAATTAAGCTCAACAGCACCAACTAGATTTGACCTTTATTGATTAATAGAGTACTGCAGAGACTGTAACACTTAGGCGGTCTTCACGCAAGTGTAACCAAAAATAAAACAGATTACCATATAAAGCCACTAAAAGGTGCAGCAGCACATACCAGAAAGATCGTGAGGTCACAAGTAGAAAGATGCTTACTATGTTAAGTAGCATCGATGTGTTAAATACTTAATGATGATATGTTACAAGAAAGCTACACCGTACACTTCAAATATCAGCTTGCGAATCAGTTGATGAACCAGGTGAACTTCTTTTTTATCACACACACACACATAGATATACATATATATATATATGTATATGTATGTATCTTTAATAAGCCTATCTATCTTTAATTGTATTTCTGAGGTTACACTAATTCAACAGCTGGAGCTACAATCAGTAGTTATAATCTAGCTCAGTAAGTATTTTAGCATGTCAAGTCCATCTTGATTGGGATCCCAAAACTAGTATATAAGGATGATTTATTTATTTTAGTAAGAAACTGAAGTAGCAATTTTTGAGCTTTCAAATCAAGAAATGAATAAATCAAGTGGTATTACAGCACAACACAGAAGAAATCAAAGTATATATAAGAATAATCAAGAGAAGTGATCCATAGTGCATCTATCAAAGGGGTATAATTTTATTACATACCAGGGAATATAAATAGCGTAATTAAGGATATATTATATGTACATGTGTGTGTGTATGTTAGGTAGTTATTTTGTCGTTTGTCCAGATTGGCATACATATAGCAATCTTGAAGTGAGAAAGCATATATATATATATATATATATATATATATATATATATATATATATTGGAATACCAAGAAAAGAAGAGCGATGGATTGGAGAATGCAATGTGACGTACCCTCCAGCGTCTGAGGGAGTCGGTGGAGGCATTCTTGGTAGTGGTGATATCGAAAGGGTCGTCAAAATCGTCATCGGGATCAGTGATGGGAACAACACCGCTTTCAATGTCGGGAGGAGGACGGCTACTGGATGGAGAGGTTCCGCTAGTAGTCATTGTATTATATATTTATGGAAGAGAATCGATCGATGAAAGGATATATAATTTGCCAAAATGAATCCCAAGTGAGAGGGAGGCAGTGTTGCCACATTGTGTATATATATATATATATAGTTAATCACTGAAATGGAAGAAATGAAGGAGAGGACAACCGCTATCTTAGCGCCCTAACTTCTTTTTTTTTTTTTTATTAATTAATTCATTAGCTGAATTAGTTATTGCTTAATTTTTTCAGTTTTATATATACAATGATAATAATGTTTCATTTATTCTATCGATGTTATAATACGATTTTATGTGGTTTTAAAAAACTGTAATGTTAAATGCTTTATAATATAGTATAGTATAGATATATAACATTCATTTATTAATTAGTAATTAACAAGAAAACACAAAATGGTTGGTTACCATCAGGATCCAGGGAATAATTAAAAATACAACATGCACATGCAGAAAGAAAGCAAACTTTATGTTTGAGTTGAGCAGAGCCATACCCACTTTACTTATATATTCCTCCTAAATTATTTTTTATATAATGATAATAAAAACAATTCTTGTCAATGAATCAACTTTCATGAACCATTTTATAACATGCATGGCTTTGAAAAGAAAATCTGTATGATTCAACAACAAAAAGTATAGCATTGAATTAGCAAGTAAATAATGACCCTCTAATTGTATCTTCTTATACAATCATCACTTCCTAAACCCAAGTATACAAATATTACTATCAAACAAAAAAGAACCCTCAAGGATCCAGGGTCCTGCTGTTATGTATACCTTATCCTCTATCACACCCAAAGGTATCTCCCTTTTACATGATAATAACAACATTCATTCGCCTTTCGCCTTATGCCTTGCCAAAACGCCCTTCTCTCCTAGCACGTACTCTAATATTAGTTGCTTTATGCTGTTTCGACCCTTCTCCTGGAGCCACACGAGACACGATTCTTAGAGGGTGGGCTTCTGTGTTAAATACCCATTCATCTAAAGATATAAGTGACGGCGGCGAGAATAGAAGATACAAATATTTCAGTGTTTCTGCAAGAAAGAAGCTCTGCATCATATTGTCTTTCACACCTGTGTTCACCTGCAAATACAAAATCAAACAAATAACTAAACATCACCAAACTACAAATGAAAAAAGCTTCGGTGCATGGTTCTGTAAATGGCTAAAGGTGGTTGCGAAAAGGGATGAAGAAATACAAAGATATGACAAATCATTTTATGAAATTCAAACAATGATCTGTTCAGCAATATATATGTTTTTTAGTCAGTTGGAACAAACAACTACTAGACACATTTAGGTTTTGCACATCAAGATATATGTTGCAAGATGATTGAGAAACTTCTAAAAGAACTATTTCCCTTCCCATTCTGACTTGCAAAACAAAATAATTATTACACAAGATTCAAGAAAACCAGTGATAATTAGACAATGAGGAGATGGTCCATCAGAAGGCACAATGAACAAGACGCTAGAGGGTGGCTTGGTTGGCTATTTAACATCAAACAAGTTACAGATTAATGTTATAAGAAAAAGAATTAAGAGATGCCAACAAGCAAAAATCAGAGCACCATTAGTGCAATCCTGGTCTTTGATGCCAACAAGTTAACTCTAGAACTTAATGGACAATCTTAAACAATGAGCGTACTTACATCCTTCAATCCAACATATCCTGCCTCCACACGGGAATTCTTTTCAAATGCTTGAAATATGTTCCATCCCCAATCTTGGTATGTCTTATTACCAGTCAAACGCCACAGGTAGAAGAGTGATTCAACCGTCTCTGGCCTCAATATATTCCATGATGTGCCCACAGTCATGTCCTGGAAATTCTCGGTAACAGACAAATAAATGAAACCTCAAACCTCCTAAAACTTCACGAGGACATCAGTGAGATAACTAACCTGCCCTGAGTGAAAAAAATAATTTTCTCCCGCCAACTTTGTTGGTGTGGACTGATAGAAGTTATAGCATGTCCAAGCAAGCTACAAAAAAATGTCAAAACAGCAAGTAAAAGATCCAGCAGATCAAAATGCTTCTAAGCAAATAATATTCCTAATTCCGACATGGAAACTAATCAAATCAAGGTCCTAACTCTCAAGATTATGCTCTGTCATCCCTAAGATAATTTGTCTACCTAAAAAACTGTAGGTCAAGGCATCCCTTTTAAGCAAATACGGTACAAGGCATCTGTTGAGCCTATAAGATACCTCTTCTGCTAACGACAGGAACTTTGAGGATTCACCAGGACCATAACCAGATGATCCCAACGCTATCATTCCCGGTGCAAAGCATGCTAGCTCATCCATCTGCATGTATTGCAGGAAATTATTGTTATCCAATCATCAAACCACGAATTCTTGACACAGTGCTCTCTAGTTAAAATTTACCTTGTCAATTAAAGAACTTCCTATCTTCTCAGAAATATATGCAAAAGATGATGGTTCAGTTCTGCGAACCAAGCTTAATAAACCTTTCATTGATGTCTCCCACATTTCTCTGTTTCAATAATTCTTTAGTTTTCCCATATATGTTTCTAGGTGAGAAAAAACTTCTCAAAGAAATTCAATTTTGGTTCAAAACTTGAAGCTAAAAGAACAAACTAATATCAAGTACAGTGATGGTGCCTAGAATTACTCACCTATAATGCTTCACAGCTGCGGTTTTGTTTCCTTGTATCCATACTTTAAGTAAATACTCATAGAAACTGCACCACAATTACATTTTTATACAACTCAAAAACGTTGATATGATAAAGGTTTCTGTGGAAGACAAAGGAAAAGGAAAACAAATAACCAACTCAACATTATGAAGAAAGAAATGTGGCAGCTTCCATGGACATTCAGTACCTGTCCCCCATGGCCCCAAAAGTGATGGTAGAGTATGATGTTGTCCCTTTGTGTGGGTTTATGTAGATGGGGAGCAATCCATCGGCAGGGAAAGTCTTATTAAGCTCACGAATAACATTCTCTACCTGTATCATTACAGTATGACATAAGATGTTGTGCCAAAAATATCAAACTCCAAAAGGTACTATAAGTTGAGTCCTCACAAGTCTAAATCATTCATATAAATTCAACCCAACAGAACCTATATCCCAGACTACTAGAGATGGGCAAAAATATAAAGGAAAAGTTGGGAAACCTTTTAGTTAGAAAGCAACATTTGAAGTGGTTGTGTGGAAAAAACAAGTATGCACCAAGTTTCCCACCATATACCTTCTGTTGATAGTACATTACATAATGGAAACAAATACCTTCTGTTGATACTTTGGATCTCCTGTCCTTTGGCTTAGTGCTATAAACTCCAGCTGCTCGGTGCCAGAATCAGCTAGGATACTGTCACCCTGACAAAAGAGAAGAGAAGTATGTAAATTGCCAAAAATAAAAACGCCAATGCATCATCTTCAGGCCTACATTTGACAGAATAAAAGACTGATCCACAGCCATCCATATAATGCATTATTTCTTGCCTATCAGTTACAAAGCTTATCCGAAAACCATGATCAATATACCCTATCCAACCATTGATACAGCATATAAATATCCGCCATAATGAAGGTCAGGTATGTCTTAAATCTTAACTTTGGATCAACCAAAAGAACAGCAGTAGACAAGTAGCTGCAATCATTTATCCAACTGTCTTGGCTCTGGATAATATTCTAGTAATATACAACAAAAAGATTTCATTGGAATGAAGGTTTTGCAATAAAACTAAAAAGTAGAACCATTATTATGCAATGAATGTTAGCAAAATGAGAGCAATAACTTTTGAACCATCCTATCAGATGACAGGAAATAATGAACTGTATATGATTACATGATAAAAAAGGTTTCACAACTTTTTCACATTATAAGGATAGACTTAAACTTTTATGTTGCAGAATTTAAGATTTAAAAGTTCTCTCCTAATGTATTGAAAATTAGGGTAACTTTTAGTGCACTCTGAAACCCTATTGGACTCTCAAAACATATGAGAACGGCATATTAAAATGCCTTTGCTGTATAGTAAGTATGCAAATTGTTCAGTACATGTCATGATATTCTGAAATGTAAGTTTTAGTTAAATTTATAATCAAACTTCCAACTGATTTACCCCCGTAATTAGGAAGACGGACATTCTAATGGATGAATCTTAGAACTTACCCCAGTCCAACCAGGGTTATGTGCATTACCATTAACCAAGTTGATAATATTGTATGGGATGCCAGAAGGAGTATCCCATGCAGGGAGCAGTCTATCAGCTATGTCTTTAGCCTTTTCAAGAAAAACATTATCCCCAGATAGGTCATATGCACTGAGGAGCCCACCTACAACTCTGTTGAAAAGAGGAATGGTTAAATAGTTCAAACAATTAGGTGCACCTCATCTTATAAAATAGAACTGCCTTAGCTAATGTAATATATACTGCCTGAGAATGTCATATAGAAGTAATAAACAAGAACAATATATTAAACCTTACAAAGCAACCTTATGGTCGTTTCAAACACGCTGGCATCATAGTTCTTATTGAAGTCCAAAGAGGTTACAACCCACCTGTCATGCATACCCTTGTTAGTTAAAACAAGAAACAGACTTGCAGATGCAGAAAACTTTTCCCACTTATAATACAATGAGTTTAGTGATACGTTCCTTATGGGGGGTTGTATTGGTACTCCTTGTCCCACATCGCACCTTGGCAGAGGAGATG